ATTTTCCCGTCTTTCTGGGTAAGCTTACTCGCAAATAATTTAAAACCAAGACTTGCATTATATAAATATCAAAACATACCTTGATTTTCCTTTTTTTTAAACATACATCTCAGCCATAGATAAGGACTTAAGTTCGCCAGGTCTTTAATTTCAAGTTAGTGAATTGACCAAAGTAATATTGCGGACCATTTGCCAGTTTCCATGCGGTATCCGTGTTTTTTCACTCGCTCTATTCTGCATCCACTCAACTTTCGTGTTTGTCATGACAAGGCCATTTGAAGCTTTCATGCTATATATATATACAGTGTGTGTTTTACTTATTGTTGAAGGTCGTACGGTGACCTATATTGCTAACGTCTGTTGACCACTGGAAGGGATTTGTCTGATTGTCTATCGCACCACATATTCTTATTTTTATATGCAGTTATATCTATAATAAAATTGAGAATTGAAACGGGGAATGTATCAAACAGACAACAACCCGATCAAAAAGCAGAAAATTTGTTTTTCGTTAATTGTTTTGTTGTAGATTAGGCCGTTGGTTTTCTCAATTGAATTGTTTCATATTTTTCATATCGGGGACTGTTGTAGCCGACTATACGGTATGGGTTTTTCTCATTGTTGAAGGCCGTACGCTTGCCTTTAATTGCTTACATCCACTTCATCTGAACTTTGGTGGATAGTTGTCTTATTAGTAATCATACCACATCTCCTTATTTTTATATAAAGTTGTATCAATTGTGACTTTAGATACATTGGTGTATTTATTTTTGTTTGCGTAACGTCTAGTGTCAAATTTGTCATGCATGTTTAGGACTATTAAATATATTGCAGATAGTTTCGTAATTAATCGGCTTTAGATCTGTCATACGACAATAATACTTAAAAAGATAAAAGGTAGGAAAATTAAGAGACCACAACAACAAAGACCATCGAGTCCTGTCCATAAATAGTAAAATAGACGTTAAATCAACAATGAACAACACAAAACCCGGATAGCCGGACGTTTGGCTCAAAATTTAGTGGGACTAATCGAGTTTAATATGCAATCCCTCCCTGGCTAGACTTGGTGCAGGCACACAATCCAGTGGGTTAAATCAGTATAACATGCACCCTCCCCAGCCCGACATTGGCACAATATGTAGCGATGTGTTGCTGTGTGTTTGTTTCATCTACATTGGCTAGAGGTATAGGGGGAGGGTTGAGATCTCACTAAACATGTTTAGCCCCGCCGCATTTTTTGCTCCAGTCCCAAGTCAGGAGCCTCTGGCTTTTGTTAGTCTTCATTTTGTGACGTCCATTTGTTAAAGGGCCAGCTGAAGTGCGCCTTCGGATGCGGGATTTTCTCGCTGTGTTGAAGACCCATTGGTGGCCTTCGGCTGTTTTGTTTACTCTTTGGTCTGGTTGTTGTCTCTTTGAAACATTCCCGATTTCCATTCTCTATTTTAACATGTAACCTTTCAAACTTTTTTTGTCGTCTTGACTGTGCGGTATGGGCTTTGCTCATTGCTGAAGGCCGTACGGTGACCTATAGTTGTTAATTTCTGTGTCATTTGGTCTCTTGTGGAGAGTTGTCTCATTGGCATTCATACCACATTTTCTTTTATATATATATATGGCAATAAACAATAAAAGAAAAATAAACTACACAGCGCAGCGTCCAACAGGATTACAACAAGAAAATTAATTTTGAAAATGCGGTCAAAAGTCAAAATTTGCCTGCAGCGGAAAAATGCAACAGCTTGATATTCATTTCAAATAAAATAATTGTAATGATTTACGCAACGTTACTTTTTCCAATATTAACATTCAAATATTTTGTTTTTTGTTGTTTTTGATTAATTTACAACATCTTTACAAAGACCACATTCTGACTTCGATATTAAGTAGACCATAAAAGCGATGTTCATTATCTTGCTTCTATGTAAGTTTGAGTTAGTTATTTTGTGTCATGAATTAGTATTGATGTCACTCGTATGTTTTTAAATATGAAGAAAGGGGTAGTCCGGTTGTCTTATACGTCAATGAGACACACAAAAAAAACGACAAAAAATAAAAAAAGGGGCAACATTCATTCTTCAACAAAAGAATACATCACAAGAATATAAGTTTTGTAAGAAAAAGACCAAATTCGTGAGACGTTGTGTAGGACTTGAATAGCCAAGACAAACTGATAAATATCTGAATGAATGAATGAATCGATCTATGTAAAAAAAATCAAGGTACTAAACAAAAACAAAAAATAGATTTTTTAATTATCCGGAACTCTTCACAAACAAAACCTACATGTATGCATTGACTAAATAGTAGGCCACTCTTTTAAAATGATTACAACGTAGAAGTACTTATTCTCGTAATCAATAAGATATTTTGTGAATTAACCCCATCAATTTAAAGTTTTTTTTACAATGAATACACGTATTTTTGGATTATTTAATGATATCAGCTCTGAGCATTATTATTCTTTAAAATGAAACTGTTGTATGCGATGGTATAAAAAAATATTTAAAACAAATCTTTTAAAGTTTTGTGAAAAGAAAGTTTCATTTTATGTATCGAAATGTGTAACAAGTGATCATTATTTAAATCCCCACTGGAAGGCCTCTGACAGACTGAGTGAGCGTAAAATCATTGTTATCGATAAGCCAATGACATCAGTATTATTACCAACAAAAGTTTTACGGTTGTCTACGCTGTTATGAAAACGATTCTATATCCCAACAACAAATAGACACTAAGTACAGATCTGAGAGTACTCGCAGTTACTGACAGCTAGTTCAAAGCCACTAACAACTTATTAAAAAATCATGCATCTAAGACTAAATTATCAATTAGTACACATCCAACATCCAATTATTGAATAGGCATAACTTTTACATTCATGATACAAAAAAAATCATTAATAAAATAGAGTCACACGAGGTAAAAAAGTATGCATTCTTATTGCCTATGATGTACGTCAATGTACACAAATATGATCATTGATAATTTAGAAGAAACTGTTATCAATGCATTAGAATTTATTGACACACAGGAGAATATACTTTAAAGATTCTCAGCAAAATAGATTTAACTGCATTTCTTAAATTAATTCTTAAAAACAATGAATTTGAGTTTAATGGACTGTTATACAAACACATTATAGGAGCGCCCATTGTCACCAACATGCACAGATCTGCATCTGTCTGCCCTATTCATTAAAATCTTAGATAAGTTCCAATGGAGAGAAAACATCAAATTACACTGTCAATAGGGATGACGGTTTTATGGTCTTCACAGGCAAATTAGAGCAAGTTGAAGATTTCTTTAACCTTGCAATTGAAATTGACCATCTACTTAAGTTCTAATATGAGGTGTCGACATCTAGTATGGCCTATTTAGAGGGAGTAAAGGGTTATTTTCGTGCAACGTTTTCGGCCTTTTTATTTTACGTGTTTCCGTGTTTCGACGTTTTATTTCTCGTTTTCTCATGTTTGGTACGATGTGCGTGCTTCGTGTTTTCCCTTAATTATTTTCCGTGTTTCGTGTCCGTACTCTTATTTTCTCGTGTTTGTCCCGCATTTGATTACAAAGTAAACCGGGACTAATTCAAAGTCAGCCCAAATATTGTTTTAAATCATAAACTTATTAACTGGTCCCAAGATATTTATTAATAGCCTATTGTATTACTAGGATAAATCGGATTCAACTAACGGACGCTAAAAGGTGACCACATGGAGGGTCGCCATGTCCATTAATAATGACTGCATGATCTCCAAGAACGGTTGAGTAATAACTTTTGGTACTCTTTTCCTTAATATTTACGATTTTATTCCTTGGCTTCGTTTTTCCAGAGTGTTTTTTTTTTCCGTGCAACGTTTTGCGATTTGTTATTTCACGTGTTTCCGTGTTCAGACCCTCCCTTTTACCACCCTCTATTTAGATACCGAAGTGTACAAAAGTAAACGATTCCTTAATAATGGAATTCTTGATGTTAACGTATCAATATTTACCAATCACTAGTGCACATCCAAAACACACATAAATTTAAGAGCATTACAGTGTGCGAACAATATAAGAAATTTCTACTTCTACCACTAAGTGACCACCGTCATTTGGTTGACTATCCTGTCACTGTTTGGTGTGCGCTTGCATACTTAACAAGTCCAAAAATAATTTTAACAGAAAGAAAATAAGTTGTGCTGTACATAACATTTATACATGGTGCAAATAAGAACATGGGACTTGAAATTTAATGTGCATGCAGTAGTCACTTGAACGAGTCAAGACTTTCTGCAGCGGTCACTGAAATAATAGTGACATCAATGAATTAAATAAACATTTAATTAACTTACAAGATTACTTAATGGATAGAAAATACAGTAAAAAGGAAACAGTAAAAGTTGTAAAAATTTATATTAACGAACAGTCTTTATTTTACTTGTTTTATTTTCATTTGAAACATATTTTTTTTTATCTGATTTGTCAAAATGACAAGTGTGCATAATGATTTTATTGTTACAAATCAAATCCCAAAGCCCACTATAACTCACTATGAAGAAACCACAGCACTATTTTAAAATATCGCTCTGTGAATATCTTGACACAGATGTTTGATACCATAGGTCGTTATAATTAAATCTTGACCATTTAACTTTCACTTGTTTATCAAAGGGAACTGTCAACTTTGCTCAAGTCAGTTAACCCTTGCAATGCTTAAAATGTAGCTTTACAATAAATATACATGTTTGAAAAGGATCTATAGATTGTTTATTATCATATATCAGATAAGTGAATTAGCGATCTGTGAAAATTCTTTATTGTCATGTTTTAAATATCTCAGATACACTGTATGGAGGTGCTCTTAATTGCAGGAAGCTAATTACAGATAAAATGAATAGGTGTTCCGAATGAAAAATAATTTAGCTTCCGAATATTCCTCCATAGACTATACCATATTTCTAACTAATAAATATGCGTGAACCCTCAGGGGTTCACGCAATTAATAAAACAGACTAACAGCGATTTAAAACAACGATATTGAATATACAAACAAAAATGCATACACAATTTTACAAATAATTCAATGTCTGTTTCAAATATGCAAACGATTATGTATATTTAGCAAACAATGTTGACATTAAAACAACTTCGTTTCACAAATACATTTAAACACATTAAACAATTTAAATGTGAGACTCAATCTATTGATTACATTTTTTACATCTTCATTCATAATTTAAACAAATCGTTCAATAATATTGCTGCCTCTAGTTGTTTCATGCGATCTAATTACTTTAGTTCATCGCATGTCATCATATAAAAGAATTCTACAAAATAAACATATATGATATTAGGTATATGTATGTCAATAACTGCATTTCAGTTCATATTTCATTTAATGTCCCATATTAAAAATGTACTAAAATCTAAGGTATATCCAAAATTCAATTTCAAAATATTATACTAGCTACTTGTTAAATCCCTTCAGACTTTCCTCATTGGAACAATTTAGATTGTTTTTCATAATATTGTCACGGAACAGGCACTTTCGAATAAAATTGTAGGTTTAGCCAGGTTTACAGCTCACCAAACTTCCAACTTGTGTGACATTCATTTCAGTTCAAATAAACTACCTTGATGACAGCAATCAATCAAATAAACTTTGAAATTCGGAGCCAACGTCCTCACTTTGACGACGTTGTGCATACAGCCTAACAGTCGTCCTTAATTAAGAGTTGTTGCAATTGCTCCTTGATTCATGTTACCCTTGTTTATAGGTACTCCCTCTTATGTACTTATCACAGTTAGTAGCCATCATAAGTGCGGGATGAATGGTGAATGCTTTTTTTTAATTCTTCAAATAACTTCTTATATGTATACTGCTTCATTTTCTCACTTTTGGCCAGTTGGTTTACTGGTATCGGAATTGATATGCAGTTAACCCGAACTACTTGCTCTTTTCATACAGTATTTCCTGCCAAGAAATCTAACATTTAGGTTGACGTGGTTTTCGAAATTTTGTATTGTGCCTGTATTTTGCATTGAAAATATCGGTTACTAGTATTTTACGAAAACATTCAGAAAGTATATGCCTGTAAGAAAAGGTTCCAAATTCGGGAATAAAATTTACAATAAATATCCCATTTTATTTGTTTACTACTATATATCTACTATCAAAATAAACGTGACTGCGTACTTATACATTATGCACGGCAAAAATGGTTCACAAGTTAAAAAACGGTGGTATGGGCTACATAAACAAAATGCTCCTATATTCCCTAAATGAATATGGTAAAAATAAACCACAAACAGATAACTATACAAGCAAAATAAAAACTTATGAAAAAAGAATAAATACAGAAATGTCATGTCCAACGCAACGTACAAACAAGACTTATTCGTGAGTACTTTGGTAATTTTTTTGTTAAAGCACCACATAAAGAATAAAAAACAGCTAGACTTAGTTTTGACATTAGTACATTTAAGGCACATATCAAATTAAAAAAAGATGTGAATTCGTGAACAATAACCATTATGACGAATTTTGTCCGTTTTAATGGACTTCAACCAATTTGCATTTACCTTTGAGTCCGGTGTTTTTGTTATACTTTATTCGAAGTAATTATTTCAGTGAGAAAAACACACTTTTCGTGCGTCCAAAGCGATTTTATTGGATTCACCATAATCAGGAACGCTCAAACCAAACATTCAGCTTGACCTAAGAACCCTTGGTTCAGTGGCTTCCCTGTTAGTAGCACCAACTATTGACAACATCCAGCTTGACCTAAGAACCCTTGGTTCAGTGGCTTCCCTGTTAGTAGCACCAACTATTGACAACATCCAGCTTGACATAAGAACCCTTGGTTCAGTGGCTTCCCTGTTAGTAGTACCAACTATTGACAACATTCAGCTTGACCTAAGAACCCTTGGTTCAGTGGCTTCCCTGTTAGTAGCAACAACTATTGACAACATTCAGCTTGACCTAAGAACCCTTGGTTCAGTGGCTTCCCTGTTAGTAAAACCAACTATTGACAACATTCAGCTTGACCTAAGAACCCTTGGTTCAGTAGATTCCCTGTTAGTAGCACCAACTATTGACAACATTCAGCTTGACCTAAGAACCCTTGGTTCAGTGTCTTCCCTGTTAGTAGCACCAACTATTGACAACATTCAGCTTGACCTAAGAACCCTTGGTTCAGTGGCTTCCCTGTTAGTAGCACCAACTATTGACAACATTCAGCTTGACCTAAGAACCCTTGGTTCAGTGGCTTCCCTGTTAGTAGCACCAACTATTGATAACATTAAACTTGACCTAAGAACCTTTGGTTCAGTGGATTCCCTATTAGTAGTACCAACTATTGACAACATTCAGCTTGACCTAAGAACACTTGGTTCAGTGGCTTCCCGGTTAGTAGCACCAACTATTGACAACATTCAGCTTGACCTAAGAACCCTTGGTTCAGTGGCTTCCCTGTTAGTAACAACAACTATTGACAACATTCAGCTTGACCTAAGAACCCTTGGTTCAGTGGCTTCCCTGTTAGTAGCACCAACTATTGACAACATTCAGCTTGACCTAAGAACCCTTGGTTCAGTGGCTTCCCTGTTAGTAGCACCAACTATTGACAACATTCAGCTTGACCTAAGAACCCTTGGTTCAGTGGCTTCCCTGTTAGTAGCACAAACTATTGACAACATCCAGCTTGACCTAAGAACCCTTGGTTCAGTGGCTTCCCTGTTAGTAGCACCAACTATTGACAACATTCAGCTTGACCTAAGAACCCTTGGTTCAGTAGATTCCCTGTTAGTAGCACCAACTATTGACAACATCCAGATTGACCTAAGAACCCTTGGTTCAGTGGCTTCCCTGTTAGTAGCACCAACTATTGACAACATTCAGCTTGACCTAAGAACCCTTGGTACAGTGGCTTCCCTGTTAGTAGCACCAACTATTGATAACATTCAGCTTGACCTAAGAACCCTTGGTTCAGTGGATTCCCTGTTAGTTCCACCAACTATTGACAAAATCCTCAAAACGCAAGGGAGAGATATTAATACGCCATATGCAAGTACTCCAGAAATGATGCAACTTAAATATGGTTTGTGTATGTTCACAATGAGAAACATGAAGTCATTTTTTTGTCGTTAAACTAGTTACCCACTGACCATTCACTGTCGATTTCAAGGTATAAATCAATGTATAGACAGAACTTATTGATATGTGTAATCTCTTACTATAACCCCAATGAAGCAATTGAAATGAACACGATCGCCAACAATGAATTACTCAATGAAAATATATTTTCAATATGTTATTTGCGGAACGTAAAGTAAATGGATGATGCAAACTTAATTGTATTATTCTTGAAAAGCCATTGCATGAATATGAAGCAAAAGGAAACATTGGTTACAAATCAAAGAGACAGCAAACCAAAGTCACAGAAAATCAAAACGACATTAAAAATAGTCTGTTGCATACGTATTGAGGAACACGTCACCGAGAAGAGGACATTGTTTGTTCCAAGAAAAGGGTAAACAGTCAATTGATAATTAAATATAGTTTATATAATATGCAAGTATATTGACGATGCCATTTTTAAGAAAACTTTTTGTTATAATCTGAGTGTTTTTTATCAAAGTTTAAAGTGTTCCTTTCTGAAACAAGATATGTTTATCTACGATGACCATTCATTTTATGAACAAAATTGCAATTAACATTTTACAAAATTATTTTTTTACCTGAAAAATTAATCTTGCCATCTCCGTCTTTGTCTGCTTCCTTTATCATAGCCATTACATCTTCGTCTGCTAAATCCTCTCCTAAATTAGCCATCACCTGTTTTAGTTCTTTTGTATTTATAAACCCATCTCCATCTTGATCAAAAACACTAAATGCTTCCTTAAGTTCTTTCTCAGTGTCAGCGTCTTGAACTTTTTTTGACATCATCATAACGAACTCCTCAAAATCTATTTCACCGTTTCCTGAAAAAGGTACAGAATACAAAATGTATCTTAACAAAATTAATGTTAATTATGTTATCTAACTGATTTTCAATTGAAAATATAAATGCAGTACCTTCCATAGTTCTGTATCCAACCGTTTAACATGTAAGCATATTCTAAATGTTTAACTTGTAAAGTCACTTGCAATTCTTATTTCACGTAAAACAAATGTAAGAAATTAAACAAATGTTTCCCCCTTACGGCTTTTAATATTTTCTTTATAACAAAACAATTATACTGTCATGACATGTTTACAAGTGATAAGCCGATCATTTTCTTTTGTATTTTAAGGTATGGGTATTGAATATTGACTTTGTTTATATAATATATTACAACGGTATTTGTAATCAGTGACACAACTGAATGAATTTGTCATAATAGTCAATGATCATGTGATACCTATTTCAGGACTATTTCATAATTATGATGGTCTTATAAAATATGGATATTCAGTTATAAAAATACGGAGATATGGTTGCCAATTAGGCAACTTACCACCAGAGACCAAATGCCACCGTTCGACCTTCAACAATGAACAAAACCCATCCCTTATAATAAGCTATAAAATGCCACGGCATGACAAAATGTGAAACAATTCAAACGAGAAAACCAACGACCTTATCTATACTACTAAAATAACGAGGTCCAAATTGTTAGCCGGCATGACGCATAAACGTCGAATCAAAGAATTCAACTTTATATATAACTACTATAGGACAATGGTGTTGATTAAAATTACACCATTCCAGGCCCATTTGTTTTCCACATATGATAAGCAACTTCCGGGTCGAATCAGATACCGATACCAATAGATTATGTCACATGTAGTTTACGGTTGTAGTTCTTGCTTTATTCGTCCCTCCACTATCTGGAGTACCACTACTGTATTGTAGCAAGAAAACCATGACGGGTTCAAACAGAAAGATTTTAAAAGCAGAGAAAACGGTGCACCTTTTAATCAGCATGACTTTATCAAATGAAAATACGAATACTGAAAATCCAGGCTGAAAATAAGGTGTAGGTACTTAATTCAGTCACGGAGCCGCGATGTCGCGTGTGTGTTCTATTTTACTAATAAGAAATCAATAAACGGAAAACAAATATGATAGAGAGTTACCAACGAAAATCACGGAATTACAGTCCCCTGGTGCTTAGTTCGTTTCTATTTTAAATATCTGGAAAAAAACAAATTCTTCATAGTCACTGTATTCATTTCTGGTTTTGTTTTGATATATGGTTAGTGTTTTATAGATGTTTATCCCACATTTAAAATTATCAATTATATTCCTCCGGCATAGCTGACCTGACTAGGTTTTGTCTAACCAGTGTTTATGTCCTTATTGGTAAAGCCTGGATCATGGCTCACTGGTTGACAGTAGAATGAAAAATAGATATTGGGCCATGGTCCCAGGCTACTTTATGGTTTTGGCGCTCATAAATCGTCACCATACGTTGCGTCGATCTATTCTGTGCTAATTATACAATGAAGAAAGAAGAAAAACAGACATTGGACATCAGAATGAGAAAACAGCCTTTAAAGATTCAAACATGTAATTAAAGATTCCCTATAACTGTAGGAGGTGCAAGTTCTTCAAACAAATAGAATTAGTATTCAATGTTCTGTTGTTCAAAGATATGTCAAAATGGCAACAGGGGCAAGACAAACATAAAAATGCTGCACATGTAAATATTGGAATCGCATACCGGCACTGGACTGAACTGGACAGAAATCATGTTTCCTGAAGAGTCAAGAATATAATTTTGTAAGCTTTAGTAAGTTGTTTATTGCATTGACTACGCTGTCTTTTGTTCTGAGTTTAACTGAATGGTACAAATCAAGATTTAGTAAACAGAAGTAATCAGTCAAAAACCCATTCCTAGATCTAGTACGGCGGCTTTGTGAAAAATTGTGCACATCCTGCTACAAGCATGAAATTTGGCATAGACCTTCCTCAACTATTACTCTTTTATATCAGATAGGGAGGCATGTGAAAAAAAAAAACCACTTCCGGTAAAATCCAAAATGGCGGACATCATACTTAAATCAGCCCAATATCGATGGCTAGTATGTGAAAAGGTGTTATTATCAAGCTACTATCATAATATTTGGTACAAACCTTTGTTATGTACTACTTTTGGATATATTATATAGATTAGATGTCTTCAAAAACCCTACTTCCGGTAAAATCGAACATGGCGGACATTGTACTAAAATAAGCTTATTTTTAGGGAGGGTAATTGATATGTGTTTTAAAGTATTGCTTCTATCATTATATTGTGCAGGAACCTTTCTTTGGTGCTTCTCATGGATACAATTTATAGGACATATGTCTTTAAAACCCCTACTTCCGGTGATATCCAATATGGCGGACATAGAAATATAAAATTTTTATTTTAATATTAATTTTTTTACAAAATGTCAAGAAAATGTTTTTTTTGTGCTGGTCATTTAATTTTTGGCTGTAAGTTATCCTCAAAACCACTAAATCTATTCAACTGTAAATGTTTAAATACAAAGTTAACACTTCAGGTAAAAAAAACCAATATGGCGTAAATTTCAAAGATGAGTCCTCAATCCATATCTTCGATGTAGAGTTTTGGATAGATTGATTAAAACAAAATAAAATCACTTAAGTAATAAAACATCTTTTGAATTACTAATTTATGGCCGCAAATACATGTTTATTCACAATCGGAGAGCTGATTTTCCACATGTACAAAGACCGTGAAATTGTCTTTTACATCCAATGTACAAGCTCCTGATAAGATGAAGAGGCCTCACAAAGAGTTGTCCAAAAGGGTTCCCATGGATTATATTTTTCCCTTCGCCATTCATAAGCGTCTGGACTAGCTAGCATTGGAACCAATTCAAAGCTTGTTACTCATTCGCACCCGCCATGGTATATTGCACGTTTTACATGCTGAAAAAGACTAGACCGAGTCGTGGGAATAGCCTCAATAAGTCTTTCCTCTTCCAAAAACACATGTTTTCTTGCTTCGTTAACCCCATCTGATAAATTTGTTCGATCTTACAACAAAACCACTTATCGTTTTATCAATGACATTATCAAATCCATATCTGGTGATGTTGGCTGATCAATCATCATTCTAAATGATAAAGTCACATCTTCAAACGCCATCCATGTCACCAACGCAGTTCCTTTTCCAGCAAACGTGTAATCTCTCAATGCCTAGTGCATTTGAAAGGTCATGGATAGATATATATCTAAAGCTTTTCCCACTTCCAAATGCAAGCCAAAGTTCGTCTGCTCCTATGACACGGAATAGCGAAACAGCAATTACAACAACATCAGTATCGACTGTTCGGGTCATGACTCAGTTAAGTCTGTGTTTCACTGCATCAGACACATGCATCTTGATTCTAGTGTCAGCCTCTTCATGTGAACATGGTGCTAAACTTGAAACATCATCATGTGGTGGATAACACAGAACATCCTCAGCATTTGTTGCTACAACTACATTTTCCTCAAAATCTATTGAGCAATCTGCTGTGAATGAAAACTAAAAAGTTCTTTATTATTGTCGTCATCTCTCAGAAAACTTTGCCAATTTTGAGGAATTTGTTTTGACCCTGGATTCGCCTGTGTATTCCCTTTCCCCTAAATGTAGCTCTTGCTTCTTGAAGCAGCCTGTAAACTACCGGTATTGTCTATGTACGCATCCGAGACTACATTCACTGTTGTTACTGTTTCAAGGTGTTTAATAACGAGTATGCTGATAGGGTATTATGTCATACCTTAAAAAATACTTTAAAACTGTTACAGGAGTGGAAGAAGTCTTGGATGCGTATGGTACTTGTAGCAACAAATGCTCAGGATATTCTATCTTATCCACCACGTGAAGTATTTCAAGTTTAGCACCATGTTCGCATTAAGAGGCTGACACTAGAAGCATGGTGCATGTGTCTGATGCAGTGAAACACGAACTCAAACGAGTCATGATTCGAACAGTCGTTACTGATGATGCTGTCATTACTATTTCGCTATTCCGTGACATTTGGGTAGACGAACTATGGATTGTGTTTGGGAGGGCAAAACGTTTTGGATAAATGTCAATCAATGACCTTTCAAATGCACTAGGCAATGAGTGATCACACAGACTTATTGTGCTCCAAGCCTTAACCGGTTGTGATACGGTTCTATGTTCGCTTGAAAAGGAAAAAAAGACTGCGTGGGAGACATTAATGGCATTTGAAGATGGGACTTTAACACAAGGAATGATGATTGATCAGCCTAAATCACCGGGGTTTAACTGTAAAATCGCACAAACTTATCAGATGGGGTTAACATGGTTAACGAAGCAAGAAAATAACTATTTGCGCAAAAGGGAAGGCTAATTGAGGCTATTCCCTCAACTTGGTCTAGTCTTTTCCAGCATGTTAAACGTGCAATATACTAAGGCAGGTGTTAAGGGGGGCGAGCTTGGAATTGGCTCTTATGCTACCCAGTCCAGGCGCTAATGGATGGCGAAGGGACAAAGAGGATCACTTTTAAAAAAAACTCTTTCTGAGGCCTCATCATTTTGTCAGAAGCTTGTACATTGTGGATGTAAGAAAGGATGCCGTGGTCGTTGTTAATGTGGAAAATCGGGTCTCCCGTGCACTGCTTTGTGTGCATGTGGTGGTGAGTGTGAATATACATGTATTTTTGGCCAAATAGTAGTAACTTTAAAAATATTTTAGTACTTTTATTAGTGATTTTATTTTGTTTAATCAATCTATCCAAAACTCTACATCGAAGATATGGATTGAGGACTCATCTTTGATATTTTTTTACCTGAAGTGTTAACTTTGTATTTAAACATTTACAACAGGATAGAATTAGTGGTTTTGAGGATAACTTAAGACCAAAAGTTTAAGGACCAGCACAAAAAAAAAACATTTTCTTTACATTTTGAAAAAAGTTGAATATTAAAGTAAAAATTTGATATTTCTATGTCCGCCATTTTGGATATTACCGGAAGTAAGGGTTTTAAAGACATATGGCTTATACATTGTGTCCATGAGAAGCACCAAAGAAAGGTTCCTGCACAATGTAATGATAGTAGCAATACGTTAAAACACATTTCAATTACCCTCCCTAAAAAAAAGCTTGTTTTAGTACAATGTCCGCAATGTTGGATTTTATCGGAAGTAGGGTTTTTGAAGAGATCTAATCTATATAATATATCCAAAAGTAGTACATAACAAAGGTTTGTACCAAATATTATGATAGTAGCATGATAATAACACCTTTTCACATACTAGCCATCGATATTGGGCTGATTAAAGTATGATGTCCGCCATTTTGGATTTTACCGGAAGTGAGACATTTTTTTCAAATGCCTCCCTATCTGATATAAAAGAGTAATAGTTGAGGAAGGTCTATGCGAAATTTCATGCTTGTAGCAGGATGTGCACAATTCGTCTGAAATATGCTTGTAGCCGCTGCACTAATCTGTTTACTTCTTACCATCAACGTCAACCTCATTAACCATATCTTCTAACTCCTGATTCGTTGGGTTTTGACCTAATGACCTCATAATTGTTCCAAGTTCTTTTGTTGTTATGGTACCATCGCCATCCTTATCAAACATTTTAAATGCTTCGCGATATTCTGCAAAAATAAATTATCAATCTTTTAATAATACAAAGATTTTGCTATTTTTAGGTGAAATATGGTAAAATAAATTAGCATGTTGATATAATGACAGCCGTACTGCGAAATACTAAGATACTTCCTTATAACGAGAGTCAGTGCTTTTACTTCTGTGTCATTTTTTTCTTATGCTCAGATGTCTACATATATAAACTTAAGAAACAAATTTAATCTTGAAGCAACAGTCATAACGACGAATAAAGAAAAAAATGTTGTATGCTCATATTGCAGGAATATTAAATATAAATTATATTTTTTGTTGGTATTAGTTGGTGATGTTTGACTCAATTCCAGTTTTTTTTTCGATCGGTTAGCCGAAATATAAGTACATTATTTAGTTGAGATGAACTGTGCATCGTTGCTTATTCTACTGCAGAAAAAGAAAACTACACAAAGAACATCTGCTTTAGGTGTATATATTTTTACATTGGTAACGCTTTTATTTTTAAGATAACTGTTTTATATGTATATATAGTGCACCAGACGTCAATGCTCAATATTTCTACAGTCAAGACGTATTAATTCTTGAGATAACTTTTCATGTATACTTATTCATTTTCCCCTTTTTCCCCGTTTGTTTATCGAATGGAATTTGCAATACAGCCAACATGACTTATCTGCCTTATTCAGTATGCATTACTTCCTTCCAAGTTATCCAACATATATTATGATTGGCCCTGAGGTAGTCCAAATGTTTGGATTGTTTCTGTTTATATTTTATAAGATTTATAAGATTTATGACAGTTTTTTTCCCAGCAACTGTGGTCTTCAATGCACGGTTGCAATAAAGTTCCACTCAAACTGGTGTTAGGGTCGTCTTGAACACGCATTCATATGTGAGCCCTGGTTCCATGTTAAAAGCCTCATTGTGACTTTGAAACTTTTGCAATAAAAGCGTTGTTAGTTTTGCTTTACGTTTAGGAAAGTGCGTGTTATGATTGTTTTTTTCAAGAATAAAACACAGTGTCAGTACTATTCACTTTTGTCGCTTACCTTGAATTTGTTCTGGCGTCAAGTTCTCAACCTGAAAAAAAGGAAAAAGTTCTTCATGCTGTTTAAATGCAATATAAGTTGAAGAGTCAGAAAACTGTACAAAACTGCAGAAAACGTTTATTGCACATTTTAGATATAATTTACCGAAATTTTAGATATACTCAATGACCTACCTTTTTCTTTATGAGTGACATATTTATTTTCATTAACTCTATTTTCCCACCAAACTTTAACCAGCATGCTCCCTTTAACTGTTCGTGTATCGATACAATGTACCATAAACTTACTTTTCAAAAAAGCAATTGCTTTTAATCATCCAAGAGTCCTTGATGTACATATCACGTTCAGGTATTCGATATCAAATGAAATAAATGTGAATAATAATTAGTTATTAACACTTAGCGTGCTGATAGTCATTTGTCGATCTACTGTAAACTTAATTGATGTGTCGTGTTTGGTATTTACTTATAATCGACCCAGCATCATCTCTTAGTTAAAAACCATATCGGTGTAACATCCATGTTCTAACATTAAGCCTGATCATTGAAATTTCACACACTGTATTGATCAAGCTTGTTCTTGCTTGATTTATACTTTATATGGATAAGTAACCGGTGTGTGAAAAGGTTAAAAGCATCAAAGTTTATAGTATTCGGTCATTTAAAAAGTGAAATTTGTATTTAATGAATAGTGTGTTTAAGTGTCTCTCTTTTATTGTTTTATTACAATCAATATTTGAAAGTTGAACAAAAAGAATAAATTAGTTTGAAATACCAGACTACTTTCGTCCTTGACAGTATATTCCTTCTGCATGACTGAACGAGTCCTTTTTGCTGACTTGATATTTAAAAAAAAACCTAGGGTTTAGTTTTCTTAAATCTAACTAAGGATTTTATTAACTTCTCAATCAAAGTTTTATTGGGCTGTTTCTCTTGGATTTGTTATGCAAATATTTGACAAACTGAACATTTATACATATAATTTAATATTTATTGTGTTAATATAACTGGAGGCTCTAAAGAGCCTGTGTCGCTCACCTGGGTCTATGAACATCTTCAACAATGTACTCTCTCCAACATTGTGGACTTGAAGAGAATTCATGACAAAAATCTTTTTTTTTTGTTGATCTTGTATTGCTGAAATTTTTTTCTGTTAACTGTAAACCAACAATTTCGACAAAAATTTTACTAATTTGTAGATCTTGTCTTGGCTAGTTGCTCACACCTTTGTCATTTAGTCTTTAATGGCTGGTATTCTCAAAGGCAATCAAACCACGTCACCTTATTTTTAGCAAGTTGCTGTTCATTTTTGCTATTTTAAGTGTCCATCTATCTTTTATTTTTGAAGATAGTAGTCAAAAATGTAAAATATTGGTAAAAATCGGCATTTAAGAACAAGTACTCCTACAAGGAGTCGACTGATGATTTCGGCTATTTAACTTTTTTGAAGATCAAGTCTTGCTGATCATTTTTGCTAATTTAAGTTTCTATCTATCTATAATAGTTTTTCCGATATTAGGCAAAAACGCAAAAATTTTAGGCCAGGTGATCTAAAAATAAGGAGACGTGGTTTGATTGCCTTTGAGAATACCAGCCATTAAAGACTAAATGACAAAGGTGTGAGCAACTACAAGTCATCGTACGGCCGTACCCCTGAATGAGAAAAAACTCGTACCGTATAGCTAGTTACAAAAGGCCTCGGCATGGACAAAATTGAGAAAATTCAAAAGGGAAAACCAACAACCGTTTTATACTACAACAATAAGCAAAAACAACTACAACCGACGACAACCACTTGATTACAGACTCCTTGGTTTAAAAAGGCACACACAGAATGTGGCGGGTTTCAAAAATCAACCCCTTAAAAACAAGAAAAAAAAACTGGGACAGAAATGTAAAATGCAACATTAGAATAAAGTGTAAAAATTGGTTGAAAAGGGCTTGATTCATCAGATCGACACTAAGCACAAAAACAATAACAGAAAAGTCAAAAGACACAAAGTATCGATCTAAAATTACTTAAAGTTATACTGAAAGCTATAATTGCAAAGCCCTATTTCAACTAATAAATAAACCATGTTATCCAAGACTAAAATATCAATCAGTACACCGCCAACAGATTTAGTGTAAAGACGCCATAAGCAGTCAGAGAAAACTATAACTTTATATAATGTCAAAATATCGACAAGATGTAGGACTATAAGTTTCAATAACTGGATAGCAGGTTATTTTTTTACGAAACCCATTTATGAAATTTCACATCAAGAATTTGAAAATGTTAATATTTTTAAAAAGCAAAAATTTCGTATTTTAAGATATTGTTTATTTTATATATAATTAAACGGTGCAGAAAGTATAAAGATTGTTAAACCCATAATGCCAAATTTCAGACTTATTCTTTTCGATCATGTTCACGTTTACTGTGCAGCGTTGCGGCGCTTTGTAAGGTTGCCTATATTAAAACATTGATTTGATAGACTGTATTTGAGATCTTCACATGTACTAAGTTCCAACAAAAGATTTAAATGGACAAATAAAATACATGTTACAATAAAATCATATTGACCTCTTGTGTACAAGATTAAATATCAAATGATTGATTAACATTAGCATAAACACTTTAAAGGTTTTGAAGTACCTATATTATTATGGAAACTATGTACTGATTGTTAAATCAAAATATTTTTCATATGTATACAAAATCTCAAGCACTACATATAAATTTTCCTTCATCTAAATTATATGTACTTTGCTGTATATTTGATTTAATCAACAAAATTGAAGGGTCCATACATGAAGAACATATGCAATTGTAATAAATTTGGTTTGAATACGACACGAAAGGAAAAAACATACGCCGACTATTATTAACCTTTTAATATATCATGATTATGGTCAATCTTTTCAGTTTTGTAATTATGCAAACATAATTCACATGTGTATAACGATCAAAAGATTAAGTATGGCATACTCCCAATGAGACCAGCAACCAAGGATAAATATATAGATCGTCAGATGCTTATACAATATGTCAGGCTCAAAATCGCCCAAATTCCTGACAAGTTGTGAAAAAAGTGTATCACAGACAACTAAAGATCTGTCAACAACACCAAATGCATGAAAGGACGGATAACATACAGATATAGTTGACGAGGACTGGTAAATATTACAGAATTTCAAAGTGGTTGGGTTAACTGTTGTTTTAATTAACACTGAACCTTTCCCTTTATTATTATCCTCCCCTATATGTTGACCCTCTCTTTATTTACACCATCAGTGAAATAACAGAAGGTACACTGGTACACGGAAGAACATCAATTATAAATTCAGTTAAAAACACATAACTTTATAATTTCGAATAAAAGAACACAATTATACTTAGGTACTCAATCTGCATATACAAAAATCATACTTTGTTACACTCAATATCAGCCGTATGTGTAATCATTTCAGAGAAATTTAGTTGCGAGTACATGTCTTGCAGCAACGTAATAAATCCTACCGAAAACAGACATAAGTTTATGTACAGAATTTGAACAGAAAACAAATGAAACTTCAAACTTATAATTATCAAACCAAAATTAATCTTATCCTTGCTCTCTGTAAAATGCATAATACTTGCATTAGAGAAGTGAATGGAAAACAAATACGAAATCGTTCACATATGCATTTTCGAATAAATACACAACGACACCTGTTGTTATCTCAAAATTATATCCATTCCTAGTATGCCCTAAACTTCCAACCTGATAGATTCCCATACATAAAAACATATTATATGTATGGTTGTAATAGTATCCACTTCAAATAAAGTGTGCCACATGTGGAGCAGGATCTGCTTACCCTTCTGGAGCACCTGAGATCACTATGTTGTGGTATTTTGTGTACTGTTTGTTTGTCTTTTCGTCGTTTTTCGTTTTTTGCCATGGCATTGTCAGTTTGTTTTCGACTTATGACTTTGAATATCCCTTTGGTATCTTTCGCCTCTCTTTAACAAAAAAAAAAAGTAATTAATTCTTCAAAATGACACAAAAGTTGCATCGTCTTTAGATGTTGATAATTCTGTGAGCCAATAGAACTTCTTATATTATTTTTTTTTCTGATAAATGAATTCATTCGCTTTCTTTGTTAAGCGTTCAACAATTGTCATGGTTTGTACACGACTATTAGTGAACTATGTAGTGTTTGTGTGTACTATTATTTGTCTGTTTGTCGTTATTCGTTTTGGTCATGGTCATTTAATTAGACTTATGGTTTTTGATAGCCCATTACTCTCTCTTTTTCAAAATTTTTACGTTCTTGAAATGCGAAAAAAAACCTGACAAACTGTACAAGCTATTTCCAGAACATGACAAAAGACCACCCGTGTACAAAAAGAGACAGAAATCTTAAAATTTGTACTTTAAAAACTTTGTGTTCTAGTAAGACTATGTATAGGGGCATGGAATACTTACCTGTAATCTAGATCGTACCATAAGGTATACTATCTGAATTGTATAGGACATTATTATGTATGATGACATCAATATTATCTTTATCAAAATCTGAGTATAAGACAATGATCAATAAATAATTGTGCAACTTTATTTGGTCGGGATTAAATGAATAAGATGTACGATATATTTTGTATAAAAGACAAATGTCAAGGCCCACTAGGTGCGATAAGGGCATTAATGAAACGTTCCTGGTATTCGTAAATAAAGATCACATGCGGGTACCAACTAGATAATTTAGAATTTAGAAATAACATCTATATTTCTGTAAAACATTCCGGTTTTTTGGGGGGAGGGAAGGGTCGCACAAATTTCATTTATTTATTTTTTCCAATACAGGGTTTACATTCTTATAACCTTCAAGATATAAATATTTTTCTTAAAGAACACATCTTTGCCAGTCGTCACTCCGTTCTTTTTCCCACAACCCTTTACAAATATCTTTAAGGTCGACACCATGTTTTGTCTTTTAGTTTTCATTGTTTATGATGCGCAAAATTCCGTTTGTTTTAGGGCAACAAGGATTATAAGTATACCTCAACCTTTATAAAGGTTAATCTGCAATATCAAGTCAGACGTTTTTGATTTATACATATTGACATGGTCTTAACGTACAGAAAATGAAAGCTAAACTAAAGATAGTTTGAAGGTTTTCTGTGAGATGGGTGTTTCAAAAAAAATAAACAGAAAACGTTTTATCACTCACATAGCAAAAATGCGCCCTTGATAATGATTGCCAGAAAAAAGAGAAAATGAAAATGTCATTTCTATTTAAGCAAAAATTCGCACCTCCTCCCTTTCCACCTCTACACCCATAACAGACTTGATTTAGTAAGTCCGGAGGAAGGAGGGGAATCTTCGACTCTAACCTGCGATTAGGTAGTGTGTTGGCAACCAAAATTGAGGCTAATATATACAGTGTATAGAAAAAAAATCATTATATAATTGCATAAAAATGATTTCTTTTAACAATAATGAGTTCCTTTCTTCGTATTTGGTAAAGATATATGAATGCCAAACAACAATAAAATCTGCGACCTTCTTTTTCACTGATATTAGGTCTTTTGATAGTCACTGTTCAAAATTTTTACTATTAGTGTAAACAGGTTAATCAAGATCTGAACATATTTTCATAGATCAGGTGCGAATCCAGGATTTTGATAAAGATGGGGTTCCCTGGCAAGCCAACGTTTGGAGTGATACTTGTAAAAAGTCTATGCATTTATCATATATGTAGCTCCATAAGGGGAGCCGGACCCACTCCCCTAAATCCGCCTCTGTAGATGCATATACTTTTCTATTGTTGAATACGTATGATGCTCTATAGATGTTCTTTTTTCTTCTTTTATAATATTGCTCGGTTTCAGTCTCATTGATGTATACTCTAATAAAACCTCTTATTTGTATGTTTTATTTCAATCGTGAACCTTGTAAAAAGAAAATACATATATATACACCACTGGCTGTATTTTAAGTGTATTTGACATTCGGATTTGAGTAAATATTTGGCTTATATTTTTGTATGTTTGAACACTTATTAAAATCAAAATTTTGTATCAACATTACTGAATTTATAATGAATTTTACTCGTTTTTTAACAGAATTTTCCAGATGTTGGCTTTTTAATATAAATTTCTATAACAGTTTCAAACTAAATCTTGAGAAAATCTACAAGTATGATAATACATAAAAAATATTGGACAGGGCAACAGACCACAGCAACCGCCAACCTCTTAATTCTCCGAATAAAATAAACAACGTACAAAGACAAACAATAATCATTGATTGTTGGTTACTTAACGTCCAGTGGCAAATAATTCATGCATGCTCGGGACGAGTAAAACAAACAATGAACACCACATGGTACAATTTAAGGCATATACCGTAAAAGCAAAATACACAATTTGCTCTATGAAGGCCCTAGAATGTTTTCCCGACGCTTAAGGTGAATGCGCGTATATTTTTCAAATTATAATGTATTTATTTTTTATATAACTTTATAAATGTTCATAACCATACATTGGTATTTATAAAAATTATAATATACATATTGAACATGTGCACCGCATATAGTTTTGAAAAATAATATACATCTGCGTTTACTCTTGTTTGAAATCATGATTGTTTGCAGCTAATTTCACCGTTGGTCATAGCTTTGCCGAAACGTGTGTTCTAACCTCTGATATTTCGACATGAAGAGTCGTTTGTTAAGTGTCATTCAGTGTCATATGTAATGACCTTAGGAAATTAATAATTATAATTGTAGATATTTAATCATTACAGAAATTTCGATAGCAACAGTAGTTCGGTCTACTGTCGTAAATATGTGAGTAAAAAATTGCTGAACATAAAATAAATATGAACACATTAAGTGTACCTACCATTTTGATGTCTCTTGTGGTCCTCTAGTTAATGAAAGTTGTTGAATCAGTTCATCAGAATATGTAATGCAGCAGTTTTATTTATGAACTCATTCATGATATCATCTTCTTATGATAGTTCTATAGGAACAAATAGAATTTAATAGTGTCCGAATGTATATTACACTAATAACAGTTATGAAAAAATGGTATACTATTTTTAATTAATACATTATGATTTAAACAAACAGGTAGATTTGATATTTGATGAACGTCAAATTAAGGTACTTCCAGGGGTCAAAGGTCTGTTGTATTATGTTATTATATGTTTCGGTCATTTAATATGATTTGTTACATACTACAGTTAGATCACGTGACAATACAGCGCTAAATACAACCCGTTTAAATGTTATGTGAATAACGAAAGAGAAAGAAAAAACAAACATATTTACATTTTTTTATGATGCTGTTGTGCGTTTTCTATATAGGGCTACAATGAACAGTGACTGAAAAGTCACAGTAACATTTTTAATAGCTTGTCTTCTGTAATGTCAATCTATTTATCCAATGCAGGAATCTGGGGCCAGTTTCACAAAGCTGTCTTAGGACTAAGATATGTCTTAGGATGGTCTTACGACATATCTTAGTCCTAAGTGGGTTTCACAAAGTGGTCCTAATTTAGGACATCTCTTAAAGTTGGTCATAAAGTTAGGACTACACGAGAGGTGTCTTATGATGGTCTTCTTCTTCCAAATACTGCCCACATTCAACATGATGAATATTCTGGCAAGTTATGTTATTATTATTATTTGATTATCTAATCTCCTTGTTCTACTCGAAACAAAATCTTTATAGGTTGGGGGATTATCAACAATGATTTATCAACAATGAACATTCGATTTATTTATATCAAAAATGCACGATTTTATCCTTTAACCTTTTTATAACCGATACAGTGAAAACTTGAATTCAACTCACTTGTACAAAATCAAATAATCATCAGCTTATTGTTTTTTTTTCTCAAATTTTTATTTGAATTTTTATATGCATATTGGTGTATTATTAATAGATTATTTATATAAATTAAACTAATGCTTTATATTAATTTTACGAAATATCTAATTCTGGAATATTAATCAATACGTTAAGTAATTTATTGGAAGCACATAATACATTTACATGAATTTTTCCATGAATCCATGTTAATATTTAAAAATTTAAAGAACTTGCGACAGGTTTAGGATATCTTAGCTAAGATCATCCTAAGACAGCTTCGAGGCGTGGTCTGAGATATGTCCTAGGATAGTCATAAGAGGATCATAAGACATGTCCTAAGATATATCTTATGACAGGTCTTAGGATAGCTTCGTGAAATCGGCCCCTGGTCAGTGATTTCCGCTGTGTATTTGTATTTTTGTCTGTTTTAACGTTCGATACTTATTTCAGATCTTTTTACTGTTGGGTCCATTCACATTTCATTTGAATTATATTTGTTGACGATTATATGCACGAGCTTACTTATCTGTCCTGTTGTAAAAATGCGTGAAACTGTAAATTTTATTTATTTTCCTCTTTTTATGTCATATTTGGTATCAAAAGTCCTTACTTTTCATGAGTAATGCGTTTGATATTTTTATTAACAAAGAAGTGCATTTTGTTCGAGAAATCCGAGTTTTAAACTCTTTTTTCAAAATTAGTTGGATTAGAGACAATTTTAGTTGTGTGAGCGTTACTATGAAATATTTATGGAACAAGATTAAGATTATGTCGTGAGAATACCTTTTGACAACAACGATAATAAATTTTATTCACTTTAATATCAACATAGAAAATGTTCATAAGGTGAAAAATGTCAATTAACCCTTAATTTAATCTGCTTTCGGAGGGTATCACCAGCCCAGAAGTCAGCACTTCTGTGTTGACATGAACTATCAATGACATAATCATTATTATAGAATAACTGTTTGTAAAACATTGAATTTTTCGAAATACTAAGGATTTTCTACCCTAGGAGTAGATTACCTTGCTGTATTTGACAAAACCTTTCGGATTTTTGGGTCTTCAATGCATGCTCTTCAACTTCGTACTTTATTTGGCCTTTTAACTTTTTTTCGAGTATCACTGATGAGTCTTTTTTAGACGAAACGCCATTTTGGCGTACAAAATTTTAATCCTGATATCTATGATGAGTTTATTTATTCGATATAATTCATTGTTTGGAAACAACTTATTTATTTTCCCCCTTTTCTTTTTTCATTGGTTAAAACGTTTCTAGGGTCTGATGTTTTAAAAGGGTTAGTTTTGAGAGAAAAAGAGAGGAAACCAATCAACGCACCTGTTCGCCCCGTACTCGATCTACGAGTAGCGGCGTACGTTAAATGTACGTTGCAATGATAACTGTTCTGTAAATACGTTTTGTGCACTGAATGTATATATGTTTGATGGGAAAATAAAGAATGCAAACGTCATGTATTCAGTCTTCTTCCCGGTGTCCTTAATGAAGCAAAACTGAAGAGTCTTTTTTTTTTATTTTCTTTTCGGTAAATAAAAAGTCTTTTCATAAGGTATGATCTTAAATTGCGTTTCGTGTAGTTCTGGTTTTGTTGTCTGTGATACTGACATTATTGAAACATTCAGGTTTTCTGTGTTACAGTAAATTCGCCTTTTTTTTTCCTTTTTTTTTTTCTTAATTTTTCTGATTTAGACAATAGAGAGAATTAAGATCATATGTCGGGCGAGGTGTTATGTGTTTCTGCGGATTGCTACCTCGTTGTTAGAATGTCGATTTAAGTTCTAAGTAAATCTCATATTTACATAATTAAAATGCAATCCATTCTGCAAAACTTTGAACATTCGTATATACTCTCTCTATTTTGTTTACTCTTTTTTATTCTATTGTTTATGACTGAAGTACCATTATATTGTTCAAAATTTGTGTAGGCTTAAACTAGAAAGTCATAATTTTCTGGATTAGTGATTGTCTTTTCGTCTTTTTTCTATTTTGGCTATGGTCTATTCCGTCTGTCTTCGACTTGTGGTTTTTGATTGCTCTTGGTATCTTTAAACTATTTCTAAACTAGGTATTGACTCCATTTAATTAATTCTGTTATAACGTCGCTTGAAAAAAAAACAAGACATAAAATTCATTTTAAACATGCTGTTGATTGATTGGTTGTTGGTTGCTTAACGTCCAGTGGCAAATATTTCATGCATGTTCAGGACATCCTATTGAGTTAATTCGACAATGTGATTGTTGATTGCTTAACGTCCAGTGGCATATAATTCATGCTTGTTCAGGACATCCTGTTGAGTTAATTCGACAATGGAGACGAAGTACTGCGCTGTAACATGAATTTATTGAAAAGTCACTATGCAGTCATATCTCTCCAAACATAGTGAAAATATAAAGCTATTTTGACAATACACAGATTAAAACGAGATCTCGAATTTAACAGAAACCACTTTTGTACAACACAATTATACCACTTTAAAATAAAGGAAAAATTCTATTTTTGTTTCTTCTTTTTTTTTTTGGGGGGGGGGGGGGTGTTATTGTGTAGTTTGGTTGCTGTCTCGTAGATTAATTCATAAATAAAAGTTCCTAAAATACAATTTGCTGTTCTATAATTTCAGTATAGAAAAGACGATTTTATTTGATCAAGTTTAGAATAGAATGTGTGAGATTGCTGTTTCCTTTCTGTCAGATATTAATGCTGATAATTTGTCTCTTCTGACATAATAGTCGTATAAATTTGCTTTCTTGCAGTTTTTGCTGTATAGATCAGACCACAAAACGAGTTAATTGCAAGCAGTCAGTATTTTGTCATCGCCAATTAAGATGCAGAATTCTTTATCATTGTCTCAAATTCTGAAATGAAATTTAATAAAATATGTAAGCAAGGCAAAACTTATACCTCCTAGTCTGTTATGTGTATATAAGTCTAATAGTGAAGAATATGCTTTAATATATAATTTTTACTGCTAGTAACTGATAAAATACGTTTTTTTTTCGGGTTACACTACTTACTCATAGGTTCATCAAAACGACGGTTGCATTCCAGCATGCAGCCACTACACTAGCTTATACCCTTTCCGTTTGTCTTCCAACAATTACTAGAGTCTAGGCATTTTTGTCCCCCGGGCGACGCGTTGCGGAGGAAATAGAAATACCGGCAATCCGTCCGGTCTTGTTGGCGCTCTCATGTGTACAATTCTTGCCAGATCTTTATAAAACTTATATCATAGGTTTATATCACCAATGTCTCGAACATGTTCGAAAATTGGTGCCGATCAATTATTTTTGAAAGAGTTATGTCCCTTTGAAATGTTAATATATGAAAAAATTCATTGTTAGCGTTGTCATGTGTATAATTCTTGTCAGATTTTTATGCAACTTATATAATTGGTTTATATTACTAATGTCTCGGACAATTTCGAAATTTGGTGCCGATCAATTATTTTTAAAAGAGTTGTGCCCTTTGAAATATTAATTATATGAAAAAATTGCATTGTTAGCGCTATCATGTGTACAATCTTTACCAGATTTTTATGAAACTAATATCATAGGTTTATATCAGCAATGTCTCGGACAAGTTCGAAAATCAGTGCCAATCAATTATTTTTAAAAGATTTGTGCCCCTTTGCAATATGAACTATACGGAAAATTGCATTGTTAGCGCTCTCATGTGTACAATTCTTTGCAGATTTTTAGGAAACTTATTACTAGTATATTATAGGTTTCTATCAGCAATGTCTCGGACAAGTTCGAAAATTGGCGCTGATCAATTATTTTTAAAAGAGTTATGCCCCCTGAAAATATTAAGTATATTGGAAATTACATTGTATTTGCTCTCAAGCCTTTATTTCTATAAAGTATTTATGAGAAGTTTAAAAGAAAAAAAATTGTTATTGTCCTTGGATAGATAAAATATGTGCAACGCGGGGACATTGGAACTCTGTTCATTTATAATTCCAATACATGAAGTGGTTAATGATACATATGGTATTGATGAATATTTGTATCCAACCAATAAATTCTTTGGCAATTTAACCCTTTCCGCACCCATTGTATAAAAAATTTAATCAATATGTGGTTGTCAATGATCTCAGAAGATGATTGGATGGGTCATAACTTTTATCAGCTCACTGGATGAATCAAAATGTGCTAATAGGTGTTAATAAAATTGACAACTTTGTGGAATGTGGAAGGCACCTCGAAGGGGATTTTCGTTTATCAAAAATGAAAAATTATTTGATAATCATTAGAGAAACAGATTCTTACATAGTAACTCGTGGATTATCGGATTTATCCAATCTCGATAGTAAAACTATCAATTTTAAAGTCCTCGCCGAGGCTCGGACTTTAAAATTCGATGATTTAACTATCTCGATTGGATAAATCCGATAATCCACTGGTACCAATGTAAGAATCGAGAATCTATAGTTATTGTTTAAAAATTAGCTTAAATCTTGAAATAAACTGTTTATTTGTTTTTAAAAAATGATTACATTAGAGGCAACAATAGTTTACCGATGTTCAAATCGTATCTCTAGTGAGTAAATTAACTGAACAATATATAATCATAGAAGAGTTCTGGATTTATTTATACTGCCTTTAGAACTATAAGTATACCAAATAGTGTTCATACCTTCAAAATCAATCACACCGTCTTTCTTAAGATCAGCTCCATCTATCATTAGTTTAATTTCATCCTCAGAACATTTTATCCCAAGACCAGAAAAGACTTTCTGAAGATTATCACATGTAATTAATCCAGTGTTATCAACATCAAACACGTTAAATGTCTCTAGAACAACATCATCCTCGTTTTCTCCATTGGTTAATACCTTGTCCTTCATCATTTCAACAAATTCGTCGATCTCAATTGTTCCATTTCCTACAAAATAACCGACCTACTTATATTTAATGTAGAAGAGCATGCCAGAATTTAATTTTGATACAGAGAGACAATTTTATTTGTTGTTCCTTATTTAACAAAAAAGATTCGAATTTGCAGTAATGCTTGTGTGAAATAACGAGCAACAAAAACGAACACTTATTAATTGCGCAGTTTATAAAGTGTAGTTTTGAAGTTAAAAAGTTAATGAAGAGTTTTTACTCATATCTATTTATAAGGGTAAATATAGTCGGTTCAAAAACACACTACAAAACCTTCGTTTTAGTTTAGTTTAGTTCAAACTGCGTAGTCCCCCCACTGCAAAATGTTATTTCTCAAAGAATGAAAGTGATGAAAATTAATCAAATCTCTCGGTCCTAAACAACAGACAAGTAAGTCGCTCATTTGAAATGATGTGAAATGCTTTTCACGTTTACTTTACAAAAATTAATGCGAGTTAGATTTTTAAAAGTACATTTTGTACTTCCGAATCGGTACAAATTCGCGTTTTTTTCTTCTCCAAATTACCCTTTTATTTTCTGTGCAATGTGATCAGGTAAGCATTTAGCGTGATTATCGAGGTCGCATTTGTCTATTTGATAGTTTTTTTCTAACGCCAGTGTCAAATTCAGGACGAGAACAAATTACCAATATGCTTTGTAAATCAGCATAGGGGACCGAAATGAAAGGTGACAATTTCAACTCATTGTTAAAGGCTATACAGTGACCAATAATTGCTTATATCTCCGTCATTTGAACTTTGGTGGATAATTCTCTCATTTGCAATCATATCACATCATTATTTTTTATGCAGTTGCTTGGCACTATGCTTTCACGCGTCATCTTCAATTTAACGTCCAAATTCCGACCGGACATAAATGCGTATTGAGTATTACTGACAGATTAGAAAAGTCCAGAGAGGGTCATAATTCTACATCCAGGTGAATCTCTTGGTACCGATGTTTGAAGTTTACTGTCATTTTAGATCAAAGTAACACAAACAAAGTAGTAAAAAGGGTACAGTATACCAAAGGGACAACGAAAAACCATAAATTAAACCATGAAGTAAACAGTATAATCATAAGAATTAAAGACGAACAAACAAACAATCCAATAAGATAACACAGACAACAAAAGATTCAGCACCACCTACCCCTAAAAAACTTGAGATGAACTCAGGTGTTCCGAATGGTAAATAGTTTCTGCTCCATTAGTGACACCAGTCTTAATGCTTATTTTAAATTACAAATGTAAAAACATTTTGAGAGAGTCGCATTTGGTTATGTTATAAATTAGGAAAAGAAGATGGGGTGTGTCTACGACACGATGTCATCTGATAATGTCATCTGATACAGATATTCCATAACAGTCAGCCAAATAACGATGCCACCCCAAAACGTGGCTTAAACTTTACTATTAAGGAGCCAAAGATTCAATTTATGTTGATTCAATAATGTAAATTAAGTTTAAATATAAAATAAAAAAACGAAGAAAATGTATTTGATATGAATAAAATATGTGGTTTATGTCAACGAGACAACAACCGTTCGACAAAAATAGCCAAAAATGAGGCGGGCAAATGATATCTAGAATGTTTTAGCAAAATTATTATTTATAGATATTTGGTTATATACTAATCAGCAGCATTATATTTTCATGTGTATATTTATAGTCCACAAACCGTCTTCATCAACTTCATTTATCATATCCTGAAGTTCGGCCTCAGTTGGATTCTGTCCAAGTTGCCTTAAAACTGTGCCTAGTTCTTTTGAAGTAATAGTGCCTGAATCATCGTCATCAAACAGTTTGAAAGCTTGTTTGAAATCTAAATAGTAATACAGACATAATCGAAATTAAATAAGGGTAAGTTACTGCAAGCTTCTGTTTTGTATTTAAATAGATTAAAACATAATGTAGATCTACCGTAAACATGTTCATTGCGGAACTTTTCTCAAAGTGGATGTGTTAAACGATTGGCACGACTGTATAAAATAGTTTACTCGTTAAACAATTAACAAACATTTGCAGACATTAACAGTCATCAGATATTGTCTTGTTTTAAGTGCATGAAATATTTCTAAATAGATAATATTCAAGAAATCAACAATCAACCAATATTTTCATATCCTGAAATTCGGCCTCCGTTTGAGTTGCCTTAAAACTGTACCTTGTTCTTTTAATCGATTGCAGGCGCGGATCCAGGATTTCATTTGGGGGGCGCTCCTCAGAATTAGGACCATATTTTGAAAAACAAATTGACTGTAATTTTACCTATAAATAACTTTTTTTTTCTTTTTTTAAGGGTAGCGGGTGCGCCTCAGTCTGAATCAGAGCCTGGATTGGTTATTAATTCATTGTTTTATAATTGTGTGATGAACCCCCAGTGTCAAATAGTTAATGAATACACAGAACAAGAATTACAAAATTGACAAAACTATAAAAAGTAAGGATCTGTAATGTGGGTCGATCGCAATAAAGGGCGATGCAACTTAAGACTGCCTCTTAAAAAAGGTGGAATATTGCATTTGATAGATGCAGAACATTTGCCTTGCAATAGGCCAACTGCGAACCCTCATAGAGTTGATGCAATGGTTCTTTCCAAATGTACGTGGCACTCTACGTACACGAGGCATCTGATTTAGCGTCCCCGTTCCGAACGAATGTGCCTGCTGGTTTACAAATCCCGCACAGACACACAGACGCCCTTCTTTGGCATGGATTTTAATGCCATATCGGACCATGTCTCTATACCCCAGTCAATCAATGGGGTTAAATGTGTTTGAAGAAAAGTTTTACCTGCTAAAATGTCTGGTGGTATCTCAATTTCTTTTGGTGTTTCCGGTGTTTGCCGACGAGACGCTCTGCTTGTGCTTGCCTGAAATTATCCATTCTATGAAAAATTTAAACTAAAACTGAACTACAACCTTTATTTTCAAGGTGATATAAATAAAACGAATTTACGTTTATCCATTATATACCATAAAAGTCAAATTTGAAAGAATTGCGAGCTGGCCTTCCTCCTCCAATTTATATAAATGTTACAAAATACATTTTCTAAGCCCCATTCCTACTTCTGATTAAAGTGAGATACAACAATAAAAAGGTCCACAAAACCATAAAGCATCGTAGATGACAATGAAACTAATACTAGTATGTGGTTTAGGAGAGTTGACGATATAAATACACACACTCTCTTTTGTATATACATATAAGTACATATAAAAATAAGGTGATGTGGTATGATTGTCAATGATACAACTATATATCAGATACCAAGAATAGAAGATGTATACAACTGTTTACTGTCATAATCCCGCTGAAAATCAAAATTCAAACCAAAGATGCACTACGAATTTATCTTAAAGAATCTGTAAGAGTTTAATTTTAAAATCAAATCAAGGGTAAGTACAGAAGAATTTGCAGACACAAATTCATATTCCTTTCGAAGATATGGCAAAGTACAGATTTCTTTTTAGAATTAACATATTTGGATAAAAATAGTAAGTCCTTTAAAACATATCTAAAAAATCCAGGTAAAAGTTACATTCCGTGGTTTAGAAGAGCACATATCTAAATGTTTGCCTATCTTTTTAACTTAAAGCAAATTCATTATATTCAGTATATTGCGATTGAACCCCTCCCCCCCCAAAAAAAAACAACGTAGAAAAAAATCCGATTTCAATGTCATTAGTTATAATAGATTCTCTGATAGATTATTTACATCAATTGTTCAGAAAGATATAATATGCAGACGTAAGAGGTGTTTAACAAAGTAAAGAAGGTTGTCTATTCCAATCTCCATAAAACAATTACCAGATAAACACGATTGGGAACTATCATGGCTTTAAATATAAAAGCTAAAACCCAAATTAACGGTTTAGAATTGATTCCCTCTCTCTGTTTCACTCTCTGTTTCACTTTTGGAAAAATACATCTCTATTCGTCGAAAAAGAAAATAATGAATTGTAAATTAAAATACTTACCATTATTCCTTCAGGATTACGACGACAGTGACATCCATTTATTGTGTGTTTGAAGGCCGAAATCCATTCTTGTGAATTAACATATTTAATAGATAACAATTTAAATTTAAACATTCTTTTATTTGAATTAATATTCTTTACAAAACAATAACCGTACATTTTGAATAATTTAAACCAGACATCAGATAAATAATGAAATAAATCAAGACAACCCATTGTGTTATTTCTGAACTGACTATAGCCTTTATTACGTATATGGAGCTTAAAGATCGCACTTCGTTGGTAATATTACCTTATATAGAATCCTGGGTTTTGATTGGGTATAGCTGGTGTATTTTTTCATGTATTTCATTTAGTAAGATTAAAATTGTTCATATTTCATTATCACCGCTATATATTCACAAGGATCTGTTTTTATCTCACCTTTCCACAGGAAATGTGAGCTTTTGCCATCACTTGGCGTCCGTCGTCGTCTGTCGTCGTCCGTTGTCGTCCGTCCGGTGTAAACTATTTCAAACATCTTCTTCTCTGAAACTACTGAACCAATTCCAACCAAAATTAAGCTGAATGATCCTTACGTTATTTGGATAAAGTTTGTGTTTTATTTTCTGTTTCGTCAAAAAACATGGCCGCCATGGCTGAAAATTGAACATAGGGGCCAACTGTAGTTTTTGGCTTATATCTCAAAAACTAAAGCATTTAGAGCAAATCTGACATGATGTAAAATGTTAATTTTGTCAAGTTCTATCAGCCCTGAAATTTTCAGATGAATCTAACAACCCATTTTTGGGTTGCTGCCACTAAATTGGTAATTTTAAGGAAATTTTGCAGTTTTTTGTTATTATCTTGAATATTGTTATAGATAAAGATAAACTGTAAACAGCAAAAATGTTCAGCAAAGTAAGATCTACAAATAAGTATTTATATGACCAAAATTGTTAATTGACCCCTTAAGGAGTTATTGCCCTTTAAGGACAATTTTACACAATTTGTTTATCATGTTTTCTAACTTTACAAAATCTTCTCCTCTGAAACTACTGAACCAAATGAAACCAAACTTAAGCTGAATGATTCTTAGATTATCAAGAATAAAGTTTTTATATGACCAAAATGGTCACTTGACCCCTTAAGGAGTTATTGTCCTTTAAAGACAATTTTTCACAACTTGTTAATCTAGTTTGCTTACCTTAAAAAATGTCTCCTTTGAAACTGCTGAATCAATTTCAGCCAAACTTGGGATGAAAAAGTTTCAGAGTACTAGTATAAAGTTTTTATTTTATTTCCTTTTACCTCAAGAAACATAGTCACTATGGCTAAAATGGAACATAGGGGTAAAATGTATTTTTTTGCTTTTGAAGAAAAATGACAGATACAAAGAACATTTAAATGTCATTTTTAAGCCACCCATTAATATATATTGAAAAGCAAAAATAATCATTGATGAAAGACTTAAGCAAAACATTATAGGTGAGCGATTCAGGCTCTTGAGAGCCTCTTGCTTGGATTATGATAAACTTCATCAGATACGATCGGGACTACACGTTTGGAAAGCCCAAATTTTGATGAGTTTTTGAAGGCATAAAAACCAAAAGAGTCTAAACAAAACATAACATGTATTGCTAAGTTTGCATTTAGTTCGATGTAGTGTACGCTTTACCTTGCTACATGTATTGTCAATTAGGAACCGTTTGGGTGTGCGAGGTGTAAATAAGTAGTCACCTGAGTCTGATTGGTGACGTTAAATTAAATACACATGATGAAGTTTTTCGGGTTGTGACGAACATACACGCTTGCAGCTTCTCTTGGTGATGGGCATACGTTGAGTATGCGGGATGTATGGAAACGGGGAATGTTCAAACAAAGAAACAAAATCCCGACCAAAGAGCAAAAACAGCCCAAAGCCACCAATGGGTCTTCACCGCAGCGACAAAATCCCGCCTGCGGAGGCTGGCTTCATGTGGTCCCTAAACAATAATGTATACTAGTTCAGCGAAATGGACACCACACTAAACTCCAAAACAAACAAATGAACCAAAATTAAAAAAACACACAAGACATATATTTTGCCCACTGTAAAGCCCTATTCAACACTCCAGAAAACGCCCATATCATCAATAAAAATAAGTCCACACGTCAGTTTTATTGTGCAACATATGATTAACAATGGTTTATGTTTTTTAAAACATTATTGTCATAATAAATTTACCCCAAATATAACTAATCTTTAGACTCATCGGATATATAAGCAAACACAAATATTGTTGAATAAATAATACTAATCAGCTCCAGCAAACATTGAATACTTCTTAGCTGTCATTGTCATCGTCTTTTAGCATGGTCTCAAATTCTGAAATAAAAAACAGCTTCATTATAAGTAATGAAACAGTTATCTAAATGATTTTATGTACAATTATATGTTAATTTGTAAACTTATCTTAACTTATATCCACTTCATTTGAACTTTGGTGGATAGTTGTCTCATTGGCAATCATACTACATCTCCTTTTTTTATATTATATTATGTGCTCTATTTGTACATTTGATAAAATTATATCCGTTTTCGACATTGATAACATATAAACTCAATCATGGACAGAACTTATTGTGTTCTATTTGTTCAAAAAGAAACTGGTCAAAGGTACAATCATAAACATTATAATCACATTTACCAAAAATTACATTCACAAACAAGAAAACAAAGTTTCAGTATAGAAAATTAGGATCCCAAAACTTCGAGCTTAAAAGAATAAAACATCAAAATTACATATCAACACGACGACTGACTTATAGAATGAATAAAAGAAAGAAACGCACTGGTCACACGTAGCAAGTTGGTTCCCTTTCCTCATACTATCAGGAAGTTTTTAACAAAAGACCTTTTAGCTCGAAATAGTGTGCGTATTATATGTCTTTTTGCCTATCTTGTTTTTTTTTAATGTTTAGGTGATATAACCTTTAAACTTGGTGGTTCTGTATTTGATCAGTTCTCAGTTTTTTATTTAATTCTTCTGTTTTCGCTTGGTCTCAATTATTTGAAGAAAAAAAACATTTTAGTTAATTAAACATTATTTCATTTTTATTCCATATGGGAGCTATACTGTTTACTCAAAGCTTTTTCCTAGCTTTATATCATGTTAAATATGAGTAGTTGCATGAAGACTATAGACAATGAAAACAAAATCTTCCTCTAATTTTTTAATAATTATACGCGAATGTCAACAACAAAAACAAAGATTTTTTTCATTGTAATGGACAACTTGACAAAAGATGGATTATATGTGCACAATTCTTTCTACTGTTCCGAAGTTTTGGAAGGATGGATGGCTTTCTGGTTAACGTCCATTGGCAAATTAAATGCATATTCAGGAGGAGAACATATGATTCATAATGATGAAATGTTTGTAGAGATTCTCAGGAAGAAAGAAAAGACGTTCGCATTATCCTTTAGCTTCACTTTCCGCTATATAGATGATGTTCTCTCACTAAATAATTCAAAGTTTTTTTACTATGTTGAACGCATCTATCCCATCAAATTTGAGATAAAGGATACTACAGATACAGTTAATTCTGTCTCATATCTTGACTTATATCTAGAAATTGACAATGAGGGTTGGTTGAAGACAAAACTTTACGACAAAAGAGAGGATTTCAGCTTTCCAATTGTGAACTTTCGATTTCTATGTAGCAACATTCCAGTTTATTTTCGACTGAGCTTGGATGCCCTTTTTGGTATCTTTCGCCTCCCTTTAGTAGACCTTATGATATTAGGGAAACATTTATTGGCTGTGTATATTTTTTACATTGTTGATTAAAGACATTAGGAAATAAACGCTAAGAACCTTCCAGACTGAAGCTTACCTTCAAAACCTACTCTGTGGTCTAAATCTGCACCCAGCACCATTTGGTACAATTCACTTGGTTTGACATCTAAACTTAAACATTCCATGGCGTCTTGTAGGTCAGAAATCGTAATGAAGCCGTCGCAATCTTTGTCGAAGTAGTTAAATGTTTCCCGTAGCTCCTGTCTGTCCTCACTTAAATCCGATTCCGCAAAATCTTCGTGTTTCAGCATTTTTATCACGTCAACGAAAGAACACTTTCCGCTGACTGAAATAGTTCAGATGTTTTAATGAATTTGTTATATTGAGTTAATATAAGACATTTGATGGTAATGTTAAATTTCTTCATGTTATTCCAACTTAATCATTTTAAAGCGTTAACCATTCAAAACACCCTTTTCTGGCTATGATATTTCTCCAGTTTTAAAAACTCGCAGATTTTAAAGTTTCTGAAATAAAAATTGTACTTCCAAATTCCTACTTATATGCGATTACCAACGGCAACTTAAGACTAAATTTTTAATCAATCTTAAACTGGGCTACAAGCATTTCTGTGATTAGACTTCGCGTACGCGTGTGTCAAGCCTTGTGTTGTTCATTTGAAGTTAACCAACATATAAATGTAGGGTATATATAGTTTGTTAGTTATAACGATTGTCATACATTTTATGATGACAAACACGTAAGGTAAAAGCGGTAATTTTTAATAAATGTCTTATCTTGGTGTTTTATCTTAGTGTTTTATCTTGAACACAGTCTTTGTTGGTGATAAAAAAAACAATAATCATATGAACATGTATTTTAAAATATGAAAAATAAAAAAGCAGCTTTAACATCAAACTTGCTGAACATCTTACCTTTAGCATTATACACACTTTCGTTTTCTGACCGAAAGTTTAAATCCTACACTAGACCCGCTAACATTTTGAATTAGACCTGCATAAATTACCAGTTTCTCAGACACATGGAGTTGTAATAAATGGACAATTTATAATGTATCTTGTGTCATTGGTTAAAAACACGCTAAAGATTACATACTATACAAGTATTGTTTTACTCACTACCAGAATTCTTCATCAACATGCCGATTTCCGCTTCCGTTGTACTAAAACCTAGCTGATTTATAACTATCTTCAAGTCTTTTGTTGACATTGTCTCTTCTGTTTCTGTTGTTTCAGGTATGCTGTTTGTTTTTAACAGTTGTGAAATATAACTGTCTGGCTTGATATCTTTTGATGATGTCGATGCATTTGCACAGAGTTCGAAAACCTGTCTGTATACTAAAAGAGAGAAAAAAAACTGAATATTTCAATTTCTTTCACCTCATTAACTTAGCTTCTTTTTTTGTTTTGATCTTTCCATACATCATAGTTGATAAGCAATAATACTTAAGAAAGCGATTGTAAAGATTTGTGGTACTCTATTTACTCAGAGAGTCTCATCTCTCTATTATCAGCTTGATCAGTTAATTGTATAAAAAGGCAGTGAAAAACCCTGGAAATGTTCTTAACCCTGTTACGACAGTAATTGTGTTGTTCGTGTGACGATTGGAATAAACTTTTAAACTTTAATAACGCAACACTTAATGGTGAGGGTGGTAAAGGGTTATTTTCGTGCAACGTTTTCGGCCTTTTTATTTCACGTGTTTTCGTGTTTTGACGTTTTATTTTCTCGTTTTCTCATGTTTGGTTCGACGTGCGTGCTTCGTGTTTCCCCTTATTCATTTTTCGTGTTTCGTGTCGGTACTCATAATTTCTCGTGCTTGTCCCGCATTTGATTAAAAAGTAAACCGGGACAAATTCAAAGTCAGCGCGGATATTGTTTTAAATCATTCTACATTTGCAATTCTATTGTATATGTATGGTATGTAATAAAGTCAAGCAAATTACAATGAATAATATTTTTTTTTCAAATCAGATGCAACTAGCGGACGCTAAAAGGTAACCGCAGGGTCTTCATGTCCATTAATAATGACTCCATTATCTCAAAGAACGGCCGAGTAATAACTTCTAGTCCTTTCTTTCATAATATTTACGATTTTATTTCTCGTGCATGCTTCGTTTTTCCCGATTTTTATTTTCCGTGCAACGTTTTTGCGATTTTTATTTCACGTACTTCCCTTTTCAGACACCCCTTTTACCACCCTCCTTAATGTGATCTAAAGATCAATTTATCCTTATTTTGAAACTGAAAGGAATAATTGCATCAGTTTGAAACTTAACATGTCTCATATGATTTGTTTTTGTTTTAGTATGGCCAATCTGTTGAGCTTAAACATTGAATAAGTGTCAAAACGAAGCATGCAGAATTAACTGTTTAAAATTCTCGAAAATATAAACTGATATGCTAAAATGTTCTTGATATCAGAAATGTTTACGGTCAACATATCTGTAGTTGTATCCAATTTATCCTGATTCTTTGTCCTTCAGGAAATTTGTGTCAATGGTAGATCTTTGGTAGTATCGATATCTGATTGATTGTTTAGACTCGTACGACTAGGACTTTGATATATTGTATAGAGTTCTTGACTATTGTTGAAGACCGTAAGTTTACCTTCAAATGATATTGTTTGTGTCATTGGGTTGTTGTCTCATTGACCTATTCCGGACAAAATTTTTTTTTATTATAAAGATAAAAATATTAAATTGGCAACCCCGCAAAGATGAATCCTTGAATGTCGAGTGTCAATGGTAGATCTTTGGTAGTATCGATATCTGATTGATTGTTTAGACTCGTACGACTAGGACTTTGACATATTGTATAGAGTTCTTGACTATTGTTGAAGACCGTCAGTTTACCTTCAAATGATATTGTTTGTGTCATTGGGTTGTTGTCTCATTGACCTATTCCGGACAAAACTTTTTTTATTATAAAGATAAAAATATTAAATTGGCAACCCCGCAAAGATGAATCCTTGAATGTCGAGTCCCTCTAACTCTTGGGGGTTAACAGGTGTGGGTGCGCTGTGGTATTTTTATTCAGTTAAAGTAAAGTCATTTGCATGGAGATATAACACTATTTCAAACATAAAAACGTAAAATAAATAAACATTTTTAATGATATTTGAAGCAACTATTTAGATATACAAGCACTAATACAGTATTTTTAAATTCTCAAAAAGTAAACAATTCTTAAATAAATAAATAACGCAATAATATTAAATATACAACAAATGTCAGTTAAAATAAGAGCACAATTGCAAAGACATTTTGAACATTATATATACATTATTAGAAATTACATTGAGTTATACAGCTGTAATGCACTGGATGTTGGTGATGAGCATTTTTGTACTTTATGTATTTATTACATACAGAACAAATCAAGGCGAGTATCACTGTCCATATTGTTTAAATCGGTTAGTGAGTGTGAGTTTGTCTGGGATACAAAAAGTTCATTAGCACTGGTTAACCTGTGGATATCTATTTTGAAGTACACAGTCAATGTGTCGTTGAGGAGAACAGATGAATTTAATCTTCTTTGGAAGAATCTATTAACTGTAACGATTGTATCTTCATGGAAAAGAGCAAATGGCGATGAACGCAGTGTCTTTTTGGTCATAATTTTCTCTAAGCTACAGTTGATCAGCGATGATTCAATTGTGGAGTTGACCTGTGAATAGTTAGAACAGGATAGCAACTTGGCGCTCAACTGGTAGTTTTTGCTGTGCCCAGTAGTACCACTTGGTTTGATGATCATACACCATTCTATATCGTGTTGCATTGTACCAAATATAGTAGGGCTGTGTATCTCTTTAGTAAGTTGACTTATGTTGTATACAGTCCACAGATACCCATCATCACAAGGTTCCAAAGTATGAGTAGACATTTCAGAGTTTTTGTTAAGGAGAAGTATGTCTGCTTTTAGTACATATACTAGTATTATAACATCCCAAAAATTCACATACAATATATAGGGCTGTCAGCTTGTACTCAAAATTATTAAGGTCCTTGATCTTAATTTCTAAGAGAAAACCGACTTTTATGTTTTCTAATCACATTTATTTTTAATTAATGTTTGCGCAATGAGTACAATTTCTGGCTTCATTAATAGATATGATAATAAAATAAAGTTAGAATTGTTTGGACTATTCACTTTTAATTATGTCCAATCATTGTTTTTTAATGACGGGTTTAACCTAGTTAGAAAAAAGGGGAACACTTTATTGATTAATCATTTAATTTTTATAATTGGTGATAGCCTTTTAATTAGGAATATATGCGCTTGTATTAATAAAGAACGAACACAAGGGGGAAACCAAATTTTATTTCACTTTAATTTTCTTCATGGGGTTATAGACGACCCTGACCTACTAACCACACCACCACATACGTCACCCTTCAACCTAATATCTAAAGAGCCTATAGAAGCTACCATACTATCAGAACGGCCAAACACTCCGTACCAGCAACAACACCGAAGTTGGAGCAAAATGAAAGCAAAAACACAAGCAGATCCAACCCTGCAACAATAGGGACGATAGTCCGCAATATCCTAAAGGATAGCCGGATCCTAAAACCCACATATCAGCATTATCAATTTTCCTCATAGACTTGCATTTACAAATTGAATGTAAACTATGGTCATTTGATAATTTTGATCGTAATGATTATGTTTTTCTGATTGATAAAAATGTTGTATCAATTAATTTCTTCAAATTTTAAGTAATTCACATTATTTTATTATATTCATGTTATCTATAAATAATAATGAAAGAATAAGATTAATTGAGATAGAAGAAAAAATTCGTACCCTGGCAAAAACCAAGTTCGTACCCTGACCATTTCGTACCTCATGAAATATTAACAGTATACCATTTCGTACCTCATAGAAGATTAATGTGTATACCATTTCGTACCTCATGGAAAATTTGTATGTATACCATTTCGTACTTAATGGAAAATTTGTATGTATACCATTTCGTACCTCATGGAAGATTTGTATGCATACCATTTCGTACCTCATGGAAGATTTGTATGCATACCATTTCGTAACTCATGGAAAATTTGTATGTATACCATTTCGTACCTCATGGAAGATTTGTATGTATACCATTTCGTACCTCATGGAAGATTTGTATGCATACCATTTCGTACCTCATGGAAGATTTGTATGCATACCATTTCGTAACTCACGGAAGGTTTGTATGTATGTCACTTCGAACCTCGTGGAAGATTTATATGTGTTTCATTTATTTGTTAAAACAGCCTCAATGACTTTTTATTGTAAGGCGACAGAGGTCACGAGAAATATCTAAAATTCAAAATGTAAGCAGCTATGAGATATTATATAGGAATAAAGTCAACAAACGATTTTTTTTTAAATCTGTAAAACTGTAATTAAGATATTTATTTCAAATATAAGCTGGCGCTTTAGTAACAGTTCACATTTCTGCCGATAACATTGATTTTTTTTAAATTTGGTATAAACTTGTAACTAAAGACACGCGTCATACTGACGTGTTGTTTTAAAAAGGTAGCGTTCTATTTAATTGGATTAAAAATGTTTATTGAATACACGTGCCATTTGAAATTGCAACATGTGCCTAAATATTGATATATTTAGAGTTGAAAAATTAATTAAGGATAAATCCTGCAAACAAACAAAGTGTAATTAAAACTATTAAAGTTTTCAAGTGCTGCTTAATCAAACCAATCATCGGTCTTTATAAAATTCTTACGACTGGATGCATTTTATTTATGTTATATTAAAAAGAAATTAAAATCATCTCAAAATGTTTTATATCTTAAAAAAATGAGAATTTTTACAAATATATGATACGAAATGATAAACATGTATTAAGTCCATGAGGTACGAAATGGTAGATGAATTTGGCCAATAGGGTACGAAATGATTTTTATCGTGGGTACGAAATGGTAAATGTTGGGTACGAAATGGCAGAGGTACGAAATGGTCTAGGTACGAAATGACTTGCTACCGTTTAAATGTGCGGTCGTAAACAATTTGTCTTGTAACAAATGCAAAAATGGCAAGAATCATCAACTTTCGTCGTTTCGTTGCGACAACTGCTAATTATTTTCTGACTTTCCAGGGTTATTAGTGACTCCAAATGATTTTTTGTTTCCCTTATTCAAACGGCATGTACATTTTATTTTCATTAAAAAAATCATTTATACTTCGAGTCAAGAAGCTGAAATTTAAAACGATGAACACCTCGTTGGAAATATCAATCGATAAGATACTATGGCTGATTTTTATGTCTTTGTTTTTATGTTGCAGTACCTGTTATTTCCTTTTTACACTGACCTTGCTTTTTGGAACACTTAATCTGAAATAAAGTCGCAATTAAAGATGATATTTTTTGTATGGAAATAAAAATTAAGGAGATGTAGTATATTGGATGTGAACAACTATAGGACCTTAAAAATTTTCATATTTATTTTTTTGGCATAGTCGTGGTCTTGACATATAAATGAAACCGTCATCGAACTACCTCTCATATTGTTATACGTACCATCGTACACTGCCTGGGAATATTTTATTTTTACCTTCGTATTCCTTAGTGAAAACGTCAGTTTGTGGAGTTTCGTTTATTCCATCTGAAACTGCGGAATATGGGGTCTGTCGTTTTTCAGAATTCTGAAATAAAACGTACTGAAATGTCAGTCTTGCTACAAAATCCTTTATGGTTTCAGTTGAAATTGTGAAAATTATCTAAATTATAATTCATTTGGCTGCATTTTTAGCTCACCTTTCCGGCAAAGGAAATGTGATCTTTTGCCATTACTTGGCGTCCGTCGCCGTCGTCCGTCGTCGTCGTCGTCCGTCCGGTGTAAACTATTTCAAACATCTTCACCTCTGAAACTACTGAACCAATTCCAACCAAAATTAAGCTGAATGATCCTTACATTATTTGGATAAAGTTTGTGTTTTATTTTCTGTTTCGTCAAAAAACATGGCCGTCATGGCTGAAAATAGAACATGGGGATAAAATGCAGTTTTTGGCTTATATCTCAAAAACTAAAGCATTAAGAGCAAATCTGAGGTCGAGTTAAAATGTTCACTAGGTCAGGTTCTATCAGCCCTGAAATTTTCAGATGAATCTAACTACCCATTGTTGGGTTGCTGCCACTAAATTTGTAATTTTAAGAAAAATTTGCAGTTTTTGGTTATTATCTTGAATATTATTATAGATAAAGATAAACTGTATACAACAAAAATGGTAAGCAAAGTAAGATCTACAAATAAGTTTTATATAACCAAAATTGTCAATTGACCTTTAAGGACAAGTTTACACAATTTGTTAATCATGTTTTCTAACTTTAAAAAATCTTCTCCTCTGAAACTACTTAACCAAATAAAACCACACTTAAGCTGAATGGTTCTTAGGTTATCTAGAATACAATTTGTGTTTTATTTTCTGTTTCCTCAGAAAACATGGCCGCCATGGCTAAAAATAGAACATAAGGTAAAATGCAGTTTTTGACTTATATCTCATAAACTAAAGCATTTAGAGCAAATCAGGCAAGAAGTTAAAGTATTCATTAGGTCAAGGTCTACCTGCCCTGAAATCTCAGCCAAATCAGGTATCTGATTTTTAGGCTATTGCCCCTGAATCCATGATTTTAAGGCAATTTTGCAGTTTTCGGTTATTATCTTGAATATTATTATAGATAAAGATAAACTGTAAACAGCAAATAAGATCTACAAATAAGTTTAATATGACCAAAATTGTCAATTGACCCCTTAAGGAGTTATTGCCCTTTAAAGACAGTTTTTCACAATTTGTTCATCTAGTTTGCTTACTTTAAAAAAAAAATCTCCTTTGAAACTGCTGAATCAATTTCAGCCAAACTTGGGCTGAATGAGTTTCAGAGTATCTTGTATAATTTTTTTATTCTATTTCCTTGTACGTCAAGAAACATAGCCACTACGGCTAAAATGGAACATAGGGGTAAATTGTATTTTTTTGCTTTTGAAGAAAATATGACAGATACAAAGAACATTTAAATGGCATTTTGAGCCACTCATTAATATATATTGAAAAGCAAAAATAATCATTGATGAAAGACTTAAGCAAAAAATTACAGGTGAGCGATTCAGGCTCTTGAGAGCCTCTTGTTTTTATTACGAATGAAAATGTGGCCAACCAACTATAAATAGAAGAGATGTGGGATTCACCTATACAACAACCCAGCAGAGTAAGACGAGATGCAATGGAAATCTATATATAAACAACCAGATATCTGACAACAATATATACCCCCTAAAACCCTTTTATATGTAATATTCTGCCGAAATATACACAAAAAAGAACTTATTTGAATAAACAGCAATAAATGTCCTTTCCTAGATTTAGATATTTCAGTTTGACACTGTAAAACTCTGCACAAACACTAACAACATAATGGACGATTTTTCGTTCCCTATTGTTGATTTTCCTTTCTTTGGACGGTCAAATTTATTGGCACCACCTTACGGTGTTTATTCATCCCTACTCATTCGCCCATGTCTGAAGTGATGTTTTTGATTTCAATGAACGTAATCTATGTATTACTGGTAAATTATTAAGTCAATGATTTCGTTACCACAAATTGCTTTAAATCTTTACTGAATTCTTTCATCATTACAAAGATTTGGTTTGGAAAGTTGACTGTACCTGTTGAAGACTTATTACACACGGGATGTCACATCTTAAATTTTACGGTGATGTTGTCTACCGAGCCCGTAAATTTAGATACCACCCAGGTAAACTTATCGATCCTTTAAATAAACTTATTCTGAATGGTTAACAATTCAACACTGTAATTAGATCCTTGAATATTGTTTTATATAAACTTTGATTTTGTTATAAATGAATTAAAACCAATCTTGATATCATTGTTATATACATTTGTACATTCACGGTCCTACAATCGGTCGATATCTATATTTTGGCATAGCACAAGGTCATGTTTTCTCTTACTGTTAATGACGTCTTTACGCTAAATCCATTGGATGTAGGATGTGTACTGATTGATATTTTAGTCTTAGATACAGTTTTTTTTTTTATTTATTATAGTTGTCATTGGCTTTAAACTATCCAGTAACGTAACTGCAAGTGTTCTTAGATCTGTTCTTTGTGATTTTGTGTTTTTGTTCAGAGTTTTTTGTGTTTTTTATCGATCTGTTACACCACTGACCAAAGTTAGGGGGAAGGTTTGGCGATAGCAAACATGTTCACCCCCACCACATAATGTATATCATATTCGTTTTTCGTTTACTGTTTTGTACATAAATAATTCTCGTTTGAGTAATTTTACATTTGTCATTTCGGAGCTTTTTATAGCTTACTATGCGGTATGGGGTTTGCTCATTGTTGAAGGCCGTACGGTGACCTATTGTTGTTAAATTCTACGTCATTTGGTCTTTGGTGGAGAGTTGTCTCATTGGCAATCATACCACATCTTCTTATCTCTATATTATAGTTATTGGCAAACACAATTTGTAAGACTCCAACTTTCTCACAAAGTTACTATATTTAAATGCAATATCTTATGTTGTTCTAAATTAAAACAAGTACTTTTTCATAATAGAAAATGAACTATTGAAGCCTGGTGTGTTTCGATGTGATTTAAGACGTTAAAGATTGTAACCAGTTTACATGAAACAATATCATAGTGTATATAGTCTCGATTTTAAAGTTTGCGCCTTTTATTTAGAATGAATATTGACGTACTTTCTTCTCAATTTTGAATGTGAAGTTAGTGGTTGGTAAAAGATGCTCTAATATTCGAAATACACTTTATTCTTGTTTATTGTATTTCTGCAAACATCGTGCACATTGAATGCCGCGACAACTTACTTGTAGTTTCCATCAGTCCGTGTGGGAAAGAGGATCGTTCAAAGAAAAAAATGTACTATGAATAAAATGAGTTGTGGATATACCTCGATGGTACAGCAACCCGCCCAACATCACCATTGAATTTAAAAAGACTTCAAGAGGCCAACTGACATACGGTCTTTATTCAAAATATGCCACGCTCCCCTTTGAACACCTTGGATGTTACTGAATATTTTATTCCCGTTAAAACTTTACTGTGAATATCATTCTCGAATGTCATATTCTTATTACTGATTGCTAAGACTATGTATGCATGTAAACAGTATCGCGAAATGAAGGCGAAGACTAACCAAATATTCCAATAGTTTCATCACTGCGGATGTAAATAGTGGACAAAAGTAAGCACAGGGTATCAAACTGTAAATTGTTTTGAATAAAGGGATGCATATTGCACCATATCTAACCACGAATCGGACGTTCATTTTTCATATTTTGTAAAATGCTATTAAAATATATATTTAGATATTTTGTAAATGGCTAGTTGTTTTAGGTCTTTTGTAAACAGTCATTTTACAATATGAAAAGTCTGAAATTGCCTGAAACTTACATACTGCAAATGTTATTAACAAAATCTTACCGTCGAACTCATGTCGGACAATTTTTACATGATAAAGTGTATATTCATTCATATATGAAGTTGAACAATTTTTGCATTGTGTACATTGTCTGTACAAATAAAGAAAACGGTAAACGGTATACATTTGGATGGGTTATCTTCATAATCTATATCCTATATCATTAACATTTAAACACTGTTTTTATCTTCCTTGCAAACCAAGCATTGTACCAGTTATAATATGTGTACACGACAATCATTTAAAGACGTTTTCAAATAATATCTTTCACTGTACAGAATTGGATCAAGACATATTATGAACTTTTTTTAATCTTCACCTTTTTATTACAGTATGTACTTGAATTTGGAGTAAGAGACTCGCAACTCTACTTAAAAAAACTACACCACTAGAAATCCTGCTTAATACACATAAAACTATACTTCATATACTTTAAAGTGTCAAGTTAGTACCAGTCATAGTGTCGGGCTCATTACACATTGTGATTTACAGTAGTACCACGATGTTAAGTAGTCTCCTTTGTGCTTTGGCATTTCAAGGAATCCTCTTTATTTAATGATAGTTTTTGTGTCAGCAGACTGGAAAGGGTATAGGTTAATTAGTCGTTTGACTTGTATGCAATGTTATTTATCAAATCATTTTCGAAATTCTTTTGCAAGTCTTTTTTTAAAATATGGATTATTTTATCTTGTATGTATATCTACGGAAGCTTATTAGCGCCACACAACTTTTTTTTTAATACTTCTTCCTATGTTTGCGTTATAACGCAAACCTTTGCGAAATAACGCTAACCTTTGCGAAATAACGCAAACCTTTGCGTTATAACGCAAACCTCTGCTTGTTTGGATCTAAACAACCATACACAATCCTCAAACGAGAGCTTACTTTGGAAGTATATTTATATTTGGCCATAGCTATATTAGCAGGGTTGATTTTTTATATTCTTCGATACAACTTCAATTTACTCAATTTTCTTTGTAATATATATATACATGTATTATCATGTATATAATTTTTGGGGCCCTGTATAGCTTGCTGTTCGGTGTGAACCAAGGCTCCGTGTTGAAGACCGTACTTTGACCTATATTAAATGGTTTGATTTTACAAATTGTGACTTGGATTGAGAGTTGTCTCATTGCCATTCATACCACATCTTCTTATATCTATTATCCAACTCATTATTAGTCAATGATATGTTCTAAATATTCAAGCATTTTTCTTTGTTATGAGTACAAAGGAGGATACATTTTAATGTATGCAGCCTCCTCCATTTATAACTGCTGCTTCCTTTGAATCTTAAATAAGAAATAAGATTAAAAAAAATGTTTGCGTTATATCGCAAAGGTTTGCGTTAGGTTTGCGTTATTTCGCAAAGGTTTGCGTTATATCGCAAAGGTTTGCGTTATAACGCAAACATAGGAAGAAATATTAAAAAAAAGTTGTGTGGCGCTAATACGCTTCCGTATATATCTGGGTTTACTATTAAGGTTTTAGAATGGAAACACTGAGTAACATCTGAAGAGAAAGAAGATAAACTGGGTTTCGGATTTATATACTAACTGTTCATGTTTACTTTGTTTGGTGTTATATTATTAAAACCATTTGTATTATTGTTACCTCATATTTTTCCAATTAAGACCCCTCCAATTAACGCCTTAATGTTTTTCTTGGAAAAATACCAAATATAACACCAAGAGTAGATAGCATAATCAGAAAAAAAGGTACATAGCAAAAAAGAATATGAGGAAACGAATCAAACTCAGATATGTATGGGAGTTAAAAAAAAGAAGTCAAAGATCACCAAACAAAGACTAAATTTATTTATATCCGAAAGAAATTCAAGCAGAATTTTTGTTTTGTTAAAGAAAACTCCTTATATATGTGTTTTGATAAACACTCAAAATTTTCCAACATCATTCAAAATGGCAGTTTTTAATAAGCTTCAGTCGTTCATAATTTTGTTTATTTGGTTTGAAATAAGCTACAGATATGTCAGAAATTCAAAGTAAACCCCGGTAGTTGTAATACTGTGCATTTAAGTAAATAATAAAAAAAACTGAATAAAAAATCTGTTTTGAAAATGGTTCTGGTTTGAAATATATTTTTCGGAAACTAATACTACCTATTTCCGATCCTACAAAAATTTTCCAGTTGGGAGGGGGAGGGAGCAGTTTCTTTGTCACTATTTCGATCCATCTGCTCTTCGACTTCGAACCAACATAAATTTTCTACCGGGTGATAGAGAAAAAGAATAAATCTTAAAACTATCAGAGCTACCAAAACCGGTGAAAATCATTTAGATCTTATAAATGCAGTTTTGTTTTTAAATTATCATGTTGAAATTTTATCAGTTCATAGCTTTTTTAAGATGATCATAATAAACTTAGGACCATTTAGAGCTTTGTGCCTTGACATTTCGTATGGATACCTGTCTATTGTTGAAGACTGTATGTTGCCATCTAGATTTTTTTATTGTCGTTGGACTGCTGTCTCATTTACGTGTTCCCCAATATCCTTTTTTCATATTACCAGAAGTTTATTGCTAAGTCCATTATTTGGGATTTTCCCTAGTAACTGACTTCTGAAATTACCTCTGTCCTTCCCTTATTCTGTCCTTTTGCTTGTAGATCTAATGGCAATCACTTTTTATTCATAAGTCCTTAATGTTCAGTTACAAGTAGAGTTCGAGTTCATTACTGGTGACCTTCTTTTCACGGAATAGGTCCTCGAACTTAGAAAAAATAAATAAATTTGTACTTACCAAACTTTGTTCGTTATAAAGTAGATGAAATGATACTTTATAAATTTCGTGCTTTCCTGGATTTACCTTCATCCGGAAAGCTCAAATCCACTGATGATGTTCCTGACTTTGGAGAGGTACGTTAATATGCGGCAGGGTTAAATAAATTTTTTTTATATCTCAATCCGCTCATCATTTGGTCTCGACAAGTGGATTAACAAAACCCGATCATACAATAATATACAAGAACAAGAGTGCACACGCTGAAATGTCTCGCCTGGTTTACTTATAATTAATGATTGAACTTATGTTGAAAGTCTGTAATATGAAGATTTTACTACATAAACTAAACATTATCAATGATCCATGTAAAAAGTAAAATGACAAAAATACCGAATTCCACATCAAACGAATGGAAAACAACTGTCATATTCCTGACTTGGTACAGTCATTTGTAAATGTCATTATCAGGCAAGGTCAAAGGAACTTGTCAGACAGACGTGTACATTTTACAATCATACAGTACACCAAATATTGCTTATAGCATATGAAAAACAGCCCGAATTTCAAAAACTGACCAATGAACCATGAAAAATTGTGTCAAGGTCATATGAAAACTCCCAGACAGACATGTACATCTTACAATCATTCCATACAACAACTATACTGACCCTAATGTTTATAGTATCTGAGAAATAGACCAAACAACAAAAAAAACTTAACATTGATCGATGAACCATGAAAATGGGGTCAAGGTCAGATGAAACCTACCGCAGTCTGACATGTGCATCTCGCAATCATTCCCTACACTAAATATAGTTGGAGCGCCGAATATGAAATGTGCTTCGGTCAACGCTTTTACATTCTAATAAAATTACACAAAGAAGCGTTCAATTTTTAAATGAAGATCCACCAACAAATATTCAATGTAAAACGATACATGCACTTTTCATTCGACCCATTTTATAAGAAAAAACTATTATTGTTTATAAATAATCATAAAGGAACGAAGACAACGGCAAATTATTGTTTCAAATTGGTTCGTTTTTATAGAAATTAGAAAAGCCAGGATTGGAAACAAATGACGGCTATATCTATGGACTCAATGGCGGCCAATCAAAGTATAAGGAGCGTTTGGGTTTTTGTGATACCCGCAATCAATTTGGTCCTCCTTTTGACATCTACAAAAAGGAATATTGAACGTGAAAACTATACAAAGATTGCCAACTATGGTCAGCATTCATCAAAATTTCAATATTTCATAAGCTGACAGTGGCAATTCAATAAGATTCAGTGTAGTCCGGAAGGTTTCATTTTCAAAACTCATAAAGGCTCCCGTAAATTCCTTTGATTTAAAAAATAATAATGTGCCGGACTGTTCATATAATTAAACACGAACAGATCGGTTGGTTAGGAACCACAGGAATCTATATATACAAAAAGCTTAATTTGAAACCAGACACTCTACTGTGAATGTCAACCGATATTGACAAACATAAAGCACAGGACATATAGACATAAGATATAGACATAGATAAGACATGACATACACACAGAACATAATACATAAACATGCAAAAATATTAATCATATACAATGAAAAAACTTGGCGGCATACAAATGTAAAAAAATGCACTCATGCAGTTGTAAAACTGTTCAAACATAACTTTTTAACAAAGAAGAAGCACATATAGATATAAGTTAGGTGACATATTCTGCCATTCCTGGTGTTAAAAGGTTTTGTAATTGTAAAAATACCTTTCTCCTCTAAGTTTCTTTTCATTTTTAATATGATGGCGGTAGTTTAAATTTTTCCTAAATTTCCCCATATGTTCTCTTTTGATTACGTTGAAACTTGAAACATTGCACTGAATTTTAGCGGAACAGTTCATATTTTGCCAGAGCCTAAAACTATATGTTATTATATGTCTCTGATCTTACTAATAACTAACTAAAACTGAATGCTTCCGCTGCTAGCATTAGACTTCATCATTGCTAATGTGTTGAATTAAATTAATAGTGTTTTATAAACTGGGAAGAGCACTAAATATCATACTGGAGACACAAATGAATCGCATCCGAATGAATTTTAGCAAGGATTTGTATAGTATATTATACAATACAAATCCTTGATTATAGCTAAATAGAATATAGAAAAATAATGAAATTATCTAATAAGCATAAATTCTACTTTGGAATTTTTTTCAATATTCTTCATTAGTTATGCCCCTCGAACAAATTTAAAAAGGTTTATATTGCAGTGTGCTGATCGAAGTGGTACGTTGTTGTATGGAATTTTTTTTTTGTTGGTAATATGTCAGAATATCAAATTGTCTCCCTTATATAAAAAATGGTCGAGAAAAGTTTACAACTTCCGCGATAAAAAGTTAAGGGTTTAACGCCCATAAAAGGCGATTCAATGGCAGAGAGAAAATTTAGACAACATATTCTCAAAAGAGGGGATGCAGCTAAAATCCGAGATGAAGTTGCCCAGGAGATGCGAGAGAACATTATTCAAGTAAGTTGACAGCAAATATATTTTTTACAAATGTCAAAATAATCAGATAATATTGACAGTAGAAATTATTCAGAATACAATAGACATAAGACAGGTTCTGTAAATTGATAGTTTGAGCTAAATTATCAGCTAATTAAAAGCTTGATCCAATACAAGTTTGAAAAATTATATTATATTTTTTAAATGGAATTTCAGTTTTCATTTTTTTTGGGAAGAGTATCCTGGTGTCTTCGGTTCTCGATAACATAACAAACAAGTTGATCGTATCGCAAGTAAAGCTAATAAATATGCCCAAGTTTGTTTGTGTTATTTTATTAAACACTTGCCTTTATTTTCCCAAAATCCCGAAGCTTTCCCCGTGAAATAGTCCGAGATTACTCTGACGTCCAATGGCTGTTTTGCCAGACAAGCACGGCCTCAGCTTGTCTGGCAAAACAGCCATTGGACGTCAGAGTAATCTTGGACTACCCGTGAAACACAGAACAAAAAACAAAACATTTGTATTTTTACACCTTTATGACATGTTGAGCACTGCATCATCAGTTCTCGATAGTTTTCAACATCAGTGCTCATTTAAAGACAACTCGGACCACTTTCGAAGACAATTTGGACTAGTTTGAAAGACAGCTCATACATTGTCATACCAGCTTGTGAAACACTTGTCAGACTAGAGGCTTTTACATTTGATATGATTTTGTTTATTTTCTAGATTTGACTGAAGTTGCATTATACATATATACATGTATAACATTTGAAATTAAATTGTGCATTGCAAAGTATAGACCTCCAAGAATTTCGTTTGAATATTCTTAAAAGGCTTGAATATTCTTAAAACGCTTACCGGTAGGTTATCTTTTAAAGTACATGTACATGTATGTCTGTGAACCCAATTTTAACAGATTTAATGCAAGTCAAATCATTTTTTAAACAATTAAATGTTTTCATATTTCTTTAGACATGTTAGAAATGAAGTAGTCATATGTTATCAAATAAAATTATATTACATCATTTTTTACTTAAATCTTAGAAATTTGAATGAACAAGGATATCAATTGGATCCGAATCTTAATCAAACGCATATGATACATCATTTATAACGAAGTTATTTTTAATTTCATTAGGAATAAATTATTAGCTGCTATCTTTCAGTGTATCTTTTCCTAATGGTTACATCAAAATTATTTCACAAAGTTCTTCTTTATTGTCATGCTTCAATATGTATTTTTTATGTCAAAACAGAAAACAAATACCGTTAACGTTATTCAGGGGCAAGATTTTTAACATTATTCGTTGTGAAGGTACTTCCATTACGACCCTCTTTCAACTATTTCTGTGTTGTCTTCATACATTGTAGGCACTGGCTACGGTTACATAAAAATGTAACAATAATAAAAAAATTATTGTTAAATTGGAAACTAATTGCCGGAATGCATGGTTGGGTAAGGAACCGATTAATTACGAATGTAACAATAATATTTGTGTCTACGGTTACATTGCGTTATTGTTACATCGTCATCAATGCACTGCAATGTACGATGGGAGTAGTAATATCATGAATTTGTATTAAAATAAAACTTGAAAACTTTTATTTGAAATTTACAATATTGCATACAATTTTTTAAATTTTTATTTACAATGACAGTTTCTACAAATCCAGTATGTTGTTTTTGGAGAATGCAGCCATCACAAACCAGTGATGAGGCATTGTGCACGTCTGTATTGCATACTGTACAATTCCATTCTGCACTTTTTGAAGTTAAAAATATTTGAGTCTTGATTTTGTTTTAGTTTCGATTCAAACGCATCCCAAGTTTTAAATTGTTCACCCAAAACAAATTTGGTAATAGGAATCACTTCATCCATTGTTCAAAGTGTAATGACAGTAATAAGGGTAGGTGTGCAGTTAAAAACATAGAAGTGAACACTTTTCTGTCCTAGTTCTTAACAACGAACCCTTGAAATATATTTTTCGCCTTTGGCACTACTAAACTGTAGCAGTATCTTTTAGAAAATCAAAACTTAATACTTAATTATATAAGGGTATTTAAACACTATTTGTTGAATATAAATAATATTATTATTATTATCATTATTACAAATATTATCTAGTACATATCGAAGAATTAAGCAACAAAACTATTGAAGGTTTCAGTTTAACAAATCTAGCTTACATGTACATGGCATTCTTTAATGTAACAATAACGCAATGTAACCGTAGACACAATTGTTATTGATATTATTTTATTATTGTTACATTTCCATGTAACCGTAGCCAGTGCCTACATTGTAAGTGGTCCAAATAGTCTTTAAACTGGTTGGAGTTGTCTTTAAAAGTGGTCCAAATAGTCTTTAAACTGGTTGGAGTTGTCTTTAAAAGTGGTCCAAGTTGTCTTTAGATTGGTCTGAGTTGTCTTGGTCTGACTTGACTTTGGTCCAAGTTGTCATGTAATCATATGTAGTAGGGTACTGCTGAATATGATTTTATAATATCTTTTACTCTTACAAGAGACTTACATGTACAAATGATGTATAATGCAAGAGATTTGCAACTAGATGAAATCTCTTGATATCATGTCATGTATTTGGCCCTCAATCATGAATTAATTGAAAATGTAACCAATACTGGTTATATCAGATGTAGAAGGATGAAGGTGCATGACTGCTCACTTGTTCATTATTCTCATTGTGACATCTCTTCTGCGCTTATAAAAGGTATGCAATTTTTAAGATTTGGGTCTAGGAACTGTAGAATCAAAAATTTAAACTTTTTTATCGAAAATCACAAAAAATATAAAATAATACATGCAATACCCTATTAAGAAATCATTTAGAACTTAATGTTTTGTAACATCATGCATATAATTTGTTATATAAAAAAAGAGGTACATGTATCAACCATAGCAACACCAGTCTTCTTTCTGTGACTTCAATGAATTTTGTTGTCAATTTACGACTTTCAATGGTTATAAAAAAATTAAAAAATGTCTGTTCATGAAAAAGAAGTGTATGAAAAATAATATGACAGCTGTTAGCTACATATACACCTATACTTAGATTTAAAATGGAGTTGCCAATCTCTTGTATGATATGTCTCTGTTGTTTCCCTTGAAAAAATATATCCCTAAAACTCATGATTGAAGTTAAATAAATTAACACAGAATATTCACCTATGTGTTTTTTAATCATGCCTTTAAAGCTTTAAACTGAATTTTCAAGTACAGGTAATAATGCAGAAACTGAAATTACATTTGAAAAATGTTAAACAGAGATAATTTTTTATACATGTAGCTCATTCAAACTATTCTCAATTTTATTTATTACATTGTATATAGCCAAATCAAGCTATATCAGCTGATATTGTACTGTATTTATACTGACCATGTTTGAGACTGACACCAATATTGGTTATATCAGCTGATATTGTACTGTATTTATACTGGTTAAGACTGACACCAATATTGGTTATATCAGTCGATATTGTACTGTATTTATACTGGTTGAGACTGACACCAATATTGGTTATATCAGCTGATATTGTACTGTATTTATACTGGTTGAGACTGACACCAATATTGGTTATATCAGCCGATACTGTACTGTATTTATACTGGTTGAGGCTGACACCAATATTGGTTATGTCAGCTGATATTGTACTGTATTTATACTGGTTGAGACTGACACCAATATTGGTTATATCAGCTGATATTGTACTGTATTTATACTGGTTGAGACTGACACCAATATTGGTTATATCAGCTGATATTGTACTGTATTTATACTGGTTGAGACTGACACCAATATTGGTTATATCAGCCGATATTGTAGTGTATTTATACTGGTTGAGGCTGACACCAATATTGGTTATATCAGATGTAGAAGGATGAAGGTGCATGACTGCTCACTTGCTCATTATGCTCATTGTGACGTCTCTTCTGCGCTTATGAAAGGTATGCAATTTTTTGAGATTTGGGTCTAGGAACTGTAGAATCAAATCTATTAGTTTTGTCAAAGAAATTGGCTGGGCTGATTTTCATGAATACTCATTACTCATGATCTTACTAGTTCACAAAACGATGAATGTTTCCTATACAAATTCTTGTGAAACTTTGAATTACAATGTATAAGAATCAACAATTATATATATACTGAAGTTTCTACCAAGTCTACAACCTTTGATCAAAAGAAACTTTGTTTTTCAAATCAATCGATTTGTTTGAAATGCTTTTAAATTTTTCATATTGCTAGTAATCGCAGTATATATATCACGTTCATGTACAGAGCAGGACATTAAAATATTCTTGTCAACATCATATTGAAATCCATCTTACTTGTTTATTCCATTTCTGCTAATATTTTCTCTATTGATGTTTTTATTATGCCCCCGCCGTAGCAGTGGGGGCATTAAGTTTTACCCTTGTCCGTCTGTACGTACGAAATTTGGTGGGGACACTTTTACCATTCTTCTTCCCTTTATAAACATAAAAATTGCTGAATTTTTCGTTTCCGTTCTCTAACTTTTGTTTGTTTCAACCAAATGTTATAAAACTTATACACAACCATTCTAGAGTTATGTGTGTTTACAAATAGAAAAATTGCTGAATTTTTAGTTTCTGTTCTCTACTTAAGTTAGCCTCAACCAAATGTTATGAGACTTACACACAAAACTCAGATCAAGTTCAAATTTGGGTAGCGTCACTTTTACCGTTCTTCAGTTATGTCCCTTTATAACTACATGTATATGATATGCAAGCGGGGGCATCATCTGTGTCCACATGTGGACACTATCCACATTTATTTCTTTTCAATACAGAACTACATTTTTGTACTTTGCCAGTACTGTCTCTATCTATCTATCTTCGTATTTCCGCACTCAGTCACAACTTTGACTAAAATTACGTCTCATTTCATGTGCAGTAAATTCAGAAATTATTGCGTTCATTTATTATCACAATTTTTGAAGAATGGACAAATATGTGAGATTTTAATTACTGGTAGATTGCCCAAGTATTTTCAGGAGTGTGGTCTACTGACAATGGACCCCAAGTGAGAGCATTGGTCATTACTATTTTTCTAAATAGAACATAATGAATTCATTTGTCAGATGTCATGAAAAAACCCATGCATATGTTTATTTTGCTCTACTATGCAAGATTTAAGCCAGACTTTATAGTTATACATTTGCAAAATAATGAGACAGTAGTGAATCATTTTATCCTTTAGGTCTTTGATACACCTTCTGATAAGATCAACCAGTAAGTGATTTTCCCTTCAAACTTTTAACCTGCTTTTCAATCAATTAGCAAGATATTTGAAAGAATTTATGTAGAGCTGAGCAAATTGATATCTGAGAAGTTTAATTTTAACATTTCTTTATACTGCTTAATGCCTACAGCTATTCTGGGAAACACAATGAATTTATTCGTGGGGAATACAATAAATTTATTGGTTAAGTTTAAGTTTTCAATCTATTCTTTCAAACAAATATGTTTGCAATTCTGCCCTTCAATTGGCACCTTAATTGGTAAATACCTGGTAAAACAGATTTACACTATCTGTATTTGTTTCTGAATAAAAATTCAAAAGTCAAAGAGATATTTTTTTCTTGATCAGCCAAAAACAAAAAATGGTACAAAAGAAGAAGGTAAAAAAATATAGACATTGAACAAAAAAAATCATATTAGTAAGATGAAAGCTCTACTATATAGCACAGTGCCTGTCAATCATAATAGTTAAAATTCAATATCATCCTCATCCATTTCAACTTTTCTTGCTAGTCTACTTGTTGAATGGACTGGTGAGATGACATGCCCATCATTTCTAAAAAAAAATTACGTGGTTTCCTGAATGTAACATGGTTGGAAACAAGGTACATGTAGTCAAAATTTTCAGGCTAAGATTGGGGTGTGTGTAGTGTTTACAAATAGAAATAGAAATGACAAATTCCTTTGATTAAATAGATCAAAATATCATTTGTAAGAAATATAACATTATGCTTTTGCATCAGGACTCAAGAGAATTAATATGTCATTGTAAAGCATTTGTTTTACATATATGCACATTGTTCAGAATAGTTTGTTCCATACTAGAATTGTTATAGTATCATGAACCAGAGACAAAGTGCAGATTTCATTAGTTGATGCATAATTAATTGTCAATAAAACAACTACATGTAAATTCATTACTGACTGGTTTGAAGAGCTTATTTAGATCTGTGTTAAAACATTTTCACTTTTAAATGGTATTTTATTCAATTAGAAATCCACATACCCTTATAATTGCAAATAGATTCCCCTCCTTAGAGTTTAGAAAAATGTTGAACTTATTATACTGAATTAATTACTTTTTTTTAGGTTCTTGGTATCAGGTATTCTTTTTAACATTTGATATTTATAAGGAAGGTGGTTTTTTTTATCATTTTTTCCGTTTGAACCTTAATTGGATTATTTTAAAAGATTAGTTGAAACAACACTTTATTTGTTATTTCAATAAAAGGTTTTAAATAACAACAAGGAAGCAAAACTGACTAAATCATCTATTATTTGTACATCTATATGATTACTGACATTTAGTGTTACCAAAAAATCACTGACCTTTTCTGAACTGTGTTTACCAGTTACATTTTTGTACATGCAGTTATGTAAAATGATAAAGAATCACAGTTGATTGGATTTTCAGATTTGACTTTTGTTTTTTTGTATTTTGATTTGTTATTAATGGACAGAAGAAATGGCATTGTGTCATCTAACTAGTGCAGTGAATACATATTTTTTGGATCCAATTTTAAAGGTGAATTGATTTCATTATTTCAAACAGAGTTTCAATTTGGATTATAATTATAGATAAGTACTGTACAAGTAGAGCATTGTTATACATTTGTAGAAGTGTGTATAAGGTTTTTAAAAGTCATTATCTTATGAAAATAGAAATGTTTGTATAGATTTGAATGATAACCTTAGGATATAATGTAGACTTATTTTCTTGTTACCGATAGTTCTAAGCAGAATCAGTACCTTATGTGGTTTTGTTTTCCCTACCTCCTCAAATACATGTAAAAATGTACATGTATGGTCCTTGAATTAAAATTGTATTGTAGCATGTACTTATGTAAGCGTACTTTCATTCCGCCGTGTATTTATTCCGGGTAACTGTTTTTCACCAGAGAATATTGGATGTAAATAGTGTGAAAGCGTCGATCTTGATATTGTTGTTTTGTTTATATTAGACCGGTTTATTGTTTACATAAATAAATAGGTTAAAATTAAAATAATTTTCAAGGAACCAGTTTAATTAATCTGAGTCAATCTAGTAAATAATATTGATGATGACGAGGAGGATATTTTTATAACTCTTAAAATACGTTATCAATGATCAGGACATTGAACTTGATATACACCAAATTTAAAGAACAGATTTGTTCCTACATAAAGTTTCAATTATAGAAGCATCCTTTGATATTGACAAAGAAGATATGATTTTATATCCAAGTCGACCGAAGAGCAAATACACAGAAAAACTTCGGCAATCCAATAAATATAAATATTACAATTAGTGAAAATTTAAAAGTATATGATTTTATAGATTTGCATAGAAAAATGTTTTAAATCTTATTCGTTAATAAGCATTATTGTGTTATCGTGTGTTCAAAATGAGTACTAATCACTTCATCAATGTATGGATCTAAAGCACTAGTGTAATTAATCCCGGTATAAAATAACTAGTGCAATCATTCCGGTTCAAAATCACTAGTGTAATAATTCCTGGTTCAAAAACACTAGTGTGAACATTCCTTGGATGAAAACTCTCCACTTTTTATATAAATCAGCTATGCAAGTTTCAAATACACTAAAAACTATAAAGCCACATTTTATATATATTTCCCCTTCAAAAAACCTTTTTTAGAAACTTATAATGACTGGTGGATGTTTTACACTGGACCCGGATAGAAAAACCTAGTGAATTTTTGTTGGTGGATAAAAATCACTGGGGATTTTCTTCCTCCGGACAAAGTACACTGGCGGAATCAAACCACTGTTACACTTACTAGTGCTAAGACCTTTTAAAGAAGAACTTACATGAATGATATTTAGAATGCAGTTGCATTAATATCAGAGCATGTTTTTTAATGCAGAATTAGCTTAAGTCTCGTTATTAGTTCATGGTCAGTTGACTTTTTGAAACTAAAATATAATTACAATACATGTACCGGTATAAGGAATTTAAATTAGGACTGTTCACCAGGGAAGTATCACACAATTTGTAATGCTTTTAGATTAGGAATGTTTACCAGGGAAGTATAATACAATTAGGAATATTTACCAGGGAAGTATAATACAATTTGTAATGAATTTATATGAGGAATGTTTCCCAGGGAATTATAATTACAATATAGGGAAGTCATTATAATCATTCATTTCAAAACAGAAAATGTTACTCAGCTAATTATTTTGTATATATGAAGGATATTAACTTAGTAATTTTTTTGTTCAAGTGAATGACCATGTCAGGACTTTTTGAAGCTGGCTGTACAGTATGGGTACTACGTATTGCCCATTGTTGAAGGCCACCATACCTGACCTATAGTTGCTTACATTTACATCATTAGGTCTTCAGTAGATAGATGTCTCATTTGCAATCATAACCTATATATATATATCTCCTTATTTTTTATATTCAATCAGCTATTTGGATTTTTTTTTAATTTTCAGGCACGTCCAAAAGCCGTTGATCCTGTTGATTACGAAACCTATGTGACAAAGAATAAAACGATTCTACACAATGATCCTCAGAGAGAAATGCTCACATTCCCATATGATGACATTATTATTCCAGTAAGTCAAGTTATCATTAAGTTGTACTGTATGATTTACTGATGTTACTGTCTTACTGAACATGTATTACCATTAGGTTGTTAAATTCCCTCATTGTAAAATTTGGGATCCAAATAAAACATTTACAATATATAGCATTGTTGATAGTAAAATACCAAAATATCTAAAGGAAATAGTTCCAGCTGTATTATGAGTGAAAATACAGAAGCATTTGTTTCACATCAATTATTTTTTGACATCACTAATGTTATAAACAGCAGTAATGCACATAGGAATATGGTATACAAATGTGCATTTGATTCCAGTTGTCACAATTGTTATATGTCAGTTATATTTTCCTTGATAGGATCAATGTAATGACTAATAGAATAATTGCTTTTGTAAAGTGAATTAGAAATACACCACTCCTGTCAAAAACCAGCAATGATTCAGTTGAACTTCACACATTTATGATAGTGAAACCTTCCAAAAATATACCCAGCTGGTAACTGAAGAGTTTGTCCAGATTAGACAGGTGTTTCTTTTACACAGGTTGAATTACTATATGATCTTCATTGTACATGTATGTACAGGTATAAAGGTTGAGTTTAGGTAGGTTTTTCAGTTTATGCAGGGCTCAGTTAGACAGGATTTACTGTATAGTTTTCATATTCAAATTTTGCAAGTAGCTATTTTCCTGTGGATATAGATTTTCCTGCTGCCTCAACTAATTAGAATAATTCTCCACTCTAGATTGTTATAGCATAGATTTTCTACAAGTTAATGTCAAACAAATCATAGAATATTAGATTGGTTCTTCAGCAAATAAAACAAAATAAACCCGTTATCTATACAAGATAATTTACAGGAATAAAGATTGGTTTGAAATTCATGTCGACAAAAACTCCTATTTACCGACTTATTCATTCTTTTTACTGGATATAAGTTATGTCATTTTAAACTTTAAAGTTATTGAAATAGGCGTATGATGTATATATAGAACAAGGTTCACTTTTAGCTAAATATGGCCTTGAATTTCAACTTACTCATAAAACATCAGAAAGATCATAAGTTGGTTCTTCAATTGATCTATTTAAAAAGCCTTAATGCTTGGTAAAACAAATTTCCTCATAAGAGAACATTACATGCTCCAAAGCTAGCTTATTTTGGATACATTGTTAAAATATGATGATTTTGTGTATTTTTCTGATCTAAAAGCTTTAGGAAAACCTTGTCTGCAACCTACTATGCAAAATATTGTTTAACCGAAAGGAACATATTGTATCCCTGGACACAAACAATTTCTGGATAAAGAATTGCAGCCAAAGTAAATTATGCTGGAAACTGTTATTAGTATATATTATGGAGAAATTGGACTATAACTGACTTACAACACAAATCATGCATAATTAAGGTGTCATTACTTCATTATTTAAAATGTGATATGTCAAAATAGCATATATTGTATTTTGAAATAGTAATATCACTGCTATTTCTATTTGAAACTTGTACAATGTAGTATAGTGACCTGATTTATAAAACAGGCAATTCGCAAAATCCTGAAGCTAAAGAACAAGATTTTTATGCTGTTATAGTGTTCTTCATCTTAAAGTTACAGTTTATAGGTCTTAAATAAGGAGCAAAAGCTCACACCCAAATGTGCATTCAAGAGCTCCCTTTACACTGGTTGGAAGCCATTCTTTGCCAAATGTTGATAAAGCTAATCTGTCTTTTGAAACACATAGATGTTGGGTAGTAAATGTATTAACAAATTACAGACTGTAATTGGCAAAGAGATATCTCCCATTCAAGTAGGTTTGATCAAACGTTATGAATCTTATACACAATGCATATTACAACAAAACACAGATCAAGTTTAAATTTTGGTGGCGTCACTTTTACTGTTTGTTCTAGAGTTATGTCCCTTTACAAATGGAAAAATTGCTGAATTTTTCGTTTCCTTTCTCTAATTAACGTTTGCCTCAACCAAATGTTATGAAACTTATACACAATGCTTATTACCACAAAACTCAGATCAAGTACGAATTTGGGTAGCGTCACTTTTACTGTTCTTAAGTTATGTCCCTTTATTACGTTATATGCAAGTGGGGGTATCATCTGTGTCCCATGGACACATTCCCCATTTATTTTGTTTTTCCATCAACATACAGATAATGCAGTCATTGAAAAGTAAAGCGGGGAACAGTTTTCTCTGACTGAGTAGCACTTTTTAACAGTTTTAGCATACACAAAAACTTCTTGTTTATCTGTAAAGAATTCATTAACTTGTTAAAATCAATCTTGCATTACTAGTGATTGCCAATATTTTAACTTAATTTTGTAAACTGAATGGTTCTTGTAAAATGGTAACATTTATCCAATAAAAAAAGCTGTTTGACCACAAATGTTTTGTAAGTTTGTTTTTATGAAAATGAAAGTTTTACAAAGAGGTAAAGGATTTTTTTTAACAAAAGGAGAGAGATATATAAGGTATATGTCTATGAGACAGCAACCCAACAATGCAATGAAACCAATAAAGACATCTCTAGGTCATCATTAGCCTCCTGCTAAAGACATGTGACTAATTCCATATTATGCACATGTTACGCTCTAAGTTGCCTTGAGCCTAAACAAGTTTTGCATGTCTTTTTAAAGTTTTGATTGATTGATTGATTGTTTGTTGCTTAGCCTCCAGTGGCGAATGTTTACGGGACGTATTATGGTATACTGTTGTCAGTCCGTCTGTCGTCAACATGTCGGACAATAACTCAAAAAGGCTTAAATCAATTTTCATGAAACTTTGGTGAATTGTTTATATCTATTGACTTAAGATCCTTTTTCGATTTTAATAAATTTTGGATTTTACGTTTCCGAGTTATAGGATTTTATTCATAAAAAGGGGAAATTTTCCAGTTTTTTTCGGACAACCACTCAAAAATGCTTTGAGCAGTTTTCATGAAACTTTGGTGACTGGTTTATATCTATTAAAATAAGCTCCCTTTAGTTTTTTTTTTATAAATTTCTGATATGACATTGAGGAGTTATGGAACTTTATTCGTTGAAAAGCAACAGACATATAATGGGCTCATGGCGCAGCTCTTTATTAAGTTTTGTGGTGATGTGTAATTGAAAAAGTCTAAAGATAGACATGTTAGTTAAATGACATCTGTTGGATTTTAAACAATAGTTTAAGTTTACACTGTGTACATTTTAGTTTGTCATTATATCTTGCCTTTATTTTCAGGATTTGTTCATTTGAATATAATCATTCTAATGTGTTTAAATTTAGCCACCTTCACCACCAAAGAAGATGCGAACATTACATTCGACAGTACCACCTACTGCCACACAAGAAGCCACCAACCTGTTGGTACGAGAATGTATAAAGTCATACACAGATAGCTGTCATGTTGTCAAGTATAAATATGAACAGTACTCAGGAGGATACCAGAAACTTCTTAAGTAAGATCTACTATAGTATACCAACTCTATATAATGTGGATGAATGTCTGATATGTGAGAAATCAACCATTTCTATTATAAATAGACATCTGAGGATAAAGTAGCCTTGTAAAAATGTTTGAATTGAACAAATAATTACTCCAGATACTCACCTATATTTTGAATTAAAATTCATTTGATTCGTACTTAATTTTGAGCTTAGGGCAAGGTGAGTGCAATTCAATAAGAAATGACATTTTTGCACTGTTAACATTTTCATGAAATTTTTTAGTCATTGGAAAGTAGGAGACTTTTTGTTTTACATAAGGTTGGATTGGTTATGTCTGGAAAACTGAAAAATAAATTCTCTTACATTCTCAGGTTCAGTTGTAAACATCAAATGCACTGAATCACATTCAGTTTATACAGCCTCGTTGGATTTTAATGATAATTTAACACAATACAAACTAGCTTTCCATTAATACACAAAAAAAATATTTATATCAAAGATAAAGTGTTTGCTTCATTAATTTACTGACATAATTTTTAGGTAGGCATAAGAAACCAAGAAAGATTGAAACACATTCAAAGACAATATTTTGTATAGACCTTATTGTTATATGAGAAAAAAACTTATTGTCAAAAAAGATTTGCTTTATATTAAAATGATTTTCTCCAGATTAAAGACACCTGAAGCCTTACCTGAACATGTGTTTGAAATTGATGCAGAAGTGGAAGAGAAAGAAAAGGATGAGGTATATCTGCTGACATGGATACAGTTTTAGTTTAACACTAATCATTTGTAACCTGATATTTTAGGCTACTGTCATTTGCAACTTCGATTTTCATTTGATGACATCAAAATAGTTATAGAGTAAAATTCATGATCAACCAGATGAAAAAGTAACTACCACTGAAATCATTTCTGTTAATTTAAAATTTACTGTAACTGACAAATGTCAGCCTTTGTGTTTGAGTTTTGTATTCTATTTGGATATTTGTCATTATCATTCATTTTGTTATTCTCTGATTCTTGAGTTTTGGTAACCTGAAAAATTGTGTGTTTTCCAATCATTCATCAACCTTCTTTTTACCAAATACATTTGTACATATAAATTCTTTCATACACATAATGGCCATATATGAAATTTCCGTCGCTTTCCCAGGAACTAGAAATCAGAGCTTCATTAAATTTGTTAGCAAGCTTAGGCAAATTACATGCTTTCACATTCTTGACCATTTATGATGCTTTGGTCACATTTTTGTCTCGCCTTGACGGAGTCAAAAAGCGAGACATAGGTATGCTGTTTCTGGCGGCGGCCGCGTTGTCGTCAACAATATATTAGTTTGTGATTAGGTCTAGTTCATGGGGAATCACTAGTGGTAGGTCAATGATATTTGGTATGCAGTTGTATTAGCATTGGCACATCTCATTACCATGGAGATTATTTGGCCCCGCCCCCTCAATCAAGGTCTATTGACTTTGAAACTTTTCATAGTTTACATGTATTAGTTTGTGATTAGGTCAATGTATGGGGAACCACTAGTGGTAGATCAATGATATTTGGTATGCAGTTGTATAAGCATTGGCATATCTCATTTCCATGGAGATTATTTGGCTCTGCCCCCTTAGTCATGGTCTATAGACATTGAAAATTTTGCTAAGTTAACATGTATTAGTTTGTGATTAGGTCAGTTCAAGGGGAACCATTAGTGGTAGGCCAATGTTAATTGGTGTTCAGTTGTATAAGCATTAGCACATCTCATTTCCATGGAGAATATTTGGCCCTGCCCCCTGTCATGGTCTATTGACTTTGAAACTTTTGCTTAGTTTACATGTATTAGTTTGTGATTACATTGTAGATCAGTTTAAGATGAACTGCTAATGTTAAGTCAATGATATTTGGTATGCAAATTTATTGGCATTTGCAAATATCGTTTCCATGGAGATTATATAGCCCCACCCCTGATCATGGTTCATTGACTTTGAAACTTTTACATAGTTTACAAGTTAATGTTTGTGTTTAGGTCTGTTTAAAGGGAACGACTTATAATAAGTCAATGGTATTTGGTATGCAGTTGTATTAGCATTGGCACATCTCATTCCGTGGAGATTGTTTAGCCATGTACCTTCAGTCATGGTTCATTGACTTTGAATATTTGCATAACTTACATGTTAAAGTATTGCTATTATAATTTCAACATTTGCATTATCAAAATTACAAAAAGGTGAGACATATCTCTGTGATAACAGTTTATTTACTCAGGAACTATGAATCAACACCCTGAAATTTTAAATCAACATTTATGTGAGCATGCTTTACCATGTGATGCATTTTCACATACATTGCTCTTTAACTTTTTTTTAACCAAATACTTATAGCTGGGGTATCATTAGCGAGCAGTAGCTCACAGATTTACCTGTTTGAATTAGATATGTGGAAAATGATGTTTTAGTTATTCTTTGTTATGTAAGACACAATGCATTTGCCAGTGTAAATTTCATATATAAAGTGAGTCATGCCTGTTTAGATCATGTGAAAGAAAAATACATGTATGTTGATCACTGCTAAACTAAAAGATGTCAAATGGTATTAAAATCATCAAAGAAAGAGATCCTAGTACCTCTTCACAACATTTCTCCACCCTTGATAGTTTAATTTTTTTGAGTGCAGAAAATGGTATTTCCCTATGTGCAATAATGAAAAATGAAACTAGATTCATTAAAAAGTTTGATTGAATGTCTATTTATAGGACTCTATCAGTAGACAAATGGTAGATGTGGTTACAAAAGAAGGTTGGTTATACAAAGGTCCTGAAAGTGGCAAAGAAAACGTCATCAGTTTTACCAAGGTATGTCTAGATATTTATAACCTGGTCTCAAGATGGGGATAAAAAGTAATGTACATGTCCGTTTATACATGTATGTAGGTCAAAAGTTTTGGTTCACGATGATAAAGTACCACTTGACTAAAGCGTAGCGGAGGGGGCATTAAGTTTTACCCTTGTCCGTTTGTACGTCCGTCCGTACGTCCGTCCGTACGTCCCAAAATGGGTTTCCGTTCTCTAACTTGAGTTTGCCTCAACCAAATGTTATGAAACTTATACACAATGCTTATTACCACAAAACACAGATCATGTTTGAATTTTGGTGGCGTCACTTAAACCGTTCTAGAGTTATGCCCCTTTATAAATGAAAAAATTGCAAAATTTTTAGTTTCCGTTCTTTAAATTAAGTTTGCCTCAACCAAATGTTATGAAACTTATACACAATGCTTATTACTCACAAAACACAGATCAAGTTTGAATTTGGTGGCGTCACTTTAACCGTTCTAGAGTTATGCCCCTTTATAAATGGAAAAATTGCAAAATATTTAGTTTCCGTTCTCTAACTTAAGTTTGCCTCAACCAAATGTTACGAAACTTATACACAATGCTTATTGCCACAAAACACAGATCAAGTTTGAATTTTGGTGGTGTCACTTTAACTGTTCTAGAGTTATGCCCCTTTATAAATGGAAAAATTGAAAAAAATATATTTTCTTCTAAATATCCAGTTAATTATAAAATTAGAGTTATCTTCCTTTGTCCATGATTATAGTTGAATCAACTACAATCAATGCTTTATGCAATGCAATGTTTAATTTTGACTTCCACTGATAAAACACAGATCAAGTTGAATTTGGGTAGTGTCACTTTAACCATTATTGAGTTATGCCCCTTTATAAATAGAAATATTGCAAAATTTTTAGTTTCCATTCTGTAACTCAAGTTTGCCCCAATGAAACATTATGAAACTTATACACAATATTCATTAACACAAAACTAAGATCAAGTACAAATTTTTTGTTTCCGTTTTCTAACTTTAGTTTGCCTCAACCAAATGTTATGAAACTTATACACAATAAAATTGAGAATGGAAATGGGGAATGTGTCAAAGAGACAACAACCCGACCATAGAGCAGACAACAGCCGAAGGCCACCAATGGGTCTTCAATGCAGCTAGAAACTCCCGCACCCGGAGGCGTCCATCAGCTGGCCCCCCAAACAAATATGTATACTAGTTCAGTGATAATGGACGTCATACTAAACTCCAAATTGTACACAAGAAACTAAAATTAAAAATGATACAAGACTAACAAAGGCCAGACGCATCTGACTTGGGACAGGCGCAAAAATGCGGCGGGGTTAAACATGTTTTGTGAGATCTCATCCCTCCCCCTATACCTCTAGCCAATGTAGAAAAAACAAACGTACAACAGTACGCACAGTAAAACTCAGTTTAAGAGAAGTCTGAGTCCGATGTCAATATAGGAAACAAAAGAAAATAAACAAAATGACAATAATACATAAATAACAACAGATTACTAGCAGTTACTGACATGCCAGCTCCAGACCTCAATTAAACTGATTGAAAGATTATGTCTTCATCATATGAATATCAGGCACAATCCCTCCTGTTAGGGGTTTAGTATTATACCATCATAAAATATATGAGAAGAACATAACCCGTGTCATGCCAACAACTGGTTTTAGAATAAATATTTAATTCCGATGTAAAGACCCTATAAGTGAATCAATATTAAAGCCAAAATACGCAATCTTTACTGACCTGACAACAGTATCGTAACTATATCCCTTCTTAATAAGTCTGTTTAAAGGTTTTGTTAGCTTTTGAGGTGAATACTGACATTTTTGTGCTTTGTAAAGAATATTACCATAAAAGATTGGATGTGAAATACCCGAATGTATAAGATGTCTGCATGTTGAGTTATATTTACGAATGATGTCCTTATACCGATGATAAAATTTAGTAAATGTTTTGACTAGTTTATGATATCAAAAACCCTGGTGTAATAATTTTTCAGTAATACATAAATTTCTCTCGCTAAAATCTAATACGTTGTTACATACACGAGCAAATCGTACAAGTTGAGATATATAAACACCATAAGATAGTGACAAGGGAACGTCACCATCTAAATATGGATAATAAATTTGTTATACAAGGATACATATGGATCAGATAAACATCCTAACAAAAAATCTTGTTGGTCTCTGCATGTGGCCAATGTGGTTTTTGCATATGATAGTTCAATTTTTAGGGTCAAATTAAGGCCTTCATGGTCCTACCCAATTGATTTTGATGGTTTTGATATTAACTGTTCAAAAGAGTTATGCCTCTAAGTTACCTATAAATTTTGATTTTTTTGGGATGGGAAGGAGGTTTCACAATTTCTTAACATACAGTACACTAATCAAATTTCTCTTATCTCTTTTTATTATGCTTTAGCTAACATAGCCATTATTTACCAATCATTTGCTGTAAATAGTGTATAAAATGTGTTAAAAAATAAAATACTCCATATGGAATGCTGGAGTTGTTTCCCTTATTTGGGTGTTGTTGATAACTTGTGCTATTTTAAGAATATCTTTTTAATCTGATTTTTTTGGCCAACACAATGTTTAAAGCGTAATATAATGCATGACTGACTTAGATTTTTATATCAAATAGATAAATTGATACAAAATTTTAAATTAATGCAAGAAAAAATTCCCCTATTGTAATTTATTTATATTCTTGATCCTGGTCAGATTTGTTTCCATAACTGTTTAAGTCTAGATATGAAGCAGGATTTTTAGTAGATAGCTAGTGCCTAGTGCATTAGTTTGAAAGATAATACGAAAATGATGAATGAACTTCATTAATCTGAATGAAAGAGGAAATATGCAAGTTATATGACACATGTTACTTTGGAAAGGATAATACCCTATCATAAAAGAGGCCTGATAATTCACTCTCTCCACTGCAATATTGATTGAAAACATATTTGAAAAACCTCAGGAGATAATTTATTCTTTACAGGAATTTCTGTCAAGGTATACTAATGATTTTCATTGATCTGGAGCTGGTAGCACTTTCTGCTTTTCTTCTAGGGAAATTAAGAAAAAAACGTGTTTAAATTCACAGTAGAAAACTTTTTTTTTTAATAGAACTGCATTTGGTTTACAACAGCTATTTTAAAATCTTGAATATATTTGACTACTCTGAAAGGGATTCTTAATTATAGGAGTAAGAAGAAAGGTAGCACTGCAATTAAGATTTCAAATAAATTTTCCGCATGACAAGTAGAAAATAAATGAATATTTCAACAACGAATTGCGTATGCATACTTTCTTTTTCATTGTAAACATGGTAAAATAGTTTTAAAAAACTCTCCTGGACATTTTTCAAGATTGTTTTGCTGTAGTATTATAGTAAAAGCAAATTTAAGGAGTTAATTTATTCCTCTTGAAGGGATTATTTGCTTTGATGGAAGGGTTGGAAATATTATCAGTATGCTTCAACATGGCATGGTAGGTAGAATTTTCAACCCAAGACTTGAAAATTCTTCAGATACAGTAATTTAATAACTTCTTAAATTATTTTTTTTTCATGAAATGTTGCATTGATTTCATAAGAGATGACAAGGCTCAGTTGAAGAATCCTTCCATACTATTTGTCATACAGTGTAATTTACAAGTATATAAAAATCACATGTATATTGTGCCATATAAAATAAGAACATGGTTGCCAATGAGACAACTATCCTACAGAGTCCAAATGATGTGGGTTAAAGCAACTTTAGGTCACCTTACAGCCTTCAACAATGAGTAAAACCAATATCGTATAGTAAGCTACCAGTATGTTTGATTGCTTTTAATTAAAATTAGATAAAGTTTCATGATAAAGATGGGTGAGAAAGCTAACTCATTCTTGCATTTTTAGAAACAACTAATAAATTATGATTATTAGACATTTTTGTCAGAATTTTCAATTATAGAAGTTGTGCTTTGAATTTTTGTTATCTTACATACATCTTATGATGTAAATGTGAACCTTTAATTGTGCTAGCATTTAATTAAAAGAAGATAAGAATATAAAAATAAGAAGATGTGGTATTACTGCCAATGAGACAACTCTCAACCAGAGACCAAATGATATAGGAGTTAAAAACTATAGGTCACTGTACAGCCTTCAACAATGAGCAAAACCAATACCACATAGTAGGCAGAAGCCTATTCACACAAATTCTTCATAAACTAGTAATTCGTATGCTTAACTTTAATCAGAAGATGTTCATTTTACAAAAACATTTTCTGTATAATTTACATTCAGTTTTTGTTTTAAGTTGATTTTGTTTTTATCTTTAATTTTTCCATTTATACAGCAATTCAAGAGGAGATATTTTGTGTTAAAACAACAAACAGACATGACCTATATTCTTGAGTTCTTTAAAGATGAGAAAATGATAGAGGCAAAAGGATCAATATTTTTAGAGCTAGCAGAAGAAGCAATTAAAGTAATTTTATATTTATTGGTTTTTATGAAAAAGAATATATATAAAAATAAGGAGATGCGGTATGATTGCCAATAAGAAAACTATCCACCTAAACTCAAATGAAGTGGATGTAGGCAATTATAGGCAACCATACGGCTGTCAACAATGAGAAAAACCCATATGGTATAGTCAGCTCTAAAAGACCCTGACATGAAAAATATGAAACAATTCAATTGAGAAAACTAACAGCCTAATTTATAACAAAACAATTTAAGAAAAACAAATATGACAGACAGGAATCAATGACAACCACTGAACTACAGGCTCCTGACTTGGGACAAGTACATAAGAATATGATGGGGGTTAAATATTTTTGAAGAAGCCAACCATCCCCTAACCTGGGACAGTGGTGTAACAGTACAACATAAGAACAAACTGTAAATATCAGTTGAAAAGTGCTTAACTCATCAGATCGATACAATGCAAAAAAAATCTAACAAAAACACAGACCTGACATGGCAGGGTATTTATACATCCCTTAAAACTAAAGGGACACAATAGTAGGTTAAGATGAATAAGAATTATAAGACAAAGGCAATACAAAGTTGAAGTTTAGAATCTGGTCCAAATCTAAACAAAGGAGAATATGCAATTTTATTTCAAATTGGTTCATAATTTATGATTATTGAAATGTTGAATCTTTATACATTGCTTTCTTATTCATGAGTTGATTAGCCATAAAAGATAAGTAAATGCAGTAAAATTGCAAAATAACACAAAATTATGACAGTTCAATATTGAACATGTACAAATCAACATCATTCTCACCCAAAAAGATTGTAATACAGGAAGTGTATTTTGTGTTTATCTTAAGTATCTTGCTTTATTTTTAGAATCCAAAGAAGGGAAAATATTCATTTGAAATAAAGATGCAAGGAAGAGCACCATATTTGTTGTCAGCAGATAATGAGTCTGAGGCATCTGATTGGATACGTACAATAAATAGAATCATTAACCTAGCTGAAACTGCATCACAAATATCAATGGAACAAGCCAAAGGTGAATATTGAACTCTGATACTTACTTAGAATTTAGAAAAACATGCTTGATTCCAAGTTAAACATTTCAGTGACTCTTTTTTTAATAGATACTGGAATTTAGTATGTAAGGCCGTGTTCAAATGGATTTTTATATTTATATTCTGCAATTTTAACTTATCAAAATTTTGTTTATTCGAAACTGTAAGTTTAAAAATTAATATGGCATATGAGCCTCTTATTATTATGCCTCTTTTGACAGAAAGTAGGCATATAATTCTTTATAAGTATTTCTTCTTCTGGTTCATGTTCTCAGACAACCTTGTACAGGCAAGACTTTATTTCTTTGACATTAACAGCCAAATATATGTCAAGAAAAAGAGAGTCAAAGGCTACCAAAGGGACATTCAAACTCATAAGTCGAACATAAACTGACAACGCCATGGTTAGAAAAGAAAAAGATAAACAAACAACAGTACACAAAACACAACATAGAAAACCAAAGACTGAGCAACACGAACTCCACCAAAAACTGGGGGTTATCTCAGGTGCTCTGGAAGGGTAATCTGATCCTGCTCCACATGTGGCACCCGTTGTGTTGCTCATGTTAGTGTTCCATATGGCAGTGTGTTGCACATTATCGTGACCTTTATATGACCTTGACCTTTTACTTTAATGTCAAAATGATTGGGTTTATTTGGAGACACATCATAACTTATTTATTCTTTGACATAGGATTTTGATATTTAGTGTGCATCACCTCAAAAAGATGTGTCATGCCAATTAAAGATGACTTCTGGTCTTGACCTTTGACCTCAAGGTCAAATAATTGTTTTGTCAGGAACATTTTCATGTCTAATTGAAATCACATATAATCTTGCATGCAAGGCCTTTTCAGTACACTTAATTATTAATCTTTGGGGTCATTGCTTTCTAGACCTTTCTAGTGCTCCAGTTTTTTTTCATGTCCTGTTCCCATATATTATTAACTATTTAATATATTGAACAGTCAAAATTCTGAACATTGTTATTTTTTGTAAGAGAAATCAATGGAAATAAAGCTGTACTTGGTTTTTGATTTTATGGTTAGAATTTTTAAAAGAATCAAGACAGAAAGTGGCAAATGGTAGGAGTACAAACACTATAAATTTCAATTTAAATCTAACATATCAGTTTTCAAATGTTTTATAAGTCATAACAAAAAATGTATTAAATTTATCAAAAGGGGAAATAACTCACAAAAGTGAAAAAAGATTAACACAAAAAATCAAATAGTTGAATATGCATGAAATAATTGCACAACTCAGCTTATGTACTCATGGGCCTCCTGTAATTTTATTACATTTCAGAATAGTTCATTATTTGATGTACATTTGCTAATTTCAGAAGAACCTACTCTTGACAAGGCAGAAGCTAAAGTAGAATACAGTATGCATCCCGAGTTACAAAAGGTAGGTAATTGTCAGACTATAAGTATAGATGTTTCGAAAAGGAGGAGATATAATAAGTGGCATATTTTTTAATATTTTCAAATTTATATAAGTTCTATTGACTAATGAAAAGGATGATATAATTTTGACGCTAGATTTTGAAATGCAGTGTTCATACCTGTTTGACATCATGAACTTGTATGAATTGACATATTTTAACAAAAATGGTCATTTTACACAGTTGTTTTGCCAAAATTTTAATTACCCGTAGACAAAAGCTGAAGCCTTCATGAAAAAGATACTTTACCCACATTAACATCATTGTATAAGACATCTTGTCACAAAATATCTTTTCTGTGATAGGTTGACTTGTATCTAAAATTAATGACAAATTTTCAAAATAAGACTATTTTGGAAGTTTATGCAGTCAAAAATGTTAAGCATAATTCCAGAATATAAATACTGATATCTATTGTATCATAAGCACTTATAGGGTGTTATTTGGTAGATTGATAATACTTTTTGATTTTCAAATTCAAGGCACCATAAGTGTGACCTTATACCTTCTCTTACATTATATTTAAAGGGACCAGTTTGATAATTTATCAATTTTTTTATGTTTAACAATTCTGCACAGTGGAGAAATTTTAAAATCCAAAAAAAAATCATTTATTTCATTAATTTAGTGACCATAATTTTTACACTGCATCTACAGTACATAAAATAAGTTCTACTTAGTAAGCATCTTGTACTGTTGTTAAATATATGATTAAACTAAGTGATATTTTTCAGTATTCCAGAGAAACAGAATCAATGGTTACATCAGCAAGAGGGAAAGACAGACAAAATCTTTTCAAGGTTTATCCTAATTTAAATGTGAGTACCTGTTGTCCACTGTAAGGTTGGACCTGTGTGGAACATATCGTTGCAATTTCCTGAATCATTAAAAAAAATTAAAAAATTCCATAAGATTCAAAGACTTAAGACAAAACCTAAGAACATACATATTAGAGTATCCCAATATTACTGTATGGTCTTCAATAATCAGAGATTTAGCTCTGCTGATAAAGTGTCAAAAAATAGCAAAAGTCTGTCTTAAATATAAAAATAAGAAGATGTGGTATGATTGCCAATGAAGCATGATAAAAAAAAAATTTTGGATTTGAGACAGGCAGTTATGGCTTGAGTTATATTTTAAATGATTAAAATGAGAAGTCAGTAAACTTCATTGAGACAGCAGCACCCCAACACAAAAACAGAAAATACTTCTCGAGGTCAAAATACCATTTTTAGCAAGGAAAACAAATAATGCATCTAATAGTCAACATACCATGTTATTATGCATTAGGTTTCAAAGTGTCCATCAAGAAAAACTATATGGCAAAAATCAATGTCAGAGTTATAAATCTGGTATCTTTGCTATTTTTTTTACAACAGTATGATGATATTATAGTGCTTATAGTTACTCACTTAAACCTGCACAACCTAAACTGGGAACTTTAATCAGGGCTTATTCAGTCAGATATCAAAGATTGAAACCTGCCATGATTTAACACTAACATGTCAATTCAGTGGAAACAAACATAAGGACAAGAATGTTAACAACTACAGGTCACCCTACAGCCTTCAACAATGAGCAAAACTCATATAGAATAGAAGGCTATTAAAGTATGGATATCAAAATGTGAAACATTAAATCTTGTTAATTTCAGAGACATTGTTTAACAGAAGATACTGATTCTGAAGATGAACAAGACGTTGATGTGTTTCCTAGAGAATTTGGTGAACGTTTTCTGCTTGGGTTGTTGGATTTTAAGACAAAATTACAAATAAATCAGCTTGATGAAAACATTGGTAAACAAAGTAAAAGTTCAAATGTAAGTTTTTGCAGAAATAATAGTTGTTAAATTGAAATTTTCAAGAGAAATCATTTTTATTTGAAGATAGTATCAAATGATATGAAAAATAATGTTAAAACAATTAAATCTGTGTTGGTTTTTCCAATATATTTATTTTTTGATTTCTTATTTGAATGACCAGTGGATTGAAACTTTCATTGAATTGTAATTAAAATTTGTGTAGTCCAACTATAGATCACCTTAATTCTGTTAAACTGCAAAACAAAAGGGGGGGGGGGGGGGTATCAAAGAATCTCACTTAGACCATCAGTACATCAAACAATTTGTAAAGCATATTCAAATATGATGAGTTGTGCATCTGTATACTGTCAATCAGATCAGATGAATAGAAACACTAGGGATGATTTAGGGCTATTATAGAAAAAAAGAGTTTCCATGGGGGCAGAATGCCAATGAAATTTAGTGATACCATCATTTAATTTAAATTATGTACTCTTTGTCTATAAACAAATGCAGTTTTACCCCCACCAAAACAATTTTATATAGATGGCGTTCTGCCCCCAGGAGACACTTTTTTCATGAATACCACTTGCCCCAGAAACAATAATTTTCTAGCAGCCATTAAACTTACTGCAATTTTCTTTTTTCTTTTGAGAAGCATGTTACATGTATATATATAATGGTCTCAACAAGTATCTTTTATAGTTATTCTGATTTCCTGAAATAAGTGTAATTATAAAACAGATAGATGACACAGAAATTCTACTTTCAGCCTGAACCTTTCTTTCTGACTTTTGCACTTTATGATGCTAAAGATGGAAGGAAGATATCTGAAGATTTCCATATTGATCCAAATGATCCAGAAATTCTGGGAATGATTCCAACTGAAGTCCTTCATGCAGCAGACAAGCTACATAGTGTTGAAGGAAAGAAAACATCACCACCACTAAATGGTCTGGATGAGAACTGGTTAAAGTCAAAGAAAAGACAGGTTTGTCAGACCTATTTCTTACAAAAAAAACTATCACAAAAAGTGATTATGATTTTGATGCAACCACACACAAACACTCTGTAGGAACTGAATCAACATACCATGATAATTGATTTTAAAATTCCCCCAAAATGCCTTGATGGTAAAATACTATGGGAGATAAACAGAAAAAATATAAGTGAACCAACACCTGAAGTGGTGATTGTGCGGTAGGGTAAAAACGAGTGGATACCGCTAGGTATTCACAGTCATCTTGAAAAAAATGAATATGTCCACAATAAAGACAACAACACTCAAGTTTTTACCGCAAAGTATCTGTTTATTTGGTCGACGTTTCGCCAACAAGCGTGGCGTCTTCAGGACAATAATACATATGAAATCAAACAGTGAAGTACAATTTTTGTGGCTGTGTGGTTCGCCGAAAGTAACGTAACAATAGAGGTTGTTATGACGACGTTATAGATATAAATAGAAAGTGAAAGTAAAATAAGAATCTAGTAAAGTTAAAAGTGAAAGTTAGTCAATAAAGTTATTAACTTTGTGGTTAGCTGCTATTCTTACACGAAATTGGAAGCAGTACCTCCTCGGAGCGAAGCCATTTGAATTGGTATGGGATGGCCAGTGGGATGTTGTCCAATTTGGAAATGAACTGACATTTTATGATCAACTTTCATCATTTCTACAATATTACCACTAGAAACCTCCATGAGAACAACTACACAGACGTGTAAGAATAGCAGCTTATTTTACTTTCACTTTCTATTTATATCTATAACGTCGTCATAACAACCTCTATTGTTACGTTACTTTCGGCGAACCACACAACCGCAAAATTTGTACTACACTGTTTGATTTCATATGTAATATTGTCCTGAAGACGCCACGCTTATTGGCGAAACATGTCGACCAAATAAACAGATACTTTGCGGTAAAAACTTGAGTGTTGTTATCTTTATTGTCGACATATGGGAGATAAAGTACGATTTTGTTGAACAGATGGTACTGAGCTGCATTTATATGTATTGCTAGAATCATATATGTCAGTCCATTCTTAAAGTTTTCTTTTTCAATGGAATATCTTTGTAAATACAGATTAAGTTTTGAGTTAACAAAAACAATATACAGTTAAACCTGTTTTAAGCAGTTACTCATGGGAAAAACCAAAACTGTCCTCTCAATATAAAAATAAGAAGATGTGGTATGATTGCCAATGAGACATCTCTCCACAAGAGACCAAATGACACAGAAATTAACAACTATAGGTCACCGTACAGCTTTCAACAATGAGCAAAGGCCATACTGCATAATCAGCTATAAAAGGCCCCCAAAATGACAAATGTAAAACTATTCAAATGAGAAAACTAACGGCCTAATTTATGTACAAAATAATGAATGAAAAACAAATATGATATACAGCAACAAACGACAACCACTGAATTACAGGCTCCTGACTTGGGACAGGCACATACAGAATGTGGCGGGGTTAAGACTGGTGACCTTTAGAATGAGGTTCTTAATTCAAACATAACCAGACTATGTTGATAATACTAAAATTATTTGATTTTAAGTTTTAACACACATTGTTCTGTTGATGTATGGCTGCTTGGAATTGAGATGTCCAGTCAGAAAATAATGCGGTCATGAAATATTTGCATGCATCAATGAGTAGCCTTGATTAATTTACATTAATATTACTGATTTCTTATGAAAATAGGTGACAGCTGACACACTAAAGAGGTGAAAGCTTAATTGACTTTAAAAAATAAAAATAAAACATTTGGGTTGGTGACAAAATGACCATTAGATGAAGGTGGCCTCTGATTTTAGGTGACCTTTGTGACAGGTTTGACTCTTTGTATTTTACTTACCTATAATTGTTCGCACAAGCTTCTTTACAAATAGCAAAGTACAAATAAGATGTTTCTTTTATATATTTCAGGGTATATTTTCTGTGGTCAGTTGTCATTCAGAGGTGTATCTCGTTATTACTGTAGAGAAGGTCCTACAGGGACCTATAGGACCAGCTATAGAAACCTACATAAAGGCTTTGGAAGGCAAAAATGGTACAAAGCAATATAAACAGATGAAGCAATGTTGTTCACATATAGGTCATCACAGGATGCCATTTGCATGGGCAGCATGGTAAATTTATTCATATCATGTTTATCTTTTGAAGGAAGAATATTTGAAAAGTTTGAAAAAATAATAATTGTATTTATTACATTGGTAGCAATGAATTACATTGATTTCCCAGTGAAATAAAAACCGATAATTTCACATGTGAAATAAACGTGATTATTTCACTCCTCTGACGTCATAAAACAAATAGGCATTGTCAAGACGTTGATAACGTCGGATCAAAACAAATTGTGAATGCGTAGAAAACGATATAGTTCCTTACATTTTCTACTTTAATTTCACAAAAAAGCCATTTTCCAATGTAATAAAAAGAATAACTAATCAAAGAATTCAAATATCGAAAAATATCCAACTCGTGACCGAACAACACTGATAATTAACTCATGCGCTACGCGCATTCGTGAATTAATGTGTTGTTCGGTCATTCGTTGAATATTTTTCTCTATTTGAATTCTTGGATTAGTTATTCTATAATTAATACAAGGAGCCCAATTTGTATTTTAGAAAATAAAAAAGTGAAAACTACAGCACTGTTACAGAATTATTTACTCTTTATAAGTCTGAAATCAGAGGTGGATATAGGGAAGACACTGACAGTGTTAAAAATAATGTCTGATTTAAGAAAGCTTGGGTGTAGAAATGTTTGACGATAGATTTTTCTTAAACTTTTGTAAAAGACTTTAAATTTCAATGTAATAATTGGGGATGACCTTGTCTTTTTGTTAAAATACATTGAAATTAATGAAATCACAGTTATTTTATATGTGTTATATAGGGGAAACTTCATTTTCCCTTATTGAGGAAACATTAAACGATAGAATTAATTTAAATTCATTGAGAATATTTCTTTTCATGAATACTTCCAAAATATCAAATAAAAATAGGTCATTGGCCTAAATAATAAAAAAAAAAACCTAAAAAACTAATTGTCTTATCAAATTCAATAGAATTATCTGCCCTTGATTTTAGAAGGACTTTTTTTTCTAAAATTTTAAATACACTTAAAAACACTTAGTTTTTGATGGGTTAAACTTAAATTTCAAGTTTAAGATGATTCTGTTGTATGTTGAATGATACTTTGTAAAATATTTTAAACCGAAAAAGTATTTTTGCGACATGCCCAGAAGAGATGCTCAGAAAAAGTCACCTGATCAACCTTAAATGCATTTGATTTGAAGAAAAAAGATGTCAGAATACGAGATTTTAAGTATAATCAGCTTTTTATTTCATTCAATCTCTATGGTATGTATTATCAGCTTCCCATAAATTCCTTTTATGATTAAAACACTTATTTATTGAGAATTGAATGATTGCAGAAATAAAACTTGTATTTAATGTCCTTCTTTGAAATTTGACAAATAAGTTTTTTGTGTATTCCCCCTTCTAGTCAAGTTCTATCTAGAGAATATGGACCAAGAAACCTGTCTTTGTACAGATATGATGGAAACAAGATTTCTGAGGATGACCTCATTAAACATTTACAAGATTTTAGAAAGTAAGTATTATAATTTCTAAAAGTCTACCTAAATCTGAGGGCAAACAAAATCATGAACTTCTAACTTAATCTTGTTACTAATAAACTTCTAGATCCTTTGTCCAAGGATCAGAAGAAAAAAATTTGTGTGACTAATTAGAAGTGTTGGAAATATTATTTTAAAATCTAATTCTTTTTACATACAAAATTATAATTTACGCATTGTGAAAATGAACAATAAATACAACTCATTCTGCAAAAACAAGATAAATATTCATGCAAATATTTGTTTCTGTCGTTTAATGCCCCTAATGAAAACACATTATGATTGTGTTAATAAGCCTTCAGAGAATGTAAAAAAATATTTTTGGGTAACTGTTCTTGATTTTCCTGTTATATAATCATCAACCATTACATTAAAAAAAAATCAGAAACATGTCCCAACTTTCAAAGCTCTTTATGATAAAATCAGAAGCGTTTCATATGAATAATGAATAAAAAAGAAAAAAAAATCCAAATGATAGTGTACTAATTTTACTTGATAATGATCTTAAACAATGGAACACTAGATGGCAAATATTTTAATACAAATTTACTTACAAAAATATTGACAATTTTTATACATTTGCAGACCAGAAAAGCAGTCAAAATTACAAGAAATACCTGGCAATATAAAGATAACAATGAAAATGCTGACGTCAGAGGAAATATTACAGAGTAAGTCATTAATCAATTCCTGATATTTGGCTTTTACTTAATTCTTAAACTATGTAACTTCCTTTATTATTAAATGCTTAAGACTTTATATTAGTTATTTATTTTTGCAACTATTACTTGTCAACACTCAACAGTGGTGTTCATTTAGTAAAATGTATTTTTCCAAAAATATTGCAAGCCAAAAGAAACTAGTATTAAGCATAATTATGTAAACAACATATTAAATAACAGCACATAAAAAAAAAAAAATGAAAAGTGCACCCCATTCAGAACTTAGTGGTAATAGATCTTTAACTGCTTAAATTAATCGCTACAGATTATCTAAAGAATTAAAATTACAAGTAAACATTAGAATTGTGCAGATGATGTCTGGCAGAGAATACTGATTGCTAGTGATGACCTATTTACCAATTGAAGGTAAAATGGAAGAAAGTGTGACTAACTAAGAACTGACCCATAATCTAATGTGTGGAGGTTCACTGTTTTGAAATCAAAACAACACACAAAACTGAAAAAAAAATCATAACATCATGCTTTATTTACCTCTTTCAGAGAAGTGGTTTTCAGGAACAGGTATATTTTGGTTTGTCCTGCAGTGCACTGTGTTCTCTGAATAACAAACCGGTTTCACTTGCATTATATCTCACCTCAACCGTTTATATTTCAGGGTGCTATTTATATATTTATTCCTTTTCACAAACAAAATATTTATGAATATCTTTGCCTGTTATTTTATTTATTCAGTTAAGTTGTTCATATGTTCAAGAAAGAAATTTTGTTCTGTAAATTGGAAACCAAAACGGTTTTTAAAGTCAATGCATACATTTTATTTAGATAATTCAGAAAGAAAAGAAGAATAATGATCTGACATTTCTTTTTTATTTTAGAAAAACAACTTTTGTTGTTCTATACCTCTATCTTCACAGATGAATTTATATTTCTAATATTCCGATTTTTTTACATTTCTTCATTGTAGCATATGATAAAAAGAAATTTCTCCGATGTATTAGATATGACAATTTCTTTGAAAAGGCAGTAATATATTCCGTCCAGATAGTTAAAAAAATTTATTAGAGCCTTTAAGTATAACAAATAGTTTAGTATTTCTTTATTTTGTTTTAGTTTTTCTTATCTCACCTTGGTAATGGTCATACATTTATATATTTTTCTCAGAATGTCTTTCTGTTTAGGTAGAACTTTAATTCGAGATTCAGAACATAAATGAACGAGAAAAATTAATATGGGCAAAAATTAAGTTGCTTTTGAAGTACAATGAATTTTAAGGAATTTTTTCACACATTTTTTTTAATTAAATAGATTTGTTTTCAAAAATCAAACTTCATGAGAACTTATATCTCTTTGGCTGTTATTTGTTAGAAGAAATGAAAATTTTAAAGATTTTTTTTTTAATGAGGTAGATGTAATTAATAAGAACATCACATGAATTATTTCTTAAAAAACACATTCACAACTTAATTGATATTTTTGTTCGTCTACAGTACATTATATTTGAATCTAAATGTCTTGGTAACATCACAGAAAAGGCATGTGACTTGTTTGTCAATTATTGCAGAGAGTTTTTTTATAACTATTACTTTAAAGGATGAACTAGAAAAAAATGAAGAAACAAACTAACTTGCAAACATTTTTGATTAAGTAACACTTTTTATTACAGGTACATTAACTTCATCCTTCATTCCCATAAAACCATTCCCTAATCCCCCTGTAGAGCCTCCAGCTTTTGAAGTAGATGAGTTTGTTCCAGAGAGAGCATCTCTATGTGACACATATGATTCCTACATCAACAATATCTATGTTTATCCATGTAGCCTCAAGTTCGAACATCAGAAATCTTTTACAAAGGTAATAACTTTCATCAATAGAATATAGTGTATCCATGTATATTTAAAAAAAAAAGGGTAAACTACTATTTAATACACAAAAATAATTTATTTTTACACTTATTTATGAATATCAGAAATCCTTTATGATAATTTATTTCCATTTCCTACCATACTTTAAGCCTCTGAAAGACATGTTTCATTCCCCAAAAGTTTACATAAAAATTTAGTGATATTAGAATGTATACAAAGATAATGGAATGTGGTCTGATTGTCAAAGGACAAAGTTGTTTAAAACAATTACAGGTAGCCAAACAGCCTTCAACAGTGAGCAAAACTCATAGAAGGCTAAAAAAGGCCTGTTATGACAAAATGTTGAACAATTCAAAATAGAAAACCCACAAGCCTTATTTATACTACTTTAATGAACAAAAACTAATCTGGTAGACAGCAATCAGAAACAATCACTGGATTCCAGGTTCCTGGCTTTGGACAGGCACAAAGAATGTGGCATAGTTTTACATGTTTGAACTGTCATGTATAGAAGATCATCCAGCAGCATCTAAAATAATGCTTGATGTTGATTTCCTTGTTTTGATTTTCTTCTTTCTTTATTAATATTTATACATACATTTAAATGCAGATAAGTGTGTCTTGATTAATAATTACCAAAACAATTGCTTTGCATGTCTGAACAAAATGTTGCAAACTCGATCAATTGAGTTTTTGAGATATATATTTGTAATTTATATCGAAAACAAAACTTCTTTTCTATAAAATTGCTTTTACAGACATGCTTTATTTTTCTCAGAAGTTTTTGACACTAGATGTAAATGAATTAGTGTAATTGTTGGTCAAGAAAAACAATTTGTTTTAAGTAATTTTACCTATTTTAAGATCATATGTATAATGTTTTTGTTGGATTTTTTTGTAGGCAAGAAATATTGCCTGTTGCATGGAACTGAGAGACAGTGATTCCGATAGTGCTGTTGCCTTAAAGGTAATAATTTTTACATATAATGTATTTTTATATATAACTTGGATGTAATATATTACTTATTTAAGTGTAATATAATGATTTATTTTGACAAATACAGAGCTTATAGCTGATATCTGAATTAAACAATGGACAATGTATTGAGGCAAAAGGTCAAAATGAAGATCGTTTTCTAAACAGGGGAATTACCATGAAATACCATAAGTTCCTTATTAAAAATTAACTATTTTGTAAAAACAGTGTGAAATTTTTCTTGTTAATACATTTAGTTATAGTTGTTTCAACTTATAGATATGAAATGTGGTGTAACATATGTTTTAGTCTCAAACAATAAACATAATATTTATTAATTTTTTACACAAACAACATTCTTTCAGCAACAAACTTTACATAGAGATATATATTCTGTTATTTCAGTATATATATGGCAGACCAGAAGTAGGATTATTTACATCAGTAGCTAGTACTACAGTCATTCATCATAGTACATCACCTGATTATAATGAAGAGGTTAATATTTATGTTGATATATCTATTCAAAAAGAAGTTAACATTGGGGAGTCAAAGAAGGTGATACAGTAATATAACTATGTTCCAAGGAGTATTCAATTCGGGGAAAACTGCCTCAGTGGTCTGTTGGTAGCTTGTCACCTTGTAAACTAGCACACTAAAAATCTGACTCAGTGTGTTGGTCTAGTACAAAGCAGGGTTAATATTCATATTACATTAACATGTTCTCGTCCTGAATATGCATATTAATTTGCCGCTTGACATTAAGTAGCCATCCATCATCATCAATTCAGGTTGTTAGGGAAACTACAACCATCTACTGTAAATTCAGGAATTAATGTGTGCGCATTAATACAAATAATGAAATTCTATGATAAATTTCAATAAAAATATATGTAATATATAAAAATGGGATTCAGATAGATCTTTTAATGAAATTTGAATTTTGAAAATAGGAAATTAGCTCAGTAACATTTTCCACAAAAAAGAAAACATCACCCATTAATTACCGAACTAACAGTAAGGATGAAGAAACTTAAAAGCTTAGTCATACTTCACTTTGTACTCACAGCATAAGAACAGCTTTTATTCATTTATTGGAACTGAAAAGTGGAAAAAACAAAACTGGTGGTCAATTCAAATTACCAGATTGTAGATTTTGTGATAAGGAACAACAATAACCAAAGTTTAATTTTCTCATCATGTATTTTGATTTTGAAAATAATTTTTTATTATACTAGATTTGAATGAATCATGATGAAATGCAAATGATGTTATATTGTAGGTAAAAATTGTATTACCAATCCAAATCCATGACAGACACCATATATTGTTCAGATTTTATCATGTCAGTTGTGAGGGGTCAAGGTCCAGTGTGAGGAGTTCCACGTCAGGAAAGAAACGTGATAACATAGAAAGTGCTGTAGGAACAACTTGGTTACCTCTATTACACCAAGGAAAGTATGTTAGGCTTTCAAACATCTATCAATTTAGAAATAACTGTTTTCATCTATAATTGCAATTTTTTATCAACACCAAATAAAGTTATCTTAATTAATAAGATTTCAAAAACTTACTCTTTTCAGTATGAAAAAAAGAGAGTGATTGTCATTTTGTTTATTAGTATATTTTCCTTATTGTGAAGAAAAGCCATTTTCAAACATTTTTTTAGTTTTCCTGTTACAATGTTATCCTCTTGAATATTTTTGAACTATTTGCCACTGGCCATAAGGCCAAAAGCAATTAGTCAATTCTATTTTTTTTCTCACAATGTCATAGTTACTCAGTTGGCTTTATAACAATATTTTTAGATGTTGTATTCAGAGGCGTAGCCTGACCCTTATTTCTAGTGAAGCAAACTATATTAAAAGGCTTGGAACTCATGATCACTTCCTTGTTCAAGGGCAAAACCTTGGTGAGGCAGTTGCCTCACTGCCGTAATAGAAGCTACGCCACTGGTATTCAATATATACAATAGGCCCTTGTTTCATTTAATTTCAGTGATCAGATTTGAAATAAACTTTATACAATAGATAGGTGAAGACAGGATATAACTTATTTAAGTATGCTTAAAAGTTGTCACAAAAGTTTGAGTTCTGTAGAAATAATAGGAAACCTAAAACATTGAATTTTGAAATTAAAGTTTTTTAGAAAGAGGTTGCAAATCATCTCTAAACACTATTTCTTAAAGATTTGCAAAAGTTGGCTGATCTACCATATACATGTAGAAAACAGACAAAACGGAAAGACTGAAAAAATCCAGTGTTCAGAGTGTTTGAAAAATTGTTTTATCACCATAATTAGGAAAAGTTTGTACCTCTTAGGAATTTAATTCACAAGAATTTAAATATTTTACAAAATATGGGTCTTGTTAGAATATTTTTAATTTAGAAATTTACTGTCTTATTTTCAGAGTTGTGAATGGAGAAATGAGTATTCCAGTGGCTGCCAATCTTCCACCTGGTTACTTGTCTTACAGAATACTAGAACCAGGCAGGGTAAGTTAATTTCAGCAGTATACAAATAGAAATACAAATGTTCCATCGAGAAAGATAATTTCTGTCATTCCTATTATCTTATATTATAAAATTTCTTTTAAGTTGTACATCTAACAACATTTAGTATACTGTGGATTCAATTATTTTTCGTGGGTACCCATTTGCATGGATTGAGGAAAAATTGTATTTTTGTGGATATTTGATTTCATTGTTATGCCAAAGTCTGCATACAAGCCTATAGAAAATATGTACTTTGTTGAACATTGGATTTCATGGTTCACCTATTCCCACGAAATCCATGAAATTGGAATCCCACGAAAAATAACGAATCCACAGTACATGATTTTCATACACTTATCTTTAATGTATGTAGTCACACAACTCGTGAAATAATTTTTCCCAAGTTTTACACAAAGATGTAGATCTAATGAAATATTGAACAAGATGAACTGGATTGCCAAATTGATATGATAATATAAGACTTCATATGATTTTTTTCATGGTTCATTGACATAAAATTTGGTTTAATTTGTTTCCATTTGTAGATTTTGATCTTCAGCAGTAAATGAGGATGATTTATCAGCATTTCAAACATTGATTTGTTTTATCATGTTTAAATTACTTATAAAATTGTTGCAGCTTGAAGAGCTATAGATATAAATGTAGCAGATATTCAGTAAGGTGTATTCAGATGATAAGGTACCTTTACCAGATTTGAATTTATCATTGCAGGGATCAGTACCAGATATAAAATGGGTTGATGGTGCTAAGCAAATTTTTAAGGTCAAAGTTCATGTCAGATCCACTGTGTATACAACGGTAAGACAATGAATTTCTGAAATATACTAGAAAACAAATATGAAAAGAAATAATGTTTAATTTAACTTCATACAGCATTAAATACATGTTACACTTTGTAGTTTTCACAGACTGGTTTTATGTAGAAGTAGTCGGAAATTTAAACCAATTAACAAAGAGAATTGAAAAAAGTTTTCTGAAAGAAATCATCAGTTCTCTAATAATTGTCTAATGTCTTATTGAAGACCTCTGAGCATTAGTCCTAAAATTTAAGATACAAATTTAAAAATCTAAGTAGCTAAATCCTAACATGTAAGTGTTTTTAATTCCAATATTCAAACTTAAGTCTTAAAGTAGTCAACACAGACAGTATTTTGGGTCATTACATTGAATTCATTTAAAAATCTTAAGTTAGATTTTATTTTGAAGTAAACTGACAATTATGTACTATTTAGATATGATGCATACACAATAGTTATAATTTAAACATTTACAGAACACCAATAAAAGTGCCTTACGTTTGATTTTATTTGTTGTTTCCCATGATTTCATGGGAGGGTTTTCTCACGTTTGATTTATTTGTTGTTTCCAATTATTTCATGGGAGGGTTGTCTCACGTTTGATTTATTTGTTGTTTCCAATGAATTCATGGGAGGGTTTTCTCACGTTTGATTTATTTGTTGTTTCCAATGGTTCATGGGAGGGTTGTCTAACGTATGATTTATTTGTTGTTTCCAATGGTTCATGGAAGGGTTGTCTCACATTTGATTTATTTGTTGTTTCCAATGGTTCATGGGAGGGTTGTCTCATGTTTGATTTATTTTTTGTTTCCAATGGTTCATGGGAGGGTTGTCTCACGTTTGATTTATTTGTTGTTTCCAATGATTTTATGGGAGGGTTGTCTCATGTTTGATTTATATGTTGTTCCATATGGTTCATGGGAGGGTTGTCTCACGTTTGATTTATTTGTTGTTTACAGTGATTTCATGGGAGGGTTTACTCGCGTTTGATTTATATGTTGTTTCATATGGTTCATGTGAGGGTTGTCTAACGTTTGATTTATTTGTTGTTTCCAATGGTTCATGGAAGGGTTGTTTCACGTTTGATTTATTTGTTGTTTCCAATGATTTTATGGGAGGGTTGTCTCAGGTTTGATTTATTTGTTGTTTCCAATGAATTCATGTGAGGGTTTTCTCACGTTTGATTTATTTGTTGTTTCCAATGGTTCATGGAAGGGTTGTCTAACGTATGATTTATTTGTTGTTTCCAATGGTTCATGGAAGGGTTGTCTCATGTTTGATTTATTTATTGTTTCCAATGGTTCATGGGAGGGTTGTCTCACGTTTGATTTATTTTTTGTTTCCAATGGTTCATGGGAGGGTTGTCTCACACGTTTGATTTATTTGTTGTTTCCAATGATTTTATGGGAGGGTTGTCTCACGTTTGATTTATATGTTGTTTCATATGGTTCATGGGAGGGTTGTCTCACGTTTGATTTATTTGTTGTTTACAGTGATTTCATGGGAGGGTTTTCTCACACTTGATTTATTTGTTGTTTCCAATGGTTCATGGAAGGGTTGTCTCACGTTTGATTTATTTGTTGTTTCCAATGGTTCATGGGAGGGTTGTCTCACGTTTGATTTATTTTTTGTTTCCAATGGTTCATGGGAGGGTTGTCTAACGTTTGATTTATTTGTTGTTTCCAATGGTTCATGGGAGGGTTGTCTCACATTTGATTTATTTGTTGTTTCCAATAATTTCATGGGAGGGTTGTCTCACATTTGATTTATTTGTTGTTTCCCATGATTTCATGGGAGGGTTGTCTCACATTTGATTTATTTTTTGTTTCCAATGGTTCATGGGAGGGTTGTCTAACGTTTGATTTATTTGTTGTTTCCAATGGTTCATGGGAGGGTTGTCTCACGTTTGATTTATTTGTTGTTTCCAATGATTTCATGGGAGGGTTGTCTCACGTTTGATTTATTTGTTGTTTCCAATGGTTCATGGGAGGGTTGTCTCACGTTTGATTTATTTGTTGTTTCCAATGGTTCATGGGAGGGTTGTCTTACGTTTGATTTATTTGTTGTTTCCAATGGTTCATCGGCGGGTTGTCTCACGTTTGATTTATTTGTTGTTTACAGTGATTTCATGGGAGGGTTGTCTCACGTTTGATTTATTTTATGTTTCCAATGGTTCATGGAAGGGTTGTCTCATGTTTGATTTATTTGTTGTTTCCAATGGTTCATGGGAGGGTTGTCTCACATTTGATATATATGTTGTTTTCATTGATTTCATGGGAGGGTTGTCTCACATTTGATTTATTTTTTGTTTCCAATGGTTCATGGGAGGGTTTTCTGACGTTTGATTTATTTGTTGTTTCCAATGGTTCATGGGAGGGTTGTCTAACGTTTGATTTATTTGTTGTTTCCCATGGTTCATTGAAGGGTTGTCTAACGTTTGATTTATTTGTTGTTTCATATGGTTCATGGGAGGGTTGTCTCACGTTTGATTTATTTGTTGTTTACAGTGATTTCATGGGAGGGTTGTCTAACGTTTGATTTATTTGTTGTTTCCAATGGTTCATGGGAGGGTTGTCTAACGTTTGAATTATATGTTGTTTCAAATGGTTCATTGGAGGGTTGTCTCACGTTTGATTTATTTGTTGTTTCCAATGATTTCATTGGAGGGTTGTCTAACGTTTGATTTATATGTTGTTTCCAATGGTTCATTGGAGGGTTGTCTCACGTTTGAATTATATGTTGTTTCAAATGGTTCATTGGAGGGTTGTCTCACATTTGATATATATGTTGTTTTCATTGATTTCATGGGAGGGTTGTCTCACGTTTGATTTATAAGTTGTTTCCAGTGGTTCATGGGAGGGTTGTCTCACGTTTTATTTATTTGTTGTTTCCAATGGTTCATGGGAGGGTTGTCTCACGTTTGATTTATTTGTTGTTTCCAATGGTTCATGGGAGGGTTGTCTAACGTTTGATTTATATGTTGTTTCCAATGGTTCATGGAAGGGTTGTCTAACGTTTGATTTATTTGTTGTTTCCAATGGTTCATGGGAGGGTTGTCTAACGTTTGATTTATTTGTTGTTTCCAATGGTTCATGGGAGGGTTGTCTAACGTTTGAATTATATGTTGTTTCAAATGGTTCATTGGAGGGTTGTCTCACGTTTGATTTATTTGTTGTTTCCAATGATTTCATTGGAGGGTTGTCTAACGTTTGATTTATATGTTGTTTCCAATGGTTCATTGGAGGGTTGTCTCACGTTTGATTTATTTGTTGTTTCAAATGGTTCATGGAAGGGTTGTCTCACATTTGATTTATTTGTTGTTTCCAATGGTTCATGGGAGGGTTGTCTCTTGTTTGATTTATTTTTTGTTTCCAATGGTTCATGGGAGGGTTGTCTCACGTTTGATTTATTTGTTGTTTCCCATGATTTCATGGGAGGGTTTTCTCACGTTTGATTTATTTGTTGTTTCCAATTATTTCATGGGAGGGTTGTCTCACGTTTGATTTATTTGTTGTTTCCAATGAATTCATGGGAGGGTTTTCTCACGTTTGATTTATTTGTTGTTTCCAATGGTTCATGGGAGGGTTGTCTAACGTATGATTTATTTGTTGTTTCCAATGGTTCATGGAAGGGTTGTCTCACATTTGATTTATTTGTTGTTTCCAATGGTTCATGGGAGGGTTGTCTCATGTTTGATTTATTTTTTGTTTCCAATGGTTCATGGGAGGGTTGTCTCACGTTTGATTTATTTGTTGTTTCCAATGATTTTATGGGAGGGTTGTCTCATGTTTGATTTATATGTTGTTCCATATGGTTCATGGGAGGGTTGTCTCACGTTTGATTTATTTGTTGTTTACAGTGATTTCATGGGAGGGTTTACTCGCGTTTGATTTATATGTTGTTTCATATGGTTCATGTGAGGGTTGTCTAACGTTTGATTTATTTGTTGTTTCCAATGGTTCATGGAAGGGTTGTTTCACGTTTGATTTATTTGTTGTTTCCAATGATTTTATGGGAGGGTTGTCTCAGGTTTGATTTATTTGTTGTTTCCAATGAATTCATGTGAGGGTTTTCTCACATTTGATTTATTTGTTGTTTCCAATGGTTCATGGAAGGGTTGTCTAACGTATGATTTATTTGTTGTTTCCAATGGTTCATGGAAGGGTTGTCTCATGTTTGATTTATTTATTGTTTCCAATGGTTCATGGGAGGGTTGTCTCACGTTTGATTTATTTTTTGTTTCCAATGGTTCATGGGAGGGTTGTCTCACACGTTTGATTTATTTGTTGTTTCCAATGATTTTATGGGAGGGTTGTCTCACGTTTGATTTATATGTTGTTTCATATGGTTCATGGGAGGGTTGTCTCACGTTTGATTTATTTGTTGTTTACAGTGATTTCATGGGAGGGTTTTCTCACACTTGATTTATTTGTTGTTTCCAATGGTTCATGGAAGGGTTGTCTCACGTTTGATTTATTTGTTGTTTCCAATGGTTCATGGGAGGGTTGTCTCACGTTTGATTTATTTTTTGTTTCCAATGGTTCATGGGAGGGTTGTCTAACGTTTGATTTATTTGTTGTTTCCAATGGTTCATGGGAGGGTTGTCTCACGTTTGATTTATTTGTTGTTTCCAATAATTTCATGGGAGGGTTGTCTCACATTTGATTTATTTGTTGTTTCCCATGATTTCATGGGAGGGTTGTCTCACATTTGATTTATTTTTTGTTTCCAATGGTTCATGGGAGGGTTGTCTAACGTTTGATTTATTTGTTGTTTCCAATGGTTCATGGGAGGGTTGTCTCACGTTTGATTTATTTGTTGTTTCCAATGATTTCATGGGAGGGTTGTCTCACGTTTGATTTATTTGTTGTTTCCAATGGTTCATGGGAGGGTTGTCTCACGTTTGATTTATTTGTTGTTTCCAATGGTTCATGGGAGGGTTGTCTTACGTTTGATTTATTTGTTGTTTCCAATGGTTCATCGGCGGGTTGTCTCACGTTTGATTTATTTGTTGTTTACAGTGATTTCATGGGAGGGTTGTCTCACGTTTGATTTATTTTATGTTTCCAATGGTTCATGGAAGGGTTGTCTCATGTTTGATTTATTTGTTGTTTCCAATGGTTCATGGGAGGGTTGTCTCACATTTGATATATATGTTGTTTTCATTGATTTCATGGGAGGGTTGTCTCACATTTGATTTATTTTTTGTTTCCAATGGTTCATGGGAGGGTTTTCTGACGTTTGATTTATTTGTTGTTTCCAATGGTTCATGGGAGGGTTGTCTAACGTTTGATTTATTTGTTGTTTCCCATGGTTCATTGAAGGGTTGTCTAACGTTTGATTTATTTGTTGTTTCATATGGTTCATGGGAGGGTTGTCTCACGTTTGATTTATTTGTTGTTTACAGTGATTTCATGGGAGGGTTGTCTAACGTTTGATTTATTTGTTGTTTCCAATGGTTCATGGGAGGGTTGTCTAACGTTTGAATTATATGTTGTTTCAAATGGTTCATTGGAGGGTTGTCTCACGTTTGATTTATTTGTTGTTTCCAATGATTTCATTGGAGGGTTGTCTAACGTTTGATTTATATGTTGTTTCCAATGGTTCATTGGAGGGTTGTCTCACGTTTGAATTATATGTTGTTTCAAATGGTTCATTGGAGGGTTGTCTCACATTTGATATATATGTTGTTTTCATTGATTTCATGGGAGGGTTGTCTCACGTTTGATTTATAAGTTGTTTCCAGTGGTTCATGGGAGGGTTGTCTCACGTTTTATTTATTTGTTGTTTCCAATGGTTCATGGGAGGGTTGTCTCACGTTTGATTTATTTGTTGTTTCCAATGGTTCATGGGAGGGTTGTCTAACGTTTGATTTATATGTTGTTTCCAATGGTTCATGGAAGGGTTGTCTAACGTTTGATTTATTTGTTGTTTCCAATGGTTCATGGGAGGGTTGTCTAACGTTTGATTTATTTGTTGTTTCCAATGGTTCATGGGAGGGTTGTCTAACGTTTGAATTATATGTTGTTTCAAATGGTTCATTGGAGGGTTGTCTCACGTTTGATTTATTTGTTGTTTCCAATGATTTCATTGGAGGGTTGTCTAACGTTTGATTTATATGTTGTTTCCAATGGTTCATTGGAGGGTTGTCTCACGTTTGATTTATTTGTTGTTTCAAATGGTTCATTGGAGGGTTGTCTCACGTTTGATTTATTTGTTGTTTCCAATGGTTGATGGGAGGGTTGTCTAACGTTTGATTTATATGTTGTTTCAAATGGTTCATTGCAGGGTTGTCTCACGTTAGATTTATTTGTTGTTTTCATTGATTTCATGGTAGGGCTGTCTTACGTTTGATTTATTTGTTGTTTCCAATGATTTCATGGGAGGGTTGTCTAACGTTTGATTTATTTGTTGTTTCATATGGTTCATGGGAGGGTTGTCTCACGTTTGATTTATTTGTTGTTTCCAATGATTTCATGGGAGGGTTGTCTAACGTTTGATTTATTTGTTGTTTCATATGGTTCATGGGAGGGTTGTCTCACCTTTGATTTATTTGTTGTTTCCAATGATTTCATGGGAGAGTTCAGTGATCTCCCCAGGTCATTTTAGCGTTGCTGCACTGTGACGCTATAATAATTTTCAGTTTCCAATGGTTCATGGAAGGGTTGTCTCACGTTTGATTTATTTGTTGTTTCCAATGGTTCATGGGAGGGTTGTCTAACGTTTGATTTATTTGTTGTTTCCAATGATTTTATGGGAGGGTTGTCTCATGTTTGATTTATTTGTTGATTCATATGGTTCATGGGAGGGTTGTCTCACGTTTGATTTATTTGTTGTTTCCAATGGTTCATGGGAGGGTTTGTTTCACGTTTAATTTATTTGTTGTTTCCAATGATTTTATGAGAGGCTTGTCTCTTGTTCGCAGATCCATATTCCTACCTTTCTATTTAAGATTAATTTTGACAGTTTATGAATCTAGTATATGTCCATTGAATATGAAGTGATTTTATCTAAGTTTAATATTGGTTGCCTTTAATTCTAGATTCTTTTTTATGAAATTACTTTTCATTTTGTTTTTTTTTTCTTCATAGGATCAACATCTTCATAACTTCTTCTTCCACTGTCAGAAGTTAGAGAATTCTGCTAATGGTGCTGACTCAGAGATAGTCAATAAGTTAAAGGTAAGTATAGTTTTCATTGTGATACCCTTACTCCAAAGGAGTTGGGTATAATGGTATACCTCTCCCATTTGCTTGTCTGTCCACAAAAAATTTTTCTGTTGCATTTTTCTCAGAAACTAAATGTCATAACGTGTTGATAAATACACCAAACTTCTTATTTGCTAAAAATGTGAATCTTTTAAACGTCATTCACATAAATTTAATTTTTGACATATTTTAAATGGTTGAATAGAAGAAAACAGAATTTTAAACTGTAAGCAATTATTTTTGAGTGATCATTGAAATTTTGTTAATATTGACATTATCATTCCTCCAGAAATATTGATAATAGATTAAATATGACACTGTATAAAAATTGCACAGTTTTAAAATGGGCTTTCTAGGAAATTATGATTGCAGACTTGTTTCATTATTTGGCATAATTTTTACATAAACATGTTCATCGGATCTCTTTGTTCAGGTGAGTTATAGTTGAAGTATCAGAATTGTATTTAAGAACTATGGCTTATGCAGGACTATGGGGGAAATAGAAGAGTAAATAATTTTCAGTTTATAAAGCAGAAGACAACCCATGCTTTATAATTTCACCACTTAAAATAGAAAATAGAAAATCCACTGTTGTATTCCAGGAAGACTTAAGTAATCCATTGTGGGAATTAGAACAGGTCTACTTGAAAAATTCTATTAAGGTATTATAGGTGGCCTGTTAATGATTGTTAATTGTCAGAGACTTTAGTGGTGGTGGTCCCTTATGTAATTAGATGGAGTAAATGAATGATATCTAATTGAGACTACATAGCATGTTCAAAAAGGTGCAAATGGAAGATTACTTATTGCTAGACTATGTGTGTATCCTTGATATACAGAAATATATGCTAATAAGATTATTAATCAGTCATGTGTTAACATTTTTCAGAATAACGGATGAACATATAATTTTACTAGAGTTACTGGTTTTTATATAAACAATTTTAATGTCTGTCTATTTTTCAAATTTTTTTACTAAAAAAATATGAATAAATCTGACCAAATGCATGAACATACGACTGTTTTGGAATGGGTTTTTTTCTGTTCAGACAGTCTACTTTTTGAAATATTTTTAATCAAAACAATAATATGTAAGCAGATAATTGTGTAAATGAAACTGAGTGATCGATATTTATGATATGTATGTATTATTTATGTTGTTGATTTTCTTCTTCTCAGTTACAATGCAATTTTAAAACGTTAAATATTTATGTTAATTTTCTAACCTTATAAATGTATATGTGATTTCCAACTGATAAGCCATTTGATGTAGAAAATTGCTGTGACTTTATATGGTGTAGTCCTGAGCTCATTGATACAACTCCATTCTGATAATATTGGGATCAGAAGAGCTACAGTGCCACAGCTAATTCCATACTGTAGATTTCAAAATGACATAGCAAGTTACTGAACTGAATGCATTATATTTTCAGTCCCTTCATGCCATAGACTGTAGTGTGTATGTAAAATTCTTGCCTACATTGTTGAATCAGCTGTTTAATCTACTGTCCAAGTCACTTGGGGAAGACATTTCTTTTAATACTGTCAAGTAAGTTATTTATTTTTGTTTTGAATTAACATTGGCTTATTAACTTTCACAAATAAAGTCTGTTTAATTTAGTGTAATAACTTCTGTCAAAAAAATAAGCTTATATATTGGGAATTTAATATCACAGTTTTAAGTTGTACAATAATTAATGAGGTAATTTATTAAAAATACAATTTACACATGATTTTAGCAAAAAAACAATTATTGGTTAATCATAAGAGCCACAATGATCTTAGACTGCTGAGATCACAACCAGTACAAAGGATTTTTACATTTTTCTTGTTCTCGTGAGTTCAATAACCATGACGAGATATGAAAAAAAATACTATAAGTTTTTGTTTGCATTTTATAGAATGTAAGAGATGTAATAATAAAAAAAGTATTGAGTTTCATATTCCATTTTTTTCAGGGTATTGATTCACATTGTTTCTGAAGTACATGATGCTGACAAGTCTGATGCTTTGAAGAATTATGTCAAGGTATGCATATGACCTGGGAATTATAAATTAGAAAGAAAAAACAAGGACAGTGTAGTCTATCTATAAATAGTTTGGAATAGATCACAAAATGAATTGTCTAGGAATATGAAAAAGTGAAAAAAATTGAATAGCAATAATTTATATACAGTGGAATTTCGATTTTTAAATCACCAATAACAAGAACCCTTTTGATCATGAAAATACTTTTTACAATCTTTGTACAGGTAATTTTGAGTTTGGGAATCCTTTATAACTAGAACAACATATATTTTTAGAACACAGCAGTGTAAGTTCTATACTGTTGAATTTTCAGTTTGTAGAACACGATAAAAAAGGTCATAATTGTCCCTTTGGTGTTTGAAAATCTAAGTTATTCTGTAATACTTATACTAAATAGATATATACAGATACTTGTCAACTAGATTCTTCAACTTTGTCTATGTCTCTTATGTAAATTATGATGAAAGAGAAATTTTGAAAGATACCACACACCTAGGAATGATCAGAAAAGACTATGTAATCTATGTAATCCTATTCAAATATGAAAAAGTATTTAATGATAAAATTGTTTACCTGCAACAGTCCTCAATGAAACCTTACTCTTTTATTGCAGTATGTGTTCAAACCAGATCCTGTAAGAAAAGGAACAGGGCAAAAGGCAGTCCATGAAGAACTATCACAGTTCTTGACAAGTTTACTTAGGCCTGCAACAGGGGATCATGTAGTTACTACAAAATTTCTCAAACATTCCTGGTTTTTCTTTCAAATTTTAGTGAAAAGTATGACGATTTATCTGATAGATTCTGATCGTGTCAAAATGCCAAGGAATGAAAGATTTACTAGTGATTGTCAGTTCAGGATACAAACGTTACTGCAGACAGTCACCCCTCATATCATTCAGAAACACAAGGAAATGGGACGGGAAACAAAAAATGCTAATCAGAGTATAGCAAGCTTTATGAAGGTAAGATAACTTTATTTGTGTGTGTCATGTTAAGATAACTTTATTTGTGTGTGTCATGTTAAGATAACTTTATTTGTGTGTGTCATGTTAAAAGCTCAAGCTTTATGAATTTATACTTTCAGTTTTGAAATAAAACTTGATCAGTATTCATGAAAACTGGTTTTTCTTTATAAAAAAAAATCTATTAAATAAACTTTTTATTATAATAGGAAAAACATTTCATCTTTTATTTCATCATACAAAAACATTGCCTAAGAAAAATAGATATTTGCAGTGCATTAAGAGATCATGTAGAAATCTGCAAAAGTATTACTTTTATTTCCAGTTACTATGAACAGAAAAAAAAAAAAAAAATGATAATGTGCAAACGTAGTATCAGACGTTTTGGTGATGTCATTATATTATAAATGAAGTCAAAACATCATTTGTATGCCCCAAAAATGTAGAAATAAAAAAATTGTGCAATAAGATATATCATATACTCTTGTTGAAAAAGAAATCAATGCTTTCTTTCACATACAAATGTTTTAATTTTTCAATACATGTAGTAATGAAATTTGTGTATGTTGTTGGATTTGATTGGCTAATATTATGTGTATAATTCTCTGTGTCTTGATTGTAAATAAGGGTTGGAGTACAACATTTGATGTCTTAATGACATATGCTGGCCAAAGGCCTCAATAAAATTTTATAGAATTTCAATTTATGCAGATTTAGACTTACATTGAAAGGAAAGTGAAAACATTTTCAGTTAATAAATAATGCATAAGTATGGAACAGTCACAAAATAGCCAATATGGCTGAAAGTGACATTAAAAATCAATCAATCAAACACTTGAATGGAGAAAGTTGTGTCACTAATAGAAAGCTGTATCACTGATTGAAAGCTGGTTATACATCTTTTGAATTGCAAATATCTAGTACAGTGTATGTCCCTCTGCTACACATTGCAGGGTCAACTCAATTTTTAGCCTCCTAAATCAGTTATTCATGTCACCAGAACTTGAGGTTCAATACAAATATCCTGACATTCAGCTTAAATTACAGACAGATTAATTTCCTTTAAGTGACCTGTGCATACCCTCTTAGGTTTATAGTTAACATTCTATTTTAGTGATTTCATGTTTTCAAATTTCAAATTAGACTCCCTCCATTGTGTGGAACATGGAGTTACACTCAAATCTATTACATTTTCCAGGATGTCTTAGGTCAAAGTGATACAAAATTGTAGACTACATTTTGGGTAACTAACATTTTAAAATGAAATTTTTTATTGACATTTCAGATGTGTTTTACTTTGATGGATAGAGGATTTGTGTTCCAGATGATACATAAATATATAGAAAACTTTGGTCCTGGAGATGCTAAGGTAATTAATTATATTGTTTCTAGAAATTCTGGTTTAAAAACTTTGTGGTATACTTAGTAGCTGAGTTGGAAGGTAATATACTGAATTCAGATTAATTATTATAAGTCTAGGTATAAACAAATAAATATGGAGAGAAAACTGTGGAATCAGTTAAATTTGAACCAGTGAGGTACGTCAACAAAGTAAGAATTTTCTATTGTATTTAAAGGTTTTTGCCATCTGATAGCAATCTCCGTAACAGGGGTAAAGCCTCTAGCTCTATAAAGTACTAAAGCGCAATCCATAAGCTCTTTCTGCAAATTACCACTATAACTTGAATTATAATTTTGATATCACAAAATGCATGACTGGATGGCAATATATTTTTTTCATTAATGGTTTTTCAATAAAAAGACCTTGTATAGTATTTTGTTAATAAAGATCAATGTAAGCCTGCCATGAATGAAAGAATAAACCAAATATTAAGGCTCAGCAGCTTTTTATGTCCAGAAATTCCTAAATAGGCACACCATTCATGAAGGTGAACAATTCAAAAGGGAACTGCAAATCAGCCATGATTAATAAAAAGACTTCAAAGGTCTTTGTGAAAGCAATTAGTAGAGGTACAAATGTATTTCACAATAGGAAGGATCTATTTTTGAGTCATTTTACACTTGCAAACAACATTTTTCCCTTGAATTTGGGATAATACAAGCTATGCAAAAAGTTCCAAGTAAAAGTCAATCTGTTCAATTAACTACTAAACTAAAAATGTTTTACTTCTAAAATGTGTATGAAGTGGATATTGAAACTGTTTGAATGTTAGGCAATATAATTGATTAAGATAAATTCTTCCATGGAGGATCTTGTGTGTGCCATATAACAGTTATTTGTTCTTCTTTTGCAGACCTTATTTGAATTTAAATATGAGTTCTTGACAAGAGTTTGCTCCCATGAACACTATATTCCTCTCTCATTACCAATGATGAGGAAGGGTATGATCAAAACATTTAAAGGTGGGTATTATTTTTCCAGAAAATTGCTTGATATATGGCATCTTGGGAAAATTTATCATTAAGAATGTTTATATAATCTCAGAATGGTAGACATTTAAACGAGTGTAATGAAGGGGGTCAAAGATATTTTTAATATCAAGGACCAGTATTATCTTCTGAATTGTATTAAAGCAAAAACAATCATTGTTTTAAACCAGTAGATTTTGATCAATAATAACAAGTGTTGAATATAAGGATATACAATTTATACTCTTAACAAGAGAATAAATATATTCTTTATGCAAGTACCTGTTAACTTTGTTTGCTATCCTTTGTATCAAGCTATAAATTTCTTTTATTTGTTTTTGAATTATTTTGTGTTGCTGTTCATGCTTTTACAAAATCTTGTTTGCAGTTTAAACCCAGAAAATTCATAGTAAATATTTCATATTACATTTCAGAAAATTTCTTTAAAATTTTTATTTCTTTTTAAGGTAAAGGTTCTGTTTGAGATATTCAAATTGTAAAATTATTCTTTTTATTCAATTCTTTACAATTTCAATTTTCAAATATATTTTAAAAAAATAGGGTTTCTCTCAACCATAAAAAAAGTTTATAAAATTTAGATCCAGGGATATTTAGGGCTGTTCCAAAATTGATTTTGGTAGGGGAATGGGAGCCACTCAAATTGAATAATTGTGTAAGTTTTTGCATTTTCCTTAGAATATTGTAAAAAATTGTATGTAAAATGAAAATTTGGTATAATGGGTTGTTGGGGTTTAGAAAAGTGCCTTTTATGTCCCCATGCATTTATTCTGGAACAACTCTTATTGATGAAATTTTTATGAACCTATTTCTCCCATTAAAATACATATATACATATATTATTATGAGCACTTTGTTCTGTCACAGAAATAAAAATGGAAGGTAATGTTCACTATTGTCTGAGTAATCCTGCTTTATAATTAATTACTTGTCTATATGCAGCATCAGCCTCTGTTTGTCATGGCTACAAACTTGGCCTATATCTAGAAATAGTTATTGTTAAAACATTAGTTTTGTCTATATTTAGCATTGACCTTTGTTGTCATGGCTGTGCAGTTTTCTATACGTTGCTCTTTAGAAATGAGTTTTGTCAGTATTTAGCATTGACCTATGTTGTAATAACTATAGATTGTCCTAGAACTGTCATAGGTTTACTTATTAGAAATTTTCTTTACATTAAATCAATATATTAATGGCTTAAGCATTAATGTAGAAATGTAGATTTTGAATTCAACTCTTTTGAAGGTATTACTTTTAATTCATTTCTAGAATTATTAGAATGCTTATGATTTTTTTATAGAGCAATTTCTTCTATTTGTATACCTGCATGCAATTGCAAAGCATAACTCATTTTAATCTACTCTAGAATTTGATCTTTGCATTTTACATTAGAATTTTATTTAGAATTGCATTGCTTTTTAGAGGTTATTGATTCCATTTAATTTTCTCGGCACTCATGTGAGTGGGGGCTTTGTTGCATGACTTTGTCTCACAACACCTACTTTCTGTTTGCCTATACTTCAAATTTTTAAATATGTGTTTAAAGAAGTTAATATTTTTGTAACATATTTCTTCAATTACACTGAACAGATTATCATATTTGGTCAGCAGTTTGACAGTGATAAGTTCTGTCCTGTTTTCCAATACTTTGAATTAAAAATTGGGGTATGTTTAGCAGCTTCTTGTCATTAACAGATTTTTATGACCGAATCTAGAGAATATTTCAGAAAGCTCATTTGTTTGGATGTAGTATGAATTTGCCAACAGAAAACACTTTTGTTATTTTATTGCCATAACTATATATAGCTTTTGTAGCCATAAAGTTTCTTTTCTGTATTGTCCTATTTTGATGACCATTAAATAAAAGTTTTCTTTTAGATGATAAAAGTAAGATTTCTTTATAAAAGAGTGGAATTTAGAATTTTTGTATAAAACTTTTTAGGTTTTCAAGAATGTTTAGTTATTACAATTAATTGTCTATTTCAAAGAACTGTCTCCTCGCTCAAGTAAGAAAGTTACAAATACATTCAAATTTAAAAATAAGTTATGAATTTACTGAACTTAGTTCAGATCAACTTTTGACATTGTGGTATGTTTAGAATGGTGGATGGATACTTGCTTACATGTTTTACCCTACTATATTCATTATGTGCCTGTCCCAAGTAAGGAGCTTTTAATTCAGTGGTTGTCGTTTGTTTCTGTCTGTCTAGGGTATGATTTGTGCTTTCTAAGACATTTCCAAAAATTTTGCATTTTGCTTTTAACCACATTTCTGATGATTATTTGGAGATTATTTAAGTGAAACAAATTCTGCTATATAACATGGTAATAAGGTAGCTAACCTTTCATAGTATGAAAGTTAAAAATGTTTAATTTTTAACTTGATTAGAAAGCTTATGTATTGAATGGATTGTGTGGTTTTGCTGTTATGAAATGAGTTGAACTATAAAATATTTGTGAATATGGATGCAGTTGTACAATTGCTATTGTTGAAATAAAGGAACTTCTACAGAATTTGCCAACACTATTCTTTTACAGTTTTAAAATATAATACTTTTCAGGAACATTTGTAGTTGAATGTAAATATATTGATGTTTACAAATGAACTTTCAGAAACATCCATTTTTGATAGTAAGATATTTTCTTTTGATTGTATTAACAATAGCAAATTTGACTTTTTAAGTTGATACTTGAAATAATGTTTTCATAACATTTTTATGTTTTGCTTAACATATTACCAGATCCCAAAATTTAATTTTCTGAAAGCTCATGATTTAATTAATTTGTTGAGTTTTAAGAGAGCTTTTCATAACAATATGGTTGGTGCTCTTTTCATTTAGTGTTATTCAAGTTTTGTTAGTATTTGTTAATGAGGTATGCATGATTTATGCATGTATTTATTTCTTGAGAATTAACAGTAATTCAATAAACAAGACATTATCTGTTGCTGTTAAATTGTATGATTGTCATATTAAAGTAAATATATTGGTAAATTTATATACAAAGGTATTGAGTTATATCATTTGACATAAACTGGTAAATTCAAAGCTATAAGTGCATGTAATGTGGAATAAGGAGCTCTATATTTGCTAGAGTGCTGAATACATGATTTTTGGTTAATATTTGACATATTGACAGGAAAGCTCAGGTTTATAAAGATTTGTCCAATCTTCAAGTTGTTAAAATTGGGCTAAAACTGTACTGACCACCGAAATCACTGAAACATTTTATTCTGTACAAAAAATAATTTCAGATAAAATCTTTGAATAGGATAACACAAAAATTATTGATTTTATATTTAGGAAATTAAGTTCTGTTTAAAAAAAAAAATCAAAAATAAACATGCAATATTGCTATCCATTCTGAAATCCTCAATCTAGACTTTTACCAAGAATGCCAATAATAATGTTGTTGACTATTGTATAATAAATTGTACAAAGAAATCTACAGGAAATATTTGGTACTATATTATTATACTTCTTGTTGTATATAAATAATTTTTCATTTCTTAGTGTTTTAAAGTGAAAAGAATACTAGAATTACAATAAGTGATCTTAAATAAACATAATTTTACGACTACTATTTACTGTTAAAAGGGCAAAATAACCTACAAATATTCAATGAACACACTCAGTGCCACACATTTTTACAAGTCAAAACTAGGATTTTGACAAAATTAATGAAACAATTTTCTAAAGTTAGCCGAATCTAAAAGTTCTGTAAACGTATATTTTATAAACATATGTAAATCTTATATTAAATTGACAATGAAATTGATTTTAGATTTGAAGTGTGATTACACCCTATCAGATGAATATAGGAAAAACCATTACTTAGCAGGACTTTTGTTGCATGAGCTTAAAATGGCACTGAATGAACCACGGGACATACGAAGAATTGCAATACTGATGTTACGGAACCAGTTAGCAAAACACGCATTTGATGACAGATATACCTCCAAGGTAAATATTTTGAAATACTAAATGGTAAGTATTATAGCACAACCAATTCATTGTATTAATGTCATGAACTTATGGCATGGCTTGCTTTGGGACATGGTTAGTCATTTTTGTTTAATTTTGCCATTTAAACAGCTTTTGTATGTTAAATTTTATTTCAGTCACAGCAAGGAAGAATAGCAGCACTATATCTACCAATCATATCCATCCTTATGGAACATAAAAGACACCTGGTGGATGAACCGGGCAATCCTAAAGTAGTAGCTCCACCTCCTCCTCAGCCTATTCACATGGTCAATGGTGATTCGGCAGTACTGCGGCGTGACAGTCGACCTGGAACACCACAGACATCACACAAATCTGTGACCTTTGACACCACACCACTCAGGGACTCCAAAGTGTTCGCTCTGATTGCTGGAAATACAGGAAGTAAGATACATCTTTTTCTGTTTATTATCAAGTAGGAATGATAAAACTACACAAATGAGTAGTATAAATACAACATGTTTTTTAAACTTGAAAATTAGTTTTTTTTATGAACTTGAATTTAAGGAATTGTAACAACATGTGCTTCATTGTATTTAAGATCAAAAAAGTATAATTATGTACTACCGTTGATTCATTATAATTCGTGGGAAGCTATGGGTAAACCATAAATTTAAATAGCAACAAAGTACACATTTTCTATGGGCTTGTATGCACACTTTTGACCAAACATCGAAATCAAATACCCACGAAAATAAGGGTTTTCCTCAATCCATGAAAATGGGTCCCCTCGAAAAAAAATGAATCTACAGTATTCAGAATTTATATAATATAGTCAATTTTAAAAACAAATTGAGATATCAATCAAATTGACAACCGATTTGCATTTCATTGTTTTGTTTTAGCACCAACACTCAGTCTTCCAGATGGACAAGGTTTAAATGGAAGTACAGGTTCACTTGCCAGAAGTGGGACATCTTCTGATGAAGACACTGGTAAAGAAAAGAAACATAAAAGGTAAAAAACCTAACAAGAAAATATTCATTTGATACATTTATTTTCGTGGATACCAACTTTCGTGGATGTAGGAAAAATTGTGTTTTTGTGGATATTAGATTTCATGGTTTTGCCACAGTCCGCATACAAACCTATAGAAAGTTTGTGCTTCATTGAGAATCTAAATTCGTGGTTTACCTATACCAAAGAAATCCACAAATAATGATGAAGCCACAGTAAACAACATATTAATTATCATTGAACAAACTAAGTATATGGGATATATAGGAAACACCCTGAGTATCCATCCATCCTTTTGTGTCCATGTGCCTTATAAATGCAACTCCTCCTAAATGGTAAGATGGATATTGATGAAACTTTACACAGTAGTAAATCACTACTTGAGGATGTGCACAAAGGAAAATCATCCTTATCAAAAATGTTAAAGGGTAGATAATTCAATAATACAATATGTGGTAATGGTCTCTCATAAGCTCATCTCCTCCTAAAAAGATAGCTGGATATTGATAAAACAGTACTCAATTGTAGAACACTAAATGAGATATGCATAAAGTAGTATTATCCTTGTCCTACATTTTAAAGGGGAGCTAATCAAATTTTCAACATTGCATATATGTTTAATAAGATGTAAGCATAACGCCTCCTAAACAACCAGATGGAAATTGAAGAAACTTTACACAAATATTTATCATGTCCTAGATGTCGAATAGGACTCTGTGTTCTAGACTAAAATTGTTTTTGCTTTGTTTCCTTTCTTTGTAAATTTGTATAGACATAGTCATTTATATTTTTAATATACTTTAGTATTGCTGGGTGTGGGGTATTCCATTATGAGTTAATTACATTTCTAGTTTTATTTGGTAGACATTTGGTTCCATTAAAACGTTAAGACCCGCTGCAATTGTTTGCACCTGTCCTAAGTCACAAATCTGATGTTCAGTAGGTGTTGTTTGTTGATGTGGTTCATAAGTGTTTCTCGTTTCTCGTTTTTTATATAGATTAGACCGTTGGTTTTCCCGTTTGAATGATTTTACACTAGTAATTTTTGGGGCCCTTTATAGCTTGCTGTTCGGTGTGAGCCAAGGCTCCCTGTTGAAGACCGTACTTTGACCTATAATGGTTTACTTTTATAAATTTTGACTTGGATGGAGAGTTGTCTCATTGGCACTCATACCACATCTTCTTATATCTATATATGTTTTAGTGATAAAGCATTTTGATATTAAACAGTAAAAAAAAGTAAAAAATTCAGCAGTAGTTTGCCAATCTCTTAAAGCACCCACATGAACTTTGTAACACCATCTAATGCTTTTATTTTTTTACTTCAATTTGAATAGTTTAATACAATAAAAATATGTCTATTTTGTCATTAGTGGTGAGGAGATAAAACGATACCATTATATCAGGTAACAGTGCAATATATATGTGTATGTGTTGTTTTTCCCCACACAAGAATTTGTAACGCATAATTTTGGTGGCAGACTTTCAGTAGTTGGAATAAGGGAGATAAATCCTTAATCTAGACATTAATCAAAGGAGAAAGTGTTGATGTCAGCTATCCTATGTACCACATTGTAAATATGGAGCTTGTACACAATATCAAAGTAAATTTGAAAATGTTAAGGTACATTCAGTCATAAGTTATACATTCAAATTAAATTTCTTCAGATTTTTTGTATCATTAGATAACATTTGCTCCTCTTTAATATATAGTTATGAGGGTGGAAATGTTTCTCATGTTTTCTGCAGTACACTATTAGTTATCTATGTTATTGTTTGGCATATATTTGGATGGAGTTTTCTTACATTTAAATATAAAATATTACAAAAAAGTAATGATAAATGACAGATGCTTGTTTTTTCTTAATTCATGGATATGTTGTGTTGCTTTCTTCTGTAGTAAAATATGCACCACTACACAGCTAAGTATGTTTTCATTTTATAATGCTGTGATTTATTCAGCCTGCATTTTTGCTGTTGTTCATTTTATGGCAGTACCTGTCCCTAATTACACGCTAGTAAATTTATGTACATATATTTATGAACCTACTTAGGATGTTAGACTGTCATTTTTAGATTTCCACACATATAGTCCCATTTTTGAAATTTCTGATTGTTTTACTGTACAATGAAAGAAGATTAAGTAGTTGTAAGTTTTTAAGACACTTTTTTCTTCTTATTTAAATTTTTTTTTATTTTTAAATTTTGTTTTACAGTATGAAATTGTCCTGAAGAAGCAACTTAAGTGTGAAACATGTCGGCCAAAATCATCAAATAAACCTGCTGTAATTGAGGGTTTTGTGGTCTTGTATGATAAATTATTTAATTGTTATAGAAAAAAAAACCCCTAAAAATGTGTAAATATATGCATATATGTGCTTAGATTTAAATGTAGAGCTATAATTTTGAAAAAAAATGAATTGAGAATGAATTATTTGATGTATTTCAGATCTCCATCCAGTTCTAATGTATCTAATACTGGAGCAATACCAACAAGCTACTTATATAAATATCAGAAGTTAGACATCATTGAAATCAAGGATTTATTATTATGTTTTATTTCTGTTATAAAACATCTACCTGAAGGTAAATTATATAGATACTTTATAAAACATCTACCTGAAGATAAATTATATATTTACACCGGTACTTTATAAAACATCTAACTGAAGATAACATATATGTTTGACTCGGATCAATGTCCGATCTCTAATTGACGTTCGTTCCTCGATTCGACATCCAAATCTAACGTTACATTCTCAAATCAGTGTCCAATATTTTGACCCTCTAATCAACGTCCAATGTGACATCATGTATTGCCAAAACGATGTTTGATCGCTTGTAGTCTTCTCCAATCGATGTCCATTATCAATGAATAATAAATTACTGCACATATACATGTACAGTACATGTATAAGACTTTGATTGATTATGGAACATTCAAATGCGAAATAAAAGATGAATTTTGGTATTTATAAAGTTATGACGTCATTGCAGAAAGTCCATAAAACTGACGTCGATTAGAGAAGCCAAAAATTAGACGTTGATTAGAGAGACATAAAATTGGCAGTCGATTTTGAATCTTATTTAATTATGACATCAGATTTGGACGTCGATTTGAGGAACGAACGCCGATGAGCGACCAGACATCGATCTGAGTCTTACATATATATACTCTATAAAAGACAATTTACATGTTAGACTAGTGGTTCACATGGTAGGGATGAATACAGCAAAACAAATGTGGCTGTATTAATTATTCAGCAGTTTGTTTTTTTCTTATTAAACAGTAACCTAGTAATCTGATGACTTTATTTTTAAAAAGTCCACATTGTCATCCCTCAATAACATGGTAAATCATTGTTTCCTGGTCTACAATATTTTGATCTAAATCAGGAGCCATGAATAATATAGGAAAATGAGATGTGAATGCCAGTCAGATTACAACACACAAAACATCAGTATCTTAATATTAAGGATGTTCACCTCTAGGAGCAAAAAATTTCTAGAATTAAACTTTTTTTCTTAACCTGATTTTTGGGTTTATATGACTGTAACAAAGTAATTGATGAAGAAAAAATCATATGGTGGTGCACTTCTTTTTTTGCTACGGCCATTTGAAAGTACCCATTTTTAATGATTTTTCCATTTTTCATCAATTTTTAACCATTTTTGGGCTATTATCATGAAAAAAACAGTTTAATAATTTTTTTTCTAACTTTCACTAATGAAGAAGTGGACCAATCTGAATAAATTTAACATAAAAGAAACTATAGGTTGGTGTTAATATTAGAAGTTTTTATACAATAAAATTTTGTTGCTTTTGTGTCAAATTGACCATGCTGTCAATTTTGTAAATTTGTTATTTTCTTTTTTTTTTTTTTAGAAAAAAAAAAGCATATTATTTCAACTTCTTTGTCATAAATGCTTGAAAAAATACCTATCTAAGAATTTTGAAAGGAAAAAATTGATATGGGATGTACATATTTTTGGTAAAATCATTTCTTTGTACCTCTCACCCATTTTCTCAATATTTTGGATGATGACACTCACTGAATTGGTTATAAAATTTGAAAATTTAATTTCTTAAAAACTACTAATTATCAGTACACAATTTTCTCACAGAGTTTAGTTTGATTGTAATATTTTTTAAATTCATTGATATTTTCCACTTGTATCACAAGTTTTGGAAATAATTCCAGAACAAGATTTCAACCAGACTGAAACATCAGAAGAATACATCCTTAAGTGAGTTTGGGGAGATCTACTTAATTGATTTTGTATTGCTTCATTGATATCTTCTTATATTTTAGTTGAACTTGCAAAATGTTGCAGGTTAAATAAGTCTCATAGCCAAGAATAATATGTTTACCAATGAGAAAAGCATATGTTAGTTTTGTAGTGTCTCTGTTGTATACATAGTTTAAGTACTAAAATGAGTATTACTAAAAATTACTAAAAAAGTAATAAGAAACTTTTTTTTTATTTCAGATATACTTCTTGGCTGGTTCAACAATTCATCAGAATTTGACATCATAGATTTCTTTGGCATTTTAGAGTAAGCATGTTATAAAATTATCACCGAAGAAAAATGAAAGAAATGTGAAGTAAATATCAATAAAATAAACATCTTACAACAAATCATGAACATGCAATATACATTATGTTTAGTAATAAATAGGCACTTTACCATAGCTTAATTTATTTTTCATGCATATAAATACAAATACATAAAAGATACTATTTGCTATACTAGTTAAGGACCAGTTACCGTTTCCATGGTTTCTAGGCATTTTTTGTAATAACGGATGCATTGTATGAATTGTACTGCTATTAGCTGCAGACACATATTTTTGCTTCATATTCAAAATCTTTGTTTTGGTTGATCCGTTTGAGATAATGAAATTCCAAGTTTTTCGTTTTTATAACACTTTGTGGGAAGATAGGCATGGGACATGACATCATTACTTTATGACATCCTCATTTTTAGAAAACGTACTGTTTTCAAATACATATTATATCAAAGCTTGCTTCAGAACACAAATTTCTTTCATAAGAATAAGGACAGATTTATAAATTTGAAAATCATATACTTTGCTCTCCTTCAATGCAGTATATTTGTTGATCTCAAGTGATATGATTTATGACCAGTTCAGACTTTGCGAAAGGAAGAAAAGATTTAGAATGTACTGACATAATGACTATGTGCTTGGTTAATTTAGCACAGAACCTTATTGTTCTATTACAGAAAAGCATTATATGACGTAAATACTCATATAAAGTGGAAATATCTATCATTTAGTGAGTAGATACTTAAATGACGGTAACTGGTCCTCTTAACCATAAAATTTCATGTCAAAATCGGCACTCTAGTTTTCCGATTTTTGTCGTTTATAAGATAATGTAAAGATTGAGTGTGTGGTGTTTAAACTAATTTTTGGTTACCCTTTTTATGTTAAAAGAGTTTTTGTCGAGCCTGCGACTTTTGTCGCAGAAAGCTCGACATAGGGATAGCGATCCGGCGGCGGCGGCGGCGGCGTTAGCTAACTTCTTAAAAGCTTTATATTTTAGAAGATGGAAGACCTGGATGCTTCATACTTTGTATATGGATGCCTCATGTTATGAAGTTTCCGTCAGTCACATGTCCAATGTCCTTGACCTCATTTTCATGGTTCAGTGACTACTTGAAAAAAAAGTTCAGATTTTTTGTAATGTTAAATTCTCTCTTATTATAAGTAATAGGATAACTATATTTGGTATGTGCGTACCTTGCAAGGTCCTCATGCCCGTCAGACAGTTTTCACTTGACCTCGACCTCATTTCATGGATCAGTGAACAAGGTTAAGTTTTCGTGGTCAAGTCCATATCTCAGATACTATAAGCAATAGGTCTAGTATATTCGGTGTATGGAAGGACTGTAAGGTGTACATGTCCAACTGGCAGGTGTCATCTGACCTTGACCTCATTTTCATGGTTCAGTGGTTATAGTTAAGTTTTTGTGTTTTGGTCTGTTTTTCTTATACTGTATGCAATAGGTCTACTATATTTGGTGTATGGAATGATTGTAAGGTGTACATGTCTAGCTGGCAGGTGTCATCTGACCTTGACCTCATTTTCATGGTTCAGTGGTCAAAGTTAAGTTTTTGAGTTTTGGTCTTTCTTTCTAATACTGCATGCAATAGGTCAGCTATATTTGGTGTATGGAATGATTGTAAGGTGTACATGTCTAGCTGGCAGGTGTCATCTTACCTTGACCTCATTTTCATGGTTCAGTGGTCAAAGTTAAGTTTTTGAGTTTTGGTCTTTTTTTCTAATACTATATGCAATAGTTCAACTATATTTGGTGTATGGAAATATTTTATGATCTATATGTCAGTCACGCAGGTTTTATTTGACCTTGACCTCATTTTCAAGGTTCATTGCTCAGTGTTAAGTTTTTGTGTTTTCGTCTGTTTTTCTTAAACTATAAGCAATAGGTCAACTATATTTGTTGTATGGAAGAATTGTTAGCTGTACATGCCTGCCTAGCATGGTTCATCTGACCTTGACCTCATTTTCATGGTTCATTGGTCAATGTTTAGTTTACTTGGTTAATGTTAAGTTTATGTGACAGTTGTAATAAAGATTTATATTTAGGACTATCAACATAATATCAATGATTAGTAAAGAAGGCGAGACATTTCAGCGTGTGCACTCTTGTTTCAACAGGAGTTCCTGTAAAAAAATATTTTATAAAACTAGGAAATTTGAGACAATAACTGGTACCGAACCAGTAGTTACATGGAGACATTTTGAACAAATAAAAATTTTACTTGGGTTATATTTTAAATTATTAACAAAGATATGAATTCTGTGAATTGTTGTCTTGAAAACGACTTTATAATCAGAAGCACATATCATTGGAATAAGTATTTTATAACGTTTTTATGTTACTAGTAAGGAAGAAAGAATGTTAATTAAGCATTTGCTCAGCAGGAGGTAAGTAAAATAGCTTTAAAATTATGAAGTTTTCATGTCTTTTTTAATTCTAATAATGTAAAATATTGAGATTCTGTGATGATAATAATGATTCTTACTCTTCAGGTGTATAATATATCAAAGATATGCATTAAAATGTTGTAAGATTTGTATTATGAGGCTTATTTGACTTTTTCCAGGACATGTTTGCATCATTTCAAGTATCAGGGTAGAAAGAAGATACATGATCTCAGGTATATATATATATCACTTAATTACATACAAGTATCAGGGTAGAAAGAAGATAAATGATCTCAGGTATATATATCACTTAATTGCATGGCATAAATTATCATATTCCAGTAAAGAAGGAGACATACCTCAACTGGTGTTGTTTGATAAGAAGAGTGATATTATGTTGCTGTTTTAATTATGCGCCTGCTCTTAGAAGCGGCGGTATAAAAAAAGGGGTGGGGTGTTGTTTCACCAATCCATTGGTCTGTCTGACTGTTGATTCTTCTGTCCCAATTATGTATCTACTACTGCTCCTGAACCGTTTGGAGATTTGTGAAACCTTTACTTATACTCACATGATGTACTTTTGTGCCTCCAATTTAATTTTTTTATCTGAATGATTTTTAGGGTTTACTTGGGCATTACATGGTACTTTTATATCGGAACACTAAAATACACATCTGTAACCCCTCTCCTTTTATACTCTTAATCAGAATATAATGAACCTTTCTCAGAATTTTACCACATAATGCATGTGGACCTTATAATATTTTTTTATCAACATTAATTTTTGGGGTTTCCCTCTGCAAATAAAGACTTTGAAAGGGGCAGGTGGTTGGTATCAGTATAGGTTTGCAGCATGGCTGGCTGAACCTTTAGTTATTTAAAAGCTAAAAGCTAATTTAGTACTTTCAGTTGTTCCTATACAGATAATAGTACATTTTGATTACTGTTTTTTTTCCAGCATTATAGGGGACAGCAGAAAAGCCTTGACCATGCCTAATAGTAGACGATCTATGCCTAGTATAATACCTGTAGGAGGGAGCATGAATGCACGGACATACAGCCAGTATAGTGATCTAGATTCTGAGTCTGGTACTTTGCCCTCACATGGTCAGTATAAATTAAAGGTCGTTCAGGTCATAAATTTTACCTTTGTTGTACATTTGTATTATCTTCACTTATGCAATTTATATCACTGATTAGAGAAAAGGAATTTATTTTGAATATTATTTATTCTAAGAGTAAGCATTTCCATGGAAGACTTTGCAAAGTGGAGATGAAAACCATGTGTATGTTCTAATAATTAAATGATTTTATAATATAAATTACACATCTAATTTAAAGTATATTTACAGTATATGAAGTCAAAAGATGGTTGTGCTGCAGTTAAATGTTTGTTGAAATTAATGGACCTAAATTTTTTAATGAATATTACAAAGGATTTTTTTATGATCTATTATGATTGCCTTTAGATCATAAGGGCCTTGCCAACTTTCTTTGGGTGCCCCTGAAATAATCACTTTGTCTGTCCATTCATAAACACTTTCTATAGACAAATGATTTTTATAGGTGTTATTATTTTGTCAAAGAAAATATTTGCCAACTATGAACACACAATTCATTCATGCTTTGCTATTACGGTGACATGGTTATATATTTGTCAAAGTAACACAAAAAAATATGGAAGAAACAATCACATTGCAGTTTGCTTTGTGTTTAATTGCAGTCTTTACACCATTGATTTATCATTCATAAGGTGGTATTGCTTGCCAATGAGACAAGTATCCACCATATACATTGTGGTATTGCTTGCCAATGAGACAAGTATCCACCATATACATTGTGGTATTGCTTGCCAATGAGACAAGTATCCACCATATACATTGTGGTATTGCTTGCCAATGAGACAAGTATCCACCATATACATTGTGGTATTGCTTGCCAATGAGACAAGTATCCACCATATACATTGTGGTATTGCTTGCCAATGAGACAAGTATCCACCATATACATTGTGGTATTATTGTATCTTAATTTATTGTGCTTAGATTACTTTTATACTATTTATGCTTTATAGCACCATCAACAGTCTCCTCATCAGAAGCAGATGCATTAATCAAAGCTTTACAGGAGGCTAACATGTCAACAGAGGTTGGACTTGCAGTCTTAGATATACTTAGTCTATACTGTAACTTTTTCAAGGTAAGTTGATGCTTTCTTATGATGCAATGGGCATATTCAAGTTTGTTTAGAGAAGGGCAAAGTTGAGCATTTACACTCCTTCAAAGAAGGATAAAATTGATAAGGAATTTACAAGTGGCCTAAAAGTTTGTCAAAATAATCCATTCCTTTGAGTAGATAAGGAAAGGTAACATTAGATCAGATGGTTTAAGTGTTGGAGGTGGAAAATTTAGTTTTGGCTTTAATGTATAACTTCAATACAGCTTGAGAATTTGATAAGTCAAAGGTGTAATAAATTTACTTATTACTGAAGACCTTTCCAATTGAAAACACCATTAAGATGATATCTCGAGGTATCGCTTTTTATAGGGAAAGAAAGGTAATACTTGTATGCTGATCCTAAGAAAAATGTATTTTGGACATGTTACTACAATGGACCAGCTAATTTCCTCAGGGGAATTCTGCAAATTGGATTATTACTTGTTCTTTTTTCAGCTAGTATGTAAAATGCTTTACATTATTAATTGTTTTCATATCTCATAATGATTTCTGCTTTTGCCAAATAAACAAAAATGATTGATAAATTTTCACTTTTGCAGAAAAATTTAGAGTACAAGGATGGTGACAACAGCTTGATGCAGAGAGTATTTGATCTCCATCTCTACTTCTTACAGCATAGCCAATCAGAAACATTACAGAAACATGTGTTTGCTGCATTAAGGCAGTTTATCAGAAAGGTACATTGTCATATGTAAAAATCTTGTCTGCAAGTCATAAAACATGAAAGAGGATTACCGTTTGTTGTTTTCGTGGTGCAGCTTTTGAATTATCGATTGTTTTAGAGACTTTTGCCTATGAAATTGATAGCATTAATTATTCACATAAAATAAATATAGGAAATTTTCATGGTAAAGCAAAAATAATGACAACAAATCGTTAAATTTTTAATGTTGTCCTAATTTTTTACTTGTTGATATACTGTTGCAAGATTAATAGACAAAACTGTTTTGTAAAAATACTTAATACTTTCAGTTTGAGAATGTTCTGTACCGTGGCAATGCAAAGCTTTGTGGAGACCTTTGTTATGAAATACTGCGTAGTTGTAACTCCAAGCTTTACTCCACAAGGAAGGAGGCCTGTGCTTTACTCTATTTACTGATGAGACAGAACTTTGAACATACTAAAAAGAAAAGTGTTATTAGAGTGCATTTACAGGTAAGGAATAGAGCATATAGATATTTTATTCAGGGAAGGCATTAACATTGAGTTTGAAGAAAACATTTTGTTTTGCAAGGATGGAGTTAAACTTGAAAAAAATTATATATTTTGCTAGATTCATTTGTAAAAGGTGAAAACTTAAATTGGACAATTTTATTGCAATTTCCAACACTACTTTTGATGTAACATTACAGTTGGTATTATAATTTAAATGTTTCAGAATCATACAGACACTACAGTTTAAGAGAACACTAACACCAATGACCTCTTGATCTGTTGCTCTTCTACAACAGTTTACTTTTCTAACATTAGAATATTTTAGTTTGATGGTACCAACTGCATTTATGTCTGATTTTTATTAGAATAGAAAGAGGGAAAACACCTCATCCAGGATCAGTTACAGTATGTCTATAATGAATTATTATGCATCATTTCGTGTGAGGAAGTTTTTCAGTTAGCTAACTAGATGTAAGGCTTATTCTTTAACATTATGATTTGATATATTTGATCTTTTTCTTGGCAGGTTATAATATCTGTTAATAAACTTATTGGTAATGTTGTTGGTCTAAGTAATTCACATCTACAAGAAAGTTTGGCTATGATCAACAGTTATGCCTCAAGTGACAGACAAATGCAGGTAAAAACATCCATTATGCTCTATTCTTTTGTGTGGGTTTCATATCTGAGTGGTTTAACTTTCTATTAAACTAAAATGACTGTAGTCTCTTCAAACATAGTTCATGTCATTTATAAAATAAAAACTTAAAATAACATAGATCTTAGATTAGTTTTTGATGAGAAATCTGATGGTAATCATGGGTTAAGTCAATTGCCTTGTGACGTAAAATGCTCTCTTTGATTTGCATAAGAATATAGTACTAATAGGAAATAAGGAATTTCAGATGATTAATGCTAGAAATGTAAAATGAATAGAAATGCATTTTATTATATTGTGTACATTTTATTTGTTTACACTAATCAAAATCTCACAACATCTCAAAGTAGTACTGATAAGAAAAGATTACAATTTTAGATGTTTGGACCATTTGTTGAATTTATGACAGGAGTTGCTAGAAATCGTCGGGAGGTATCAATAGATTTTAAATTGTATAATTTTCATTATGGTATCTGTGAATGACCTTATTATGTAAATTTATATGTATGATTGGTTTGCAAAGCTTCAGTCTTAAGTTCTAATGTCACTTTATTTTATCTGCATATATGTATTTTGAATGCATTATTTTCACTCCTAAAATATTTCTGTCATTTCTACTTTAATTCTCCATTTCTGCGCTATGGGTGGGGGCTAATATGTTGTTTCAATGAGTAGAGATTTTGTAGTTAATGGGTGTATATCTGATACCAAGTACCTTTCAGAACTTTCATTTGTTGTAACTATACCTCATGGTATGAAGCCAGGGTATATAGTTATTGACCTGGTCAGTTAGTCTGTAAGTCATCATGTCTGAAATCATAACTTCCATGTGTTGTAACTATACCTCATGGTATGAAGCCAGGGTATATAGTTTTTGACCTGGTCAGTTAGTCTGTAAGTCATCATGTCTGAAGTCATTACTTCCATTTGTTGTAACTATACCTCATGGTATGAAGCCAGGGTATATAGTTATTGACCTGGTCAGTTAGTCTGTAAGTCATCATGTCTGAAATCATAACTTCCATTTGTTGTAACTATACCTCATGGTATGAAGCCAGGGTATATAGTTATTGACCTGGTCAGTTAGTCTGTAAGTAATCATGTCTGAAATCATAACTTCCATTTGTTGTAACTATACATCATGGTATGAAGCCAGGGTATATAGTTATTGACCTGGTCAGTTAGTCTGTAAGTCATCATGTCTGAAATCATAACTTCCATTTGTTGTAATTATACCTCATGGTATGAAGCCAGGGTATATAGTTATTGACCTGGTCAGTTAGTCTGTAAGTCATCTTGTCTGAAACCATAACAGAAAAGATCACTGAAGATTCTTCTGTTTTTTCTTTACATAAGTAAAGACGTGCATGAGAAAAGATCAATATATCCAAATTTTTGAATTGCCACCCTTTATTACTATATAGCATAGGAATGCCATGAAATTGAAAATAACATACTTCAAAGTAAGAAGTTTGACTTGTATTTTTTTCCTTTCATAGGTATGTGTGACTTGTCTAGAACTTTCTAGTATTTACTAATTGTTGTTTTCAGAGACGTAATAAACAAAAGGTAGAGAAAGCGTCACACAGTTATATCATTGGCTCAGGGCTTCATGTAGCTAGATATATTAACAGTGAAACCTTAATGAACCAAAACCCAAAACTTACCATAATTTAAACAGATTTATATTACACTAGATTCATTGGATTTTTGTTCACACGAGACCCAAGTTTTCAAATTTTGATGCCTCATTTAGAACTATTAGGAAGTTACTACTTAATCAGTTTAATTAGATCCCTTTATTGCGAAAGAAATGATACTTTTCTACAGATTCACTTGAAGGTTACCTGTCGATTTAAACTTTTGCAAGTTCTTTTGTCCCATAAGTAAATACAATAGCTATTGTTCTCTGTGGAGTTTATTCAATGGGACCTTTAAATTTCTTCCAAGAGAAATCTATCACTAACTGATTAATTTACCTGAACAAAAAAATTATCTTTCAATGATGAAAATACTTGTACCAATATAATAAATAAGGACTCACAAAACTGCATGTGATGTTGTATTTATTTAATATCAATAATACATTTTCAATTTGTTCAATATAAATAGTGATTCAAAAATTAAAATTTGATTTCTGATCAAATTTTCAATATTTTACCTATTAAAATTTCTTCTTTTTTTGTGTGTTTGACAAATACAAACTTGAAAATGATGATGTTTAAATTAAGGCCTTCATAAATGTATTCTATAACTAAACAACCACAAAAAAACATGTAACTTCATTGGAACAATACTACATATTTTGTTAGAAATACAATTTTATAATTAAAACAGTGTTTATATTGAACAGATTGAAAATATATTATTGATAATGAATAAATACAAGTGTGAGTGTAAAACATGTATTTCAATGAACTATGAAGATAATTTTTTGGTCAGGTAAATTAATCAATGAATGAAAGATTTCTCCTAGAAGAAATTTAAAGGTCCCAATGAATAAACTACACAGAGAACATTAGCTATTGTATTTATTCAATGGGACAATAGAACAGACAAAAGTTTAAATACCTTGACCAAGGGCAAATGACTCTGTGGAAAACTTTCATTTGGTTGGCAATAATTTATTTTTATATTATTAGGTTTCAGATAGATTTCACTGTAGAATTAGACCAAAGATGCTTTTGAATGTTATAATCAAGAGAAGGTTTTTATACCAAACTTGAAGAATCTTATTTAATCATATTGAAATATAGCTGAAGTTTTCTTTCAAATTTGCTTTATCTATTATCCTCTTTTGGCCACAATTTTAAGTGTTTCACAAATTGAAACACTTTAGTTTTCTTGCAGTGTAAGACTGGTGTCAAATTTGCTTTAAGAATATTTGCTTTCAGACGTAATGTGCAATTTATCAGCCAATAAATAAATCATAACAAAAAGTATTAATGGGGAGGTAACTCTATGTTTATAATCTACAGACACAACTTGTGTTTTGCAAGAACAAATCTCTTGGACTTCATGCTGAACGGAGGGTAGGATATATACAGCTTACTCTCAGTATTATACATGTATACTGGGTTTTGGGGCATGAAAATTTAGAACTAATTTAGATTTTGGTTTTTTTTAGTTAAAACAAAAAAAACAATGGTAAAATGATTTTTTTTTTTTGCCTTTTTATTGGAGTTTTTATGTCCCAGAAATGCATGCCGTCTTTCCAGGTTTTAACCATACATATGTTGAATTAATCAATACAGAATTTAACTAAGACAATATTTCTTCTTACTGATTTATTGTCTATTGAACAACAGAATTAGTGCATGCATTTTATCATTGCCATTATCCCTAATTTTGATACTGTCAAATATTCATAATATTGTTTGTACATTTTTTACTATGCATCATACACCTCATATTTTTCACTTTCCTCATATCTTTCTTTGTTTATATAAAATATACAAAAATGTAAGTGTACTACTAACCAATCATAAATGTACAATATCAGCATGCCATATTATACTGTATAATTTTATCAGATGGACAGAAAATCAAAGAAAAAGAAAGTTAAAAGTGAGGTAAAGTGCATGAATTGACCTCAACCCAATATCTTAGCATTGCACTAAACAACTAATGCAAATAAAACTTTCTTCACTTTTCATTTAATATCACAATTATTTAAAATAACTAAAAGAATTGTCTTAAAGCTAATTTTTACATCTATTTATCTTCAGGTTTATACTTTATTCTTTATAAAAAAATTAGAATTAACTTCTTCAAACATAATTACATTGGTTTTAGAAATAGATCAATATCAAATTTCAGTTAATTTTTATTTTCTAATGTGTCTTCAAAATTAGTTTACCTTTTTAAGATAAAACATATACGTTAGTTCATGATAAGGAAATTTGATGGGCACAGTTATTTCTTGTCTAATCCTTTCACTAGATGTATGATATACTTTTGGAGCAGTGGTAACAGCTTTAGCAATAGCTAATATCTTTATCTCTTGCTCTCTCTGTCACCAATGTAAATCAAAATATGTATAAAGATTATTTAAGATGAGACCTTCAAATGCTCTAGTGACCAATAGTGAGATCTTGTGAGCCACTCATTGAACCTGACTTTGATCTCATTTCAGTGCTCTAGTGGCAAAATGAAAGTTTTATTAGACCTTGTCAGTCTCTTATTGACATCTAACTTTGACATCATTTCGGTGTTCTCTTTTCTGAGACCTTGTCAGCCAGTCATTGTCACCTGACCATGATCTTGTTTCAGTGCTTTAGTGACCAAGTTAAAGTTTTTGGATGAACTATGTATATGTTTTTGACCTTATTTTCACACTTCAGTGAGCAGGATAAATTTTTTTCTCACTTAGATCTAAGTCATAGTCACAGTATTTGAAAGGTCACCAGTGTTTCATACGTTACTTCATTTTAATTAGTATATAAGTTCTCTAAGATATGTCATCTCGTCTTTACTACATTTTTCAAGTTTAAGTGGTCATGTGAAGGTGTCTGAATTAGGTCTTTTCATCAGCAACTGATTATGACAGAAGTGATAAGCCAGTCATAGTCACCTGACCTTTGATTTCAGTGCTATAATGACATAGTATTCAGATGTGTTTGGTTTTTTTCTGTAACTATACATGGTAGGTCAACAATATTTGGTATGCTCGTTTATTTCACTATTTATACTTACCTGCATCAAACTTTTTACAAAAACTAGTTCAGTAACAGAAAAAATGCATTCCTTGTACAAAGTATATGTTCACAAAAATATATGACATGGCCTTGGTCTACTTTTCATGCTCCAGTAGTTGGGTAACGTTTTATGGATTTGATATGTTTCTCAGAAGTGTTCCAGACATTTCTACAATAGTTGGTATTTGCTCCAGTGAAATATGTCATTGCCTGGACCTTTAAGCATTTTGTAAAATTATTCAAATTGACATCATAAAAAAATGGATGCATTTGGTAAATGGATCCATTTGATCCTGTCATAATAAGTTTCCTCTTTTAACACTCGTTTGGAAGAATGTATTCTCCTGTTCATATCAAGCATATGGTAGTAGGCAACACTGTGTTGAGTTTGTATATTTTTGTAGATATCTATTAAAATCTAGAGAGTAAAATTACAGGAAGTAGGTCAATATATTACTTACAGACAGTTGGTTGTCTTCTACCAAAGGAATCAATTATCATTTCAACATATTTTAGTAAAGTAAGATTTAAATATTAACTCAATTTTGACAGGAGTTGCATCGATTTAGGCCTTAGCTAATTTTAAAAATATTAATTCCAGCTTGTTGCAGTTAATAGATTAGATATGAAATACTTATGATTTCAAAATTGTCCACTGTAAATTTAAGATTTGATATTTTGAGTTTAAACAAATTTGCCTTTATATCTGTAGCTAAATTTTGTTAATCGGCTTGGGAAAATTTGTGACTTATGTCTGTAAGCAGTAGCATAGGAGTGTTGTGAAAAAGTCAAAAGAGCAAAACAATGGCTTGATTAAGTAGGCAGTTCTAATTAGAAACAGAATAAAATGAATGGAGATTTCTAATGTCTATTACCTCCCTCTGACTAGCTTTTATTTGGCCGCCTGGTTTAAAAAGTGCATTATTTTCAAAAGCAGGAAGCTATTTCATTCTTGAGATGTTACCACAATTTTGCTATTCTAAACTTAATTTCTTGTTCGTAAAATGTTTTAGAAAAAAACTGTATTGCATATGAGGAAGTCTGTCTAGTTAATATTGTAGTAGATAATCAGCGTTTAATATGTTTTATCACTGACAATTGGCATGTACATTGGTCATCTATTTTTAAGCCTGACAGCATCTAGTTGAGTTTTTTTTAATATTTTTTAACATTTTTTGTTGTTAGTAGGAGTATCTAGCAAAAAGCATTGTCAAATGGATAGTCGCCTGTCAAATTATTGTAGTCTGCATTGTGTCTGCAAGTTAATTTGACACTGATAAACAGAAAACTTTTGTAAAAAGTAACCAAAGTCCATTGGTAGAGCAATATATGTATAATTTATCCAATAATTTGAATGTAGAAAAATATTCATCTGTGACTGAGCAACACATTAATTCATGAATGCTTATATATAGTGTTGTTAAAGCAAAAGTTCTTTTTTGTAACATTGACTTTTAATGTCAATATAATAGAAAATGCAAGGAACAATGCTTTTCCTTTGTATGTTCATTCAGTTGATGCAGCTTTGACAACATCTATTGTTGTTTAAAGTCAAAGGAGTGAAAATACAGAACTTATTTTAAATATTGATTTTTATATGATTGAGAAATCAAAGTATGTCATTGCAACCAATCCAGTTAAAAAAAAGATCACTTTTCAAAGTTATCTTTAGAAAAAAAAAAAATTTTACAAGTTAAAATTGTAATAGATTAAGGAGTTTTGATATAGTTGAATGAATTAGAAATCCATTCCAAAATAAGATTTAATAACTTTGATAAATAATGCATGAGTTCTGGTTTTAAGTGAAGGCTGTTACCAATATTTAGGTATATCCAGTTAATTTTTTTTATTGATAAAATTGATTTGCATAACAATAAATAATGTTGAAGATGAATTGTTCTATATACAATTAACTTTATTTTATTAAAAAAATATATCTGCTTTTCATGTATTAACTTTTTATGCCTGTATTTATGTTTCATACATGTGTGTCTGTTTCTCTAATTGTGAAACCAAACTTTTTACCTTGATTGTTTTGAAAAGTGCATGTTCTGTCAAATATATTAAGTGTGCTATTTCAAAATAAATGTTTCAAATATTTTGCAATTTTTGTATTCATAATTATTACTGTTTTAGAGCTGATGAGAGATTTTTTTCTAAAAAGGAAGTATAATGAACACTGTTTTACCTTTATTTATAGAAAAGTGGATTTCCAGCAGAGGTGAAAGATTTAACCAAAAAAATTAGGACTGTGTTAATGGCCACAGCTCAGATGAAGGAACATGAAAAAGATCCAGAAATGTTAATAGATTTACAGTATAGCTTGGCAAAGTCCTACGACAGTACTCCAGAATTACGTAAAACATGGCTGGACTCTATGGCAAAAATACACTTAAAACATAGGGATTATTCTGAAGTAAGTGTATTAAGTAATTGAAAAGACAGGGCCTCCGTAGTCGAGTGGTCTAAGTAGTCAAACTACTGTATCACTAGCCTGTCAACACTGAGGTTGTGAGTTCGAATCTGGCACATGGCAGGTGCTTTCAACTCCAATCTCAATTGACTAGGATTGTCAGTTTTCCTACAAAAGGTTTGTGGTTCTTTCTGGGCACTCTGGCTTCTTCCACCAATAAAAACTGACTTCAACGAAATAGCGCAATAGTGCTGAGAATGGCATAAACACTAATCATTCAGCCAGTCAATAATTGAAAAGGCTGTAAAATAAATGTATGATTGATATGTTGTCATTTAACAGTCAGATATAAATTATCATTTGTATAACTGAAACATGGTCTATATAACTGAACGTCAATTGAAAATACTGAATTCAAAAAAATAATATATTTACAATTATTATGTTGTTTAATATGCTGCATGAACTTTACCGTGCTTTCATGCAGAAGGTTGTGGTTCTCTCTGGGCATTCCGACTTCCTCCACCAATAAAAAATGAACGCTTTGATTTAGTCAATAGTGCTGAAAGTGGCATTAAACACCAAAATTAGTCAATCAATCAATCTTACTCAAAAAAGTTTGAATAAACGATATTGCTGTAAGTCCCATTTATATAGAAAAGTGTACAAATGTACTTTTATATTTTAGATTTGAGTGCCAGATATCATTGAAGGTTTTTAAGTTAACTTGACGCCGCACATTTACACTGAATAAACAGCATTTCATACCAGATCAAAACACATTATACAGTATGAAAGAACTTTGTTATGTTTTTCAGGAAGCACATTGTTTTATACATATAGCGGCATTGATAGCAGAATATTTAAAGAGAAGAGGTAAAACTTTAATCAATCTTTGAAATATGAATAAGCATTGTTCTAGAAAAAAAGTGGAAACTTATGTTGAAAACAATAAAATGTAAAAATGATTTTACCCACTTTGTTTGTGGTTCCATTCTAATTATACCCCTGTCGTAGGCAACGGGGGTCATTATGTGTTACCCTTGACCGTCCATCTTTCAGTCTTTTCATCCGTCCCATTTTCCTTTCAACACTTTAACTTAAGTTTGCCTTATGCAAATTTTATGAAACTCATACACAATGCTAAGAACCAAAACTCACAGACAGAGTTAGAATTTGAGCAGTGAGTCACTTACGGTTCTAGAGTTAAGCCCTTTATAACTTGAAAAATTGCAAAGCTTGAGGGGGGACATTCGTGTCCAACGACACATTCTTCTTTGATTTTATTTTGTTTGTATCAAGGTTTTTTGAGTTATTAATATTTTTTCTAGTTCCTGAAACTTTTAGGGGAAAATATACTCATCATTGTCTGTTTGTTTGCCTGAAAAAGATTTTTGCTGATAACCTTACAATAGTGTGAGCAATGGTTATCAGAGTTAGTTGATAGGAAAAACTGATGTCAAAAACATTCAAACGAATGCAGATTGAGAAAATCACACACTAGTCCTAATATAATTTACATCAATCTATGAATGTATATAATGTATATAGCAAATTTTCCAACTCTGTCAGTAATGACAAACTACAGATTAACCATAAGGGTTTGAAATACAAATGGTTTACAGATTCATTGTGATAACATGCTGAGTAAAAACAACACAGAAGAGTTAGGTGAAAATGAATTACATACATGTTTCTTAAAATGAAATGATTTAAAAAAAATTTGGTGGATATTTTATTTAGACGATTATGAAGGTATGTTTAATCAACTTGAAAAAATATATGAAACTTATGCATATACAAATTCTTTGAATCTCTACCTGTCTGCAAGAACTAAGTATTATGAATATTTTCTACCTAGAAAACCTTTGTAAAAATCTTAGATAGGGCTTAAATCATAATAAAATGCAGTTGTCCTTTAACGGTCATCCTTTAAACTCTTTTATGCTTTGACATTCTGCATGCAAGCATGCTCTACATTTTCATTGCTCTGGATATGAAAATGAACCACTTATTTACTGGTTCATCTGCCTCTTTGTTTTATATTGAGTACATATTTAAGCAGTACAATCAAAGATTGGTCTGAGGAATGTCTTGGATAGAAATAGACATCTGTATACAAAAAATTGTCACCCCATCCTTCATGCATGAATTATTTGGATGAAGTATATCCTTAACTAAAGGTCCTGATATATGCAGTTGAAAGTATTGGAGTGGTATATATTTCTAGACAGTTGAATATTTGAAATTTGACGTTTGAGAATAAGAGACTTACAAATTTTGTAACAATGAAACAAAGTAATAAAAAAATTTGTCAGTGACACATTAATAGTAATAAAGATTTATACATGTACAAAATTTTATTCAGTAACTTTTAGATTACATACATATTAAGTTCTATATCTGCACAATTCCAAACCAAAGAAGCTTTCTTCTAGTAAAATATATTTTTCAATTGCAGTTTTTAGCTCACCTTTCCAAAGGAAATGTGAGCTTTTGCCATCACTTGGCATCCATCGTCATCCGTTGTTGTCCGTTGTTGTCGTCGTCGTCCGTCCAGTATAAACTAGTTCAAACATCGTCTCCTCTGAAACTACTGAACCAATTCCAACCAAACTTAAGCTGAATGATCCTTAGAGTACCTAGAATAAAGTTTGTGTTTTATTTTCTGTTTCATCAAAAAGCATGGCCACCATGGCTAAAAATAGAACATAGGGGGTAAAATGCAGTTTTTGGCTTATAACTCAAAAACTAAAGCATTTAGAGCAAATCTGACACGGGGTAAAATTGTTCTACCAGCCCTGAAATTACAGATGAATCTAACAACCCATTGTTGGGTTGCTGCCACTAAATTGGTAATTTTAAGGAAATTTTGCAGTTTTTGGTTATTATCTTTAATATTATTATAGATAAAGATAAACTGTTAACAGCAAAAATGTTCAGCAAAGTAAGATCTACAAATAAGTTTTATTTGACCAAAATTGTCAATTGACCCCTTAAGGAGTTATTGCCCTTTAAGGACAATTTTACACAATTTGTTTATCATGTTTTCTAACTTAAAAAAATCTTCTCATCTGAAGCTACTGAACCAAATTAAACCAAACTTTAGCTGAATGATTCTTAGGTTATCTAGAATAAAGTTTATGTTTTATTTTCTGTTTCCTCAGAAAACATGGCCGCCATGGCTAAAAATAGAAGATAGGGTAAAATGCAGTTTTTGATTTATATCTCAAAAACTAAAGCATTTAGAGCAAATCAGACAAGAAATTAAAGATTAATTAGGTCAAGGTCTACCTGCCCTGAAATTATCAGCCAAATCGGGTATCTGATTTTAGGTTATTACCCCTGAGTTGATGATTTTAAGGAAATTTTACATTTTTAGGTTATTATCTTGAATATTATTATAGATAAAGATAAACTGTAAACAGCAAAAATGTTCAGCAAAGTAAGATCTACAAATAAATTGTATATGACCAAAATTGTCAATTGACTCCTTAAAGAGTTATTGTCCTTTAAAGACAATTTTTCACAATTTGTTCGTCTAGTTTGCTTACTTTAAAAAATCTTCTCCTTTGAAACTGCTGAATCAATTTCAGCCAAACTTGGGCTGAATGAGTTTCAGACTATCTAGTATAAATTTTGTATTGTATTTCCTTGTATGTCAAGACTAAAATGGAACATAGGGGTAAAATGCATTTTTTTGCTTTTGAAGAAAATTTGACAGATACAAAGAACATTTAAATGGCATGTTTAAGCCACTCATTAATTTATATTGAAAAGAAAAAATAATCATTGATGAAAGATTTAAGCAAAAAATAACAGGTGAGCGATTCAGGCTCTTGAGAGCCTCTTGTTTCATTACATAAGCTACAGAAAGTATATAAAAATCTTGTAAAATATGTTATATAAAAGCAACATACAAATTTAACAACAAATTGTATCAGGTAGGCTTGAGATTTTAACTTGAAACCCAAATATAGAAACATTTTAAAGCAGTTCCTAGCCAGACTTCTGCTTATCACTATGAAATACAGAACTAATAATTCTACTGTAGGAAAGTTAAAGTCCAGTAAGTTGGCATGGTATCTGTTCATGTTGTAATGTTTTTTTTATGTATTTTAGTAATTTTTTACTTTCATAAAACTGTTTACATTTGGACTTCTTGTTGTGAATTGATTTGTTTGTCAATATTTTGTCATCACCTACTTTTTTTTTAAGGTTTTTGTGTTTGCTTGAATGTTACATGGAAGTAGGCATGTTGTCATACATTTGTCTAAGTTTCATCTTTGTTGCTGTTCACCTTGTACAATGTATTTTGTAAGATGCCTCACCAGTAAATTGACTCAAGTTTGTAGTCATTATAATTTTTTTTTAACCTTTTGCATCTAAACATTTTTTAATGCCTGTGGTCATTTTCATGTGTGTATGCTCTGTTTTTCTGCTTTTTGGTTGGGTTGTTGTCTTTTTGACACATTCCCCATTTCCATTCTCAATTTTATGATATGTTATTTCGGAGAAGGTTGATTTATGTTTATATTGATTTTTATACAATTAAGTAGGCTTCATTTTGCGAATTTGTTAAGGAGCTGGTCAACATCTACTAGTATTTCATTTTAGCTTATGACTTTGACAGATAATTTTGTATTTTTTGTTCTTTGAAATTTGCTTGTGCTTGATTGTTTATATACCAGTTGGTATTTGTTTTTATAAAAGTTATTAAATATATGAAATGAAAGGAAATATAAAGGTGATCATCTACATGGAATAAAAACACTGGGAAACAGTGTCTGATGTTTAGAGAAACAATACATATATAATTGCTGATATTCATCTTGAAGGTTCTGATAAAGCCTACAATGAAGTTCTTTGCAATGTCGTAGGTTGATATAAATATTATTCTTTGTTGTATAAGCCTATATCTTATTCTATGCTACTTGCATTTACATATTCTAAAGTTTTTAAAAATTTTGTTAGTCTTGACAAATATATTTGATGTACAATTGAAAATTATAAAAACAATTTGAAAGTGACTGCAAAAGAATATGAAACTATGAATTTGGAATGCTTTATTAATGCTTATTTGTTTTATTATCATATAAATGTTAAAAATGTTATGTTGTGTATACAGGATGTTTCCCCCAAGGTTGTGCTGCCTTCAAATTAATATCTCCGAATGTAGAGAAGGAAGAAAGTGGCATTAAAGATGATTCAGGGATGCAAGATGTTCAGTATACAGAGGTAACTATACACACTAGAATCATAATTATTTTATAAGGTGGAAGGAAATGTTTCATTTTCAGTTACATAAAGTTTAAGTGGACTTATTTTCTTCACTGCCATAGTGATTTTTTTTTTCTTTGGACTATCATAACATATGTACAAAATTTCATTTGGTTGACATGTCATGTGGACCCACTAATAAGCATTTTGCATGGTTCTATCATACACTCTGTGTTGAGGACATTTGTGACCTAGTTATATTCAGTTATACCTGTGGCTTACTATTGTTTAGTTCTCATTTGACATTTACCCCCATATCTCTTCTAATTACTCTTCTTACTTCAATAACATCTTCAGTAAGGTCTAGGATTACCACTGTTTAGGATCATTATTTATTATGTCTAAGACATGTGCAACCAAGTGACCTCAGGTAGTTTCAATATAACTGGAAAATGAACAATTTCATGTTTATGTAAGTACACTATCATTGACATAGTTATAGATATTTGCACATGCATTGAATATATTATATTGATAAACATTAATTTTTATATTTCCTTTCAGGAGACTATGGTAGAATATTTAGAGAAGGCTTCAAGATCATTAGAGGTTGCAGAAAGATATGAGATGTTAGGAGAAATCTACAAATTAGTTATACCTATCTATGAGTTCCATAGAGATTATGAGGTTGGTTCTATGTAAAGAAAAGAGAAAAATATCACTCTGCAGGTGGAAGAGTTTTAGAAACATATTTTACAGACACTGGGGAAATTGTCTTCATACCCTTGAAATGGATGCAAAACATACCCTTCTTTAAGCAGCTTATTAGGAGGATTCATACTACAAGTTGAGCATATCAACCTGTAAAATTTGTTAAAACATAAATTATATAGTAAAATCATGTTATACTTATATTAGAATGACTATGCAAAACAAGTTTCCAAGGTTCAGGATTGAGTAAATAAACTGAAATGTACAATATGTATATACCTACTGACCTACTGGTACATGTTTGTAGGTACAATACATATACATACATACATACACAAATAATGGTTTGTTTTAAGATCTGTTTTTAAATCCTTTTTATAAGCCTGTTTACGGGACGTATTATGGTATACCTCTGTCCATCCGTCTGTCTGTCCGTCGTCAACATGTCGGACATTAACTCGAAAACGCTTTAACCAATATGCATGAAACTTTGGTGAATTGTTTTTATCTATTGACGTGAGCTCCCTTTCGTTTTTTATAAATTTTAGATTTTACGTTTCCCAGTTTTGGGGTTTTATTCATTACAAAAAGGGGGATTTTCCAGTTTTCGGACAATAACTCAAAAACACTTTCACCAATTTGCAAGAAACATTGGTGAATTGTTTATGTATATTGACATGAGCTCCCTTTTGATTTTTATACATTTTAGATTTAACGTTTCTGACTTATGGGGTTTTATTCATTACAAAAAGGGGGATTTTCCAGTTTTCGGACAATTACTCAAAAATGCTTTCAGCAGTTTTCCTTAAATTTTGGTGAATTGTTTATATCTATTGACATAAGCTCCCTTTGAATTATATAAATTTCAGATTTTACGTTTACTAGTTATGGGGTTTTATTCATTAAAAAAAGGGGATTTTCCAGTTTTCGGACAATAACTCAAAAATGCTTTCAGCAGTTTTCATGAGACTTTGGTAAATTGTTTATATCTATTGTTGTAAGCTCCCATTCTATTTATAAATTTTAGATTTTACGTTTCCGAGTTATTGGATTTTATTCATAAAAAAGGGGTGATTTTCAAGTTTTCGGACAATATCCTTAAAGTGCTTTCAGCAGTTTTCATTAAACTTTGGTGACTGATTTATATATATTAAGTTAACCTCCCTTTAGTTTTTTTTTATAAATTTCTGATATGACATTGAGAAGTTTTTGAACTTTATTCTTTGAAAAAGGGACAGGCGTATCATGAGCTCATGGCGCAGTTTTTTATTTAGAATGTGATGATTTTAAACTAATTATAGTTTACTGCATTACTCATCCCACGTAGCACAAAGTCAATCAGCTACAACTGAGTCACATTGACCTATATTTTGATAAATATCTGTATGTTTAAGCAGCAGATTTAAGTTGCTTTTCTGGACAATAGTATGTTAACATTATATGAATATGACACAGGCCATAATCTTGCCGGCGAAATGATGATTTAAGTCGCCAAAGAATTTTGAAAATCGCTAAATCTCGCCGGCCGACTGACTTCATAGCGAAGTCAAATCGCTATCAAAATCGGTAAAAGGGAGACAACTTGTGATTGACAAGTCTCACAGGTAAAAAAAATGGCGGCTGACAAGGAAAATCGAGATTTTCGAAACGACCCAGGACTAATACTGTTAAAGATCAAATTAAATAAATACAACGGCGACTTTGAACATCCTCGGATATAACTTTCAAAACTGTTCAAACGGAAAACTGACCGTCTGTTTAAGTTATCGTTTTACGATGATTTTCATCTGAGGATGTTGCGTAATCACTCAGCTGATTTGTTTTATTTTTATTACCTACACGAGTCGATCAATTTTACTATTCGGTAGGTAAAGGGTGGGAATTAACGGTAGATTTATTATATTCATTGAATAAAAATTGAAATATAAAAGGTAGAAATACAGCTGATGGATAATGTGATTGCAAACGTACGACACTAGACCAGATTGTGATCAGCAGTGGATTTTTTCTCATGACCACTTCGTTGATTGATATGGATGATATTTTAAAAAAATGATAGAAATTAGCTCTTTACCGGATAATTAACTTGAGATTGAAAGATATTTTCATTTATAGACTTACAATCTTTAACGATAATCTCAATTTACTAGAACTAACATAAATGTCCTGGACATTCAATAATGTTTTACAAAACAATGACAAGTGGTGATATAAATTAAATTCCCAGTCATGTGAAATTCATCATATTTTTCTGGAGTTTTAAAAATAAATTGAGGCAGATGTACATGAATTTAATGCATCACAATCTTGTTAATATTACTAGGCTACTCCCTCATGTCCCAATCAACAAATTTTATTTAGAACACATTATGGTATCAATAAATAACAAACAACAATATATTGTCTAAACCTTTTTATTAAGAACTTTCTATATATACATTGTGTACAATAACATATGAAAAAAATGCAAGTACATCTTTTATTGAATATTAAACAATTTCCGTAGTGATAAGCTTGAAAACACAATGCAATCTCACTTCTCCCTTCTCTCTCATGGAAGGAGAAGTCACTTCTCCCTCTTCAAAATCCTAGATTAGGCCCTGATATGACATACTATTTACTAGACAAAAACAATGAGACAAATTTTGTACATGCCAGCCAGTAATGAAGCAGACCATGTGAAGATGTCATCCTACCCATACATATAAAATGTGATTCTAATCTCACCAGTTGTGACTCTTATTCTGTAATGCTGCACGCTACAGTAAAAACTAGCTTTAAATTCTTTGGTTTGACCCAGCCAGGGATAAGCAATTAACCACCCACACTTTAGGCAAAGATGTTACCATAAGACCACCAAGAGGGTATTATAAATCTTATTATGCCCCAAAAAAACTATAAAAAAAAAGTACTAGAAAACTTTTTGTGAAATTCCAATTTCTGTACGACATGTATGGCATGCAATATTTCTATATAGTACAGATTTAACAGGAAATAAATTGTACCATCAAGTAAAGTTATGAAACTCCAATGTTAATCTGTATTGGCAGCTGATCCAATCAAGTAATCAAAAAGATGAAGGCTAGGTTCACATGACTCTGCTAGTTATTGTGATCCTTTTTGTCGAGCCTGTGACTTTTGTCGCAAAGCGAGACATAGCGATTCTACATTCAGTTGGCGGCGGCGGCAGTGCCCACAAATATTCACTCTGTGGTTAAAGTTTTTGAAATTTTAATAACTTTCTTAAACTATCCTGGATTTCTACCAAACTTGGACAGAAGTTTGTTTATGATCATAAGATAGTATCCAGAAGTAAAAAAAAAATCCTGTTTATCCGTATTTTACTTATAAATGGACTTAGTTTTTCTGCCAGTTAATATTACATTCACTCTGTTTACACTAGTTTATCCCAAGCCTATACCAAGACAGGTGAGGTTGTACATTAATATGTCTTTGTTTTACAGAGACTATCCTCCTGTTACACTAGTTTATCCCAAGCCTATACCAAGGCAGGCGAGGTTGTACAATCTGGTAAAAGATTACTAGGCAAATACTTCAGAGTTGGATTTTATGGGGTAAGTATTTTAACTGTTATTTTTTTAAAGATCCTATTGGAATAATGCAGTTAGTAGAGGATATATATGTCTTGGATGTGTGATTTAGTTTGAAGTTTAATTTCAGTTTTAAACCTTTGGTATCATAACCTAATGTAGACTGGTTTTTTTCTACTGCTCAGTTTATATAGAGCTATACAAGTTCTACAAATTTTGAGTGGAAATAAAACCGTAAAGAATAAATTTCATGCAAATTTAAAAAAAACAGAGTTAACATGAAGATGATTTAGTTATTAATTAGTATACTTTGTAGTCTTACTTTGATGATGAAGATGGTAAAGAATATATCTACAAAGAACCAAAAGTCACCAGTTTACCGGAGATATGTGAAAGACTTAGTAATATCTATGGTGAAAAGTATGGCAAAGAAATTATAAAACTTATTCAAGATTCAAAAAAGGTAAAGAAAAAATAATGTGTAACTTAACAGATTTATAAATTATTGATAGCCAAATAAAGCTAGAAAATTTGGCTATCTGTTAACTTCACATAGATAAATAAACACATTTATAAAATAGAAAATTTTCCTATTCCTTTTTGTTTTTTGAAGGAATATCATAATAAATCAAATTCTACCCATTAGGTATCTTTTTGTGCAGTGGAAATCATTTAATTGTAAAAAGAAAACTGCAATTTCTCATCGATAACAAGAACATAACTTTGCCAACATCTTCCATGAAATCCATTTGCTGTTTCTAGGTGGATTTTAAAAATAGAATTGCAGACTAATAAATGAAAAGGCTGCAGATAGACATGAGAAATGGAACTTTTGCTTGACTTCATTTTGATGTTTTGTTTTTACTCTGCTTGTTATCAGTGTTTTGTATTGTATGGGGAAAGCGTTATTTCATTAACTTGAGGACAACTTTTCTGTAATCAGCCAATAAATCAATTATAAGGAAGTATAGGAAACTGTCAATAGCTGACAAAATTGTGTTTTAAAGTGATAATTGACATTTTGTTTGGTAGAATTTTAACATTTGAAAAAATGAAGAAGAAATATTTTTAATTGTTGACTTACTTTTTGTTGACAGGTTGATCCAAATCAATTAGATAGCAGATACTGTCACATACAAGTCACACATGTCACACCATACTTCGATGAACGAGAACTTCAGAGAAGACTTACAGATTATGAAAGGAATAATAATATTAGAAAATTTATGTTTGAAACACCATTCACAAAGGATGGCAAAGCACATGGTGAAATTGACAAGCAATATAAAAGAAGAACAGTATTAACAAGTATGTAAATTTTTCATATACTTAGCATTGATATAATAGTTTTTGCATATGTGTAACAAGAGGAAGTAAGCTAGCCATAAAATCACACCTAGGCTGATAACTATGGATCAGAGCACCCTGAAATATGATTCAGTCTTTTTCTATACAGTTTGATGGATTTTCACAAATTGCACATTGACTTCATATTTTCCAAATAATTACAGTGTGCGTATCATAAGAGAGCTCACAGTTCATCTTGTTTTTAATGCAAAACATTTAACACTACATGCAACTGCCCTCTATTTGTAGAGATAACGGAGAAACATGTATGATTAGATATTAATAGACATTGAAAATCAAAGAAAGATAACTGTGTCCTCGGACCAGTTTACTTTGTAAATTAAGGTTGCAAAAATAGTATGATTTTAAAAGTTTTATCAGTGATTAAAAAATAAGATAGATTTATTACTATTTTATATGATTTGACTTAATTTTTGTATTGCACACATGTTGCACATCAGTAGTTTTATTAGTCTGTTCTAAGGGTACATGTCACATCTTGATAGTTTTGTTAGTCTGTCTAAAATATAATTTTGGTAATTTAGAAGAGTTAAAAATGTTTTCAGTGATAAAAAACAGTTTTTCTCTCATAATCTTTGTATTAAAACCATCACCCATTACCTACCAGTGGAGAATTAGTGTAGTGTAAATTAACCCTGCCAATTACTATTTTATCTTTTGCTTTTGGCACGTTCTTAACTATCTTATTCTGAATTTTGGTTAAAATTCAGCACAAACTTATAAAACTACCACCAGTAAGAGATTATTCTTTCTCCTCTTTGACATTTCAGCCACTCATAGTTTTCCTTATGTTAAAAAGAGAATAGACATTATTGAAAGGAAAGATTTTGAATTAAGTCCCATTGAAGTAGCTATAGATCAGATGCAGACTAAAGTTGCAGAAATGAGGGAGGTTGTCAACATGTCACATCCAGATCTCAAAAGGTTACAGCTTAAGTTACAGGGCAGTGTCAGTGCACAGGTAAGAATGATTAGTACCAACATGTCACATCCAGACCTTAAAAGGTTAAAGCTTTAGTTACAAGGCAGTGTCAGTGCACAGGTAAGAATGATGTAGTGCCAACATGTCACATCCAGACCTCAAAAGGTTAAAGCTTTAGTTACAAGGCAGTGTCAGTGCACAGGTAAGAATGATGTAGTGCCAACATGTCACATTCAGACATTAAAAGGTTAAAGCTTAAATTACAAGGCAGTGTCAGTGCACAGGTAAGAATGATGTAGTGCCAACATGTAACTTTCAGATCTCAAAAGGTTAAAGCTTTAGTTACAAGGCAGTGTCAGTGCACAGGTAAGAATGATGTAGTGCCAACATGTCACATCCAGACATTAAAAGGTTAAAGCTTAAGTTACAAGGCAGTGTCAGTGCACAGGTAAGAATGATGTAGTGCCAACATGTCACATCCAGACATTAAAAGGTTAAAGCTTAAGTTACAAGGCAGTGTCAGTGCACAGGTAAGAATGATGTAGTGCCAACATGTCACATCCAGACCTTAAAAGGTTAAAGCTTAAGTTACAAGGCAGTGTCAGTGCACAGGTAAGAATGATGTAGTGCCAACATGTCACATCCAGACCTTAAAAGATTAAAGCTTTAGTTACAAGGCAGTGTCAGTGCACAGGTAAGAATGATGTAGTGCCAACATGTCACATCCAGACATTAAAAGGTTAAAGCTTAAGTTACAAGGCAGTGTCAGTGCACAGGTAAGAATGATGTAGTGCCAACATGTCACATCCAGACCTTAAAAGGTTAAAGCTTAAGTTACAAGGCAGTGTCGGTGCACAGGTAAGAATGATGTAGTGCCAACATGTAACATCCAGACCTTAAAAGATTAAAGCTTTAGTTACAAGGCAGTGTCAGTGCACAGGTAAGAATGATGTAGTGCCAACATGTCACATCAAGACCTCAAAAGGCTAAAGCTTTAGTTACAATCTTAATGTTGCAAGCTTGAATTTTTCTGTGGTGAGGTTTATTGTTAATGATAAGGTCAGTTTCTCAGATGCTATAAGCAATAGGTTATCTTTATTTGGTGAAAAGATTTATTGTAAAGTATACATGTCTGTCTGGCAGGGTTCATCTGATCTTGACCTCATTTACATAGATAATTGATCATTGATAATGTTCAGTTATTTGTAGTAAAAACTTTATCATTTCAGAGTGTATACTCTTTTTTCTGAAATGATAACCTCTTCAGATAGATAAGATAACCAATGTGATAAAAGAAATTTATTTTGAGGACTTTGATAGAAAAAAGGTCCAAAATAGGCTTTTATCCCAGGTCCTTTTATTTTTTAACAGTTGAAATTTTCTACATTACTTTAAACCAGATAAATTTTTATTTAGAAACATTATATTTTAGGTGAATGCAGGTCCTCTGGCATTTGCTGAAGCATTTATCAGTAAAGGCAAAAATTTTCCTGAAAGTAAAGTAGAAATGTTAAAGGAAGTGTTTAGGTAAATATATATACATATATACAGTTAATTATTATTGTGAATTATCCATGGAAAGAGCTTTTGGCTGATCTGGGACTGATACAGATAATGAGATCTATTAAAGGCAATATATATATGCTGTATATTTAGATTTTTTGTGTGTATTGACCTTCTTTATGATATTATGAAAAATTTATGTCTGAATGATGGCATGACTTCTATTCAGGGTTATTTAATCACAGCTTAAGTTGTTAGTGAATTTGTTTATTAAAACTTTAAATTGAATCTGATTTAATGACATCTTTAGTTGTTTATAAAGATTCATGTTAAAACTTTAAAGTAATTTCAGCATAAAAATTTGTCAATGAAAGCATCAAGATGTTAACTTTTAAAAACCATTGTTAAATGATGGAGCTGGCTTCCATATGATGGTTCAGTGGTCACAGTTTTACTTGTATATCAAATTTGACAAAATACATCTGCTTTCCATAACCACTTCTTTTGAACATGTTTATTGGTGGAGAATTATGTCCAGCTAACACAGATACTCATGTTCCTTTTACTGGTATTGAAATGATAAATTTCCAGGTTAAACATGAGCAGTTTGGGGTTATCATCAGCATCCATGTGTATATGTGCTTCAGATATGACATTCATCTGCAGCAGCTGATCCACAGTCATATCTAAAGAACTGCATGGCCTGCAACCATCAAACTTTGTATTTAGTTGTAGCTACTATTTTCCTACTATTTGCCATAATGAGAAGGTTATTTAACCCTTTTTGTGGTTCATTGACATTTTTTACATCCGAGTAAATTTGGTTAAGGTTTAAGTCTGACTTCATATCTCAGTAGGATCATGTTTTAAAATTAGTGTAGGGAAGCATCCCGGAGAGCAGTTCAGCATGAAGACAAAAACAGATCATTTCGACTGTAAATTGACTTTGGTTAAATTTTTATGTCAAAGTGCATATCTCAGTCAGTGTAGATATTGTTATATAATAAACTAGTGTATGGATGAATCTTAGAGCATAGGTCAGCATCCAAACAAAACTAGGTTACTGTGACATGCATTTTCCATTGACTTTGTAAAAGAGGAGGTCTTTGTTGTTTCATAGATTACCTGTTTTTTTTTCAAATTGCAAAAATGTAACTTTACAATTAGGACTGAAGTTAATATATTGGCAAATTTTACGAGGCAATTTAATTATGTTGGTGAACTAAAGATTTTTTAAGCAAAATAAAGAGATGGGCAATTTTATTAAATTTAAAGAAGTGAAAGTTGCACAAATATACTATGTATCACAGTAATGAATATAGTTTTCCAAAAAGATGTATTTTTTTCCAGGGATTTTGTTTATGTATGTAATGATGCTGTAGATCTCAATGGAACATTGGTTACAACAGAACAGAAAGAATATCATGAATCATTAAATCAAGGCTTCCAAGATATAGTCTTAAAATTAAATGATATGTTTGGAGAAAAGGTAAGATTTTTAACAGGAGTTTTATTTATTGCACTATCTGTGCTTTAAGCTTTTAATCTTTTATGCAGATAAATAAAGGGGTGCTCCTGAAATCATAATTAATTTTTGCTTTTACTTGAATTATTTAAAAAAAAAGTACTCATGACTAAATTTAATGACATTTTGCTTACCATGACTTTAAGCCAAACAATATGTTTCTATACTTCTATGAAGGTAAAAGCAGATTTATACACTAAAATTTTGCAGTAGAAGTGTTTTTATATGTATTTTATGTGTGTACATCTAAGGGGTTAACACTTGATTAGGTGTGTGTAGTATATAACATTAACAACCATTTGATTATCATAGCTTCAGACTAATTGAGGTAAGATGTGTGAAAAAAACTAATGTCACAAAATTATATTTAAGCACATTAATTTCTTCAGTTTGAATATACAACAAAGTAGATAGACTTAACTAAATAATAGGATTGTGTATGTTGTTATCATTGTGCATATTTGAATAACTAGACTTTGTGCAGAATACTTTTATTTTGTATTTGTTCTCTTAAGAGTTAAATAATTACAAAAGTTAAGGGTTTCCATTGAAAAGTAATCAAAAGAGTTTTAGGTTTCCATTGATAAGTAATCAAAAGAGTTTGGGGTTTCCATTGATAAGTAATCAAAAGAGTTTGGGGTTTCCATTGATAAGTAATCAAAATACTTTATAAGGTCCGAGAACACAGTAATCCTCTTTCAATTTTTGTTATCTACAAATATAGTCCCTATTGTGGACAGTGTATTACTTGCAAATTTGTTTCATACACTTTCCTTATTTATTTCTTCATGTTTTATGCCTCAAATAGCAAGTAGGGGGAAGTGAAAAAAAATTGGGTCATGAAATTTAAAGATAAGTAGTGATTTGGTCCATTTGAAAAAGGTCAAAAATTAGTGTTTCTGAAGCTGCCAAAAAGAATTCAAGACCCCTTTAAATATAATTGTCCATATTTTGAGTAAGAACTGCTGTAGTTTTTGTCTCGCCTTGACGGAGTCAAAAAGCAAGACATAGGTATGCTGTTGGCGGCGTCAACAATGTATTAGTTTGTGATTAGGTCTAATTCATGGTGAAGCACTAGTGGTAGGTCAATGATATTTGGTATGCAGTTGTATAAGCATTGGCACATCTCATTACCATGGATATTATTTGGCCCCGCCCCCTCAGTCAAGGTCTATTGACTTTGAAACTTTTCATAGTTTACATGTATTAGTTTGTGATTAGGTCAATTTATGGGGAACCACTAGTGGTAGGTCAATAATATATGGTATGCAGTTGTATAAGCATTGGCATATCTCATTTCTATGGAGATTATTTGGCTCCGCCCCCTTAGTCATGGTCTATAGACTTTGAAAATTTTGCTAAGTTAACATGTATTAGTTTGTGATTAGGTCAGTTCAAGGGGAACCATTAGTGGTAGGCCAATGTTAATTGGTGTTCAGTTGTATAAGCATTAGCACATCTCATTTCCATGGAGAATATTTGGTCCTTACCCCTTAGTCATGGTTTATTGACTTTGAAACTTTTGCTTAGTTTACCGTAATTGGGCTTGTATAGTTCGCACTGGTACATAGTCCGCACCCCCTTCTCCCCACGAAATTTCAGGTAAAAAAACTTTTTGTAACTGTTAGAAAAGGTCTAATGAAACTCCGGTAATTTCAAATCGTGTGCGGTTATTTGCGGTATTTTCTTGGAAAAACCGTTTTCCATCATCAAACAGAAGCTGAAACTGCTTGTAAATGATTCAAGAACACTTCATGATTGTTAAAATAAGTTTAAATCACTTAAAAAACAATTTAGAAACTTGTGTATGTTTAAACTGGAAGTTTGAATAGCACGTGTAAAAGAAGAAAAAAAAACGGTGAGCGTCGAAATCCGTACATGATAGATATCACTAAAATACGACTTTGGAAGTAAAACAGTTCCATCCTTATGTAAAACAGTCCTTAATATATCTATCACATTAATGTTTGAAGGGTCTTAAGCTAAAACAAACTATATTAGTCAGTATGAAACGCCAAAACGAAACGAACAATAACCGATTACGTTTTGTAGTTTACAAATCGTAAGCTGGTTTACGGTTGTCTTTTTTACTATTTTTGTATCGTTTCAATCAAGCAGATACCAGTTTATTTCAACCAATGCATTGAAAAGAAACGAGAAATTTGTAATGAAGCGTTTAGTTTTTAAATTTATCAGTATTAATTTGATACTGAATAGAAATAACTTATTAATATGGATGAGTTAAAATTATTAGTTTGAAAAAATCATAAGAGTGCCCTCTACAATATCAATAACAAAGATGGCGGAACGTAAACAAACCACCTCGCCCGCGAAATTGAACTTTTTCTCTTATTTCTTGCTTATTGTACTCTATAGTCCACTACCCCGTCTGGAAGGTCCAATTTTGGAGAATAAAACCGCGGACTATACAAGCCTTTTAACGGTACATGTATTAGTTTGTGATTAGATTAGTTTAAGATGAACTGCTAATGTTAAGTCAATGATATTTGGTATGCAAATGTATTGGCATTTGCAAGTATCGTTTTCATGGAGATTATATAGCCCCCACCCCTGATCATGGTTCATTGACTTTGAAACTTTTACATAGTTTACAAGTTAATGTTTGTGTTTAGGTTTGTTTAAAGGGAACGACGTATAATAAGTCAATGGTATTTGGTATGCAGTTGTATTAGCATTGGCACATCTCATTCCATGGAGATTGTTCAGCCATGTACCTTCAGTCATGGTTCATCGACTTTGAATATTTGCATAACTTACATGTTAAAGTATTGCTATTTTAATTTCAACATTTGCATTATCAAAATTAAAAAAAGGCGAGACATATCTCTGTGATAACAGTTTATCTATTATTTTGATATAATTTGTCCCATAAGTAGTACACCACACTGTAAAAATATTATTGAGAAAGCGCAGGTGCTATTTTTTAAATTAAGATTTATTGTCTAAAACAAATGCTCTATGAAATAATAGTGTTCTCAGGTATAGTATGGATTTCATTGACAAGTAATCAATCTTCAGATATGTGATATGGCTAAGGTAGTTGCATTGATTGGCATGGTGTATTTGTTTCTTTGTGCTGCCTAGATAAGTGAAAAATAATTTTTGAATTATTTATTTTATCAGTTACTTTATTATAATGATGTCTAGTGGTTCTTAAAATAGAGTAGACCATTAGAAGGGACAGGTACTTCAATCATCACTAGAAAATAGTTGGTGGGTTCAGAAAACTATCTTGAAACAGGTCACAAATGGAGTCTTTTAAATACCTATTGACCTGACATGTAGAAAATTACTTTACTTTAATCATACATATACATATTTAGATTCATCATATCCACAATTAAGAATACTATTTAAATTGACAAAAATTTTATCTTTTAAAAAACTGACCATTAAGGATGTTAAATGTTTTGTCCATTAAGTTTTTCTACAATAATTTTTTTTTTAATTATTTAGAACATTTTCAAAAGTTTTTGTTCGAATACTTTTTTTAGGGTATTTTACTGAAATGGATTACAGTCCCCAAGGGTGACTTAGGTATAGAAATATGGTAACTTTTTGTCTTTTTCTGATCAGCAATAAATGCCTTGCCAAAGTGGAGTGTCTGTTTGGCTGTGCAGGATATATAGATATGCTGCTACATCCAGACAGAATGGGGACATTAAATCTGATGCCTGTGTAGAGAAAGTGCCATGTTAAGTACGCTTGCTACAACTCTTTTAGGGGTCTGTAGGTGGCCTGTTGCAAAGCTTAATATCTGTCCCTATCCATTATACCCTCATTTTTCAGTGGCAGTCCAATTTTCCTACTTTAATCCTGGTCGACTCATATTGAAGGGCCTACCTAATGTATTTATTGTTGATATGTTCTTGTCCTAAACATGCATGAAATATTTGCCACTGGATGTTAAGCAAACAACAATTAATCAATCAAGTGGCTTACATTAGTTGAATTTTGTAACTATGTGTACATGTAAAAGTTACATGCTTTCCAAATTTAGATTTGGACCAGAAAAACCTGCAAGTTAAACCTGCCTCTTTTCCACAGTACATGTACCATTTATAAGATTTATGGCAGTCAATTTTCATTGGTTATCTCTTTTGATATGTCAAGTATTTCAGTGAATTTAGACTTTTAATTATTATTTTTACTATGAACTTTAGTATATTTATCATTTTTTGTTGTGCCTGCAACTTCTGTCACAGAAAGCTCGACATAGGGATAGTAATCCGGTTAACTAACTTCTTAAAAGCTTAATATATCAGAAGGTAGAAGACCTGGATGCTTCATACTTTGTATATAAATGCCTTATGTTATGAAGTTTCTGTCTGTCATATGTCCTTTGTCCTTGACCTCATTTTCATGGTTCAGTGACTACTTGAAAAAAAGTTATGATATTTTGTAATGTTAATTTCTCTCTTATTATGAGTAATAGGATAAATATATGTGGTATGTGTGTACCTTGCACGGTCCTCATGCCTGTCAGACAGTTTTCACTTGACCTTGACCTCATTTCATGGATCAGTGAATAAGGTTAAGTTTTCGTGGTCAAGTCCATATCTCAGATACTATTATCAATAGGTCTACTATATTTGGTGTATGGAATGATTGTAAGGTGTACATGTCCAACTGGCAGGTGTCATCTCACCTTGACCTCATTTTCATGGTTCAGTGGTTAAAGTTAATTTTTTGTGTTTTGGTCTATTTTTCTAATACAATATCATATGCAATAGGTCAGATATATTTGGTGTATGGAAATATTTTACGATGTACATGTCAGTCTGGCAAGTTTTGTTTGACCTTGACCTCATTTTCACAGTTCATTGCTCAATGTTAAGTTTTTGTGTTTGGTTTGTTTTTCTTAAACTATAACCAATAGGTCAACTATACTTGGTGTATGGAATGATTGTAAGGTTTATATGTCTGTCTGGCAGGTATCATCTGACCTTGACCTCATTTTCATGATTCCTTGGTCAATGTTAAGTTTTTCCTGGTTAAGTTTGTTTCTTAAATACTATATTTGATACATCAACTATATTTTATCCATGGAATGATTGTAACATGTAAATGTCTGTCTGGCAGGGTTCATCTGACCTTGACCTCATATTCATGGTTCATTGGTCAATATAAATTTTTCATGGTTTGGTCTTTTTCTTGTATACTATAAGCAATAGGTCAACTATATTCAATGTATGGAATGATTGTAAGGTGTACATGTATTTCTGGCTTGGTTTATCCAACCTTGACCTTTTTTCTTGGATCATGTTAAGTTGATGTGATACTTGTAGTAAAACTTTATATTTAGGGCTATCAACATAAAATCAAGCAGGCAAGACATTTCAGCATGTGAACTCTTGTTTTCTCTTTTGATCAAAATTATGTTGTTAAAATGAGGAGAAAAAGCAGTGTTATCAAATACTACTGTAAACATGAATAGTTTGCGATTTTAATGCCAAAAAATTTGGTGTAGGTATTAAAATCACTTATCAACAATAAGTTTGTCCTTCACTTCAATATTATTGCTTTCTACAAACCATTCAGTGATTTTTCGAGATTGCATTATAAGCAAAAATAACCCCTGCATGAAAATTTGCATGTTTACAGTATTCTAAATCTTGAGACCCAGGTAAAACATTGATGCATTTATTGCTATGAATGTCTATACAGGTCACTGTCAGTTTGGTTTTGCCAATGTCCAATGACATGAAGCAAGACACTTGGGTAATTTCTAAGGGGTCTTGAATATTGAGTTTATTATTAGGTTCATTTAAGAATAGCTACTTATAATAGATCTTTGGTATTTGGTATACAGTTTCATTGCTTTGGCATGCAGTATATACTTTCTATCATTCTTCTCTAACTTTATTTTGAAATAGTTAATCTTAAAAGTTTTCTGATTTGGTGTGTATTTGGAAAACAGTTTATGATTGGCCATTTATGTGTGGTTTGCATTAGCATCCGTACATTTCAGTCACAAGCAGAATTTGAAGAAGTTCTTTTCTTTTAGTCATTCTTCATTTACTTAATAGTTTTTAGAAAATAATATTTTCTTATTTGGTGAGTTGATTAAAATGTACATTGATACTTGGTAAACAGTTGCACTTGTATTAAGCATTTAAATCAAATTGCTATTTCTAATTTGGCTTGGAGGTTGATGAGTTTTGAATTTCTAGAGTTATGCCTCTTTACAAATGGATTAATTGCTGCATTTTTCGTTTCCATTCTTTAACTTAAGTTTACCTCAACCAAATGTTATGAAACTTATACACAATGCTTATTACCACAAAACAAGTACAAATTCGGGTAGCGTCATTTTTACCGTTTTTGAGTTATGTCCCTTTATTATGTGATATGCAAGTGAGGGCATCATCTGCATCCCATGGACACATTCACCATTTATTGCCTTTTCCTAATTCTTTTTAGACTTTCTCCTATAACACAGTATATTTTAAATACTTTTTACTGCTCTAAAATTATAAAAGTATTTCTTAGGCTTCAATGACAGCTCGGTGATTCAGATTATCAGTGAACCAAGTATATCATCAAATTGTGGACTTAAATATCTTTCAAGAATTTTTAACCCAGGTGGAGGTGACATTAAGGTTTACCCTTGTCAGTCTGTATATCTGTGTCTTTACCTCCATACAACCCAAACATAGTTTCCATTCTCTAACTTTAGTTTGTCTCAACCAAATGTTATGAAACTTATATGGTACACAATGCTAATATTCACCAAATGCAGATCAAGTTCGAATTTGGTGACATCACCTTCAATGTTTTCAAATTATGTCACTTTATAAATGGAAAAATTGTGGAATTTGCCATTTCCGTTACTCTAACTTTTCTTTGCCTCAACCAAAAGTTATGAAACTTATATGCAATGCTTATTACTACCAAACACAGATCAAGTTTGAATTTGGGTTGTGTCACTTTCATCATTATTGAGCTACCCCATTACTGTTTGTTATGGAGAACACTTAAACCCCTGATCAATCTCTAATAACAACATACAGAAACAAATGTAATTAATTTTCATTCAATCAAAGAAAACAAAACGTCCATAGGTTTGAGTTAGAACATTGGCTCTTGCATATTTACAAGCAGGGGAATCTGTGTCCTATGGCACATTCTTCTTTTATTGAACTTGCATGGCATGGTATATTTTTAATAGTAATTCTAAGAGACCTTAAGCCAAAAAAGACATAGTGTAAAGGCCTCACAATTGAAGATGAATGTAGAATTTGATAGTGCTATCGCTTTTTTTCTTATAGAGTTATGACATTTCAGTTATCTGGTACATATTTGACCTCACAATTCACAAGTTTGCAAACAGTTTCTTTCATATATATCTTTGAATAAAACAACTTTATATTCATAAGGAGCCATTGCTAGTTTAAAAGTACCTGTTTATGTGAATTAGATATGTTTGATTTTAATGCACAGTTGATGTATGAGTTATTTTTCATGACAAAGTTAAAGATATTTTTTAATGCTTAATGGATTTTATGTGTACCAAAAGAGGATATTTTAAGTACATATGATTGGTCTTTTACTTAGACCAATTGAAAAATGGAATGAAATTAAAACTGCTTTTTTGTATCAAAACTGCTTATTCAAAACAATCGTACCTAAAGTGGTGGTAATTAATAAATACATACATTTTGACATTTCTTTGCAGAAGACATTTGTTGTTTCACAGTTCATCTCAAATATGGTTGCATTTTAGTTGTTTATTGTAAAAAATTTACTGAGAATTTGTTTGATGTAATTTCAGATTTTAAAAATAGATGGTGGTGGAACATTGTCCAGACAAGGTTCACAGGCAGTGTTAAACATTAACTCATCTAGTGCTGGTGCTAGTTCAGCTTAATCTACAGCCATTTGTTTTAGTCTTGTTATAATTACAAATCAAAATTAGTTGAACACAGGAATTTGTTCAGAGTCCTCAAACAGACAGTAACTATGATTCCATTGTTTCTTAATAGCCAGTGTTACTTTGTGTGCTACCTCAGTTCTCCAAAACATTTTGATATGTGTTAGACAAATAGTTTTATATAAAGCTGTTGGCTTTCAATGTGTTATGTGAACATTTGCATTTAATGCCTTTTGATACATTGTATATGTTATGTGTCAAACAAGCTAAGAAAAAAGAAGTGCCATGTTAACTAATGAAAGTACTGTAATCATGTTTGATATGTGTTATCTCCCCTTATTTATAAAGAGACTTATTACTGTCATTCACTGAATACGAATTCTTAACTTATTATCATTTTGTCTGTTGCTTTGGATGTTAAGACATTTCAATAGATAATATCATTTGAAAGAACTTTACAAATGAGCTCTCCAGTTGTTTACCTTTGTTTTTAACTATGGTAAACAGCTGATTACTTTCTAAGCATTATATTTCATACCGATAAGAATTTAGGTTTTTTTTCATTGTCAGTGTAACTTGAATAAGAAGATGATTAACACACACACTTTGAGGTCTTGAAATGGAATTTTTTAATTTCGGGACCAATCTTTAAATTTAAAAATAAAAACAATTTAAGTTTAGGTCAAGATTGAAGATGGGATTTTTTCACCATCTTAAAGGAAAATGAAAGATACTCATTAACCTTTATTTGAACTTTTTATACGTTTCAACAATGATTTTCAGTGAAAATTTATGGTAGGGTCTGATTATAAAGGAAGTCATTTTTGAAAAGATTACAGAGTAATTTAAAATTATTACCCCATAGGTTTGTATTGATCAAATAATAAATAAAATATATATATATGTTTATTGCAATATTCTATATCCTTTTTTGAATAAAAACATTTATGTTAACATTAGAATGTTTTATTGCCTTATTAATTGAAGGTCACAAGGGATGATAAATAATGCAAATATTTATATTCCGAGTTGTATGTTACTTTTGAACAAAGTTACATTTTAACAAATTAAAATGTCTTATCCAGTTATGATTTTGAGCATTTTTGGATAAATAACTTGTTCAATGACACATATAGCCTTATTTACAGATGTAAAAGTATGATAACTTCCTCTGGTTGCCTTTTTTGTTGTCAGTTCTATGCATAATATGTTACCGACCAAACCGGTTTAATGTTTTTTGTTTATATAAGCTATTCTGTGATAAGTAATCCCCCCTTTTTTTATTTCAGTTTATGCAAACAATTTACTTAGAATCAGGATATGATTACAATATGCATTAATTGCTTTTATGTAAGTAATAGTTTGACATGATGAGGCATTATCTTGATTTACTAAAATTGATTTGTCCTGTCTTGTTTGAAAAAAACTTCATCTTATATTGATTTTGCTTTTCATACATACATGCCTACACATATGTAAATTTTTATCAGTTTGTTTGCTGTGCTAATATCACAACTAGAAAGATAAAAAATCACAGATTTTTCATATTTGTATGCTTTAATTACGATTAAGATTCCCTTTTTTAAATGACGTTTAACCCAGATTGCCCATGGTACTTAAGTTGCCCTTTTTATAAAAAAAAAGACATTGGAAAAAATGTGACAAAATAAATTGGAAATGTGTATTTTCTACAATAAATCATTAAAAGGATTGGGTTTAAGTCTGGTGTATAACAATAATTGATTATGCAGCTATCACTTTAAAGTACTATAACATTCAAAATATAATGTGTTGAAAGATTCATATTTTGATGAATGGTTGTACGATGATACTAAAAGTCATCATTGTTAATATCAATAGATTTCTAAATTCAAATATTCCTATTCAGGAATCTCTGACATGCAATATAGCTGCAAGTGTTCAGAAAATTGAGTTTCATGCAATTTTTTGGAAACTACTTTTCAAATTACTTGACTAATCTGACCTGGTAATCTTGATTGACTATTCCAGATCCGTTTATGGTAATAAAAGGTTTCATTGTGTAAGATCCAGCCTTTATCATTTTCTTTCATTTCATACAATGTGATTGTTTAGAAATATGACAAGTAAACATGTTTATCAATAAGAATAAAGTATTTAAGTATTTAACTTAATATATAGCAAGATATACTTACTTATGTTCATAACATGTTTCTTTACAACTTTCCCAAAGGTGATTTTTTTTTATTTTATTTTTTATTTCAAAAGTTTAGAATTTTTAGTGTAAAGAATGATTAGAAGGTATTTTTTCTTACAAAAGTTCTATGCCGATCAACTCATGCACATGTTGTTTTTGACACTAGTGAATACCAAATTAATCTAAATCAAACGTGTTAATTTTGACTTATCAACCACCATTGTTGTTAAATAATGCTATTGGTATGGATGTTGTATGCTGAGGTGTGTAGAGATGTGGATTTGAGGTAATTTAGAAAGGGTAAGATATATTCTAGTAAAGAAATAATATAGATATATATGGATTTCATCAAACTTTTGTTATATTTCTTTTATTTATGGGGACTTTTCATATGGATGGAAAGGAATGAAACAGAAAGTTCAAAATCGACATGATAATAAGAAAAAAACTTGTATCCTGAAATTAATATTGCATATTCAAAATAATGATATAATTATAACGTCAGTTTTTGAATATACACTTTTACAAATAAACAAGAATATGTTTAATTTTAGACAGAATGATTTAATGTATAATGTGTAATTTGTTATGTATAAATTATTACTATATTGTGTACCAGTGTTCATAGTCTAGCTATATATTTACATGTGCTTTATGTGTACACTTTATGTGTGTGAGTTAGTGTGTGTACACTATAATTTAGATGCCTAAGCAGATCTGAATCTAATATTGAATTTGTTATTATTTGTTATAAAATGCAATAAAGATTATAACCACTAGTACTTCGTATTCATTGTAGTATTTAATTAAGATCGATTGATTGTTGGTTGCTTAACATCCAGTGGTTACAATTAAGAACACTCATACCTTAATAGTCTTGTGATCTAGTTATATGGCCTACTAAAATTTTTAGTTCACTTCAACAAGTTTAAGGTACTTTACATGTCATGTTTTACACTAGTGGCTTGCTAATTTATAAGGGAGGATAGTTGCGTCCCACAAAAAAGAGGTCACTTTGACTTCAACTTTATGCTTCATTGACTTATATGATGTTTTATATACGAGATCAGATCTCAGGTACTTTGTTCCAGGTCTTTTCACACTGGAAGTTCAATTTCCCTTTGATAACTTTTGTAATTCACATACAGGTATAAGGTTTATCGAGGTTACAAAGAGACAAGCGAAACTTTGTAATCATAGAATACTCATGTTTTTCTCTAGTTATCTGGTCAATTTCTACCTCTACAGTCAGATCACTCGAGATTAGTGAACATTTACATATCCTAGTATTACTAGATCCTAGATAACTTGTTAACAGCTTCTGGCACAGGTCTATTCAGCGGAAATATCTGGTAAATATCTACCTGTACAGGTACCCAGATGGCCTTTCTATATTTACCAGAACAGATCACAACTTCAAGAGATCACTACAGCTTTGATATTTGGTCAACATCTACCTGACCAAACCACTACAGCCTAGATATCTTGTTAACATCTATGTATAGTTCTGCTCAGCCTAGACATATTGTCAATATTTATCTATATAATTTCACTTCAGCTTATATAGTTTTTTCCACATATACATATGCATTTCAATTCAGCCTAGATACCTATTCAACTACGGGTTTCAGTGGAATTATTTGGTAAACGCTACATATGTGTATTGAAGGAAGCTGCGGGGTAAAATCAACAAATTATATAATTTTTATCTAACAAATTCGGTAATGATCTGCCCCACAAAATAGTCTTCATCAAAAACAAGTGTTCCTACAACAGGTCATGCTCAAAATCACCGCAAATAAAAAAGGCTGTGAATGAATTAAAACAGAAACAATCAAAGATCTGCAACCAACACCAAATAACAAAGACAACAAAAACATTCAGATACATACATAACAAATAACAAACAACTGACTAGAGAAAAGCACACAATCATTCGTATATTTCAATTAGTTCATTAACAAAAGGTACTTAAAAAACCAAGTACATTCACATGCACTTTACTCTATAAAACTGTACAATAGATAACAACAACACTAGTAACATGCAAAACAATTATAAATTAAACTATAGTTTACAATTTCATATGAAGTTATGTAATCATAGTTTTTCACTTTGAACTGTTAGTATATACATGTTAAGATTATCTTTTATTGAATTGCAGCCACAGGTAAACATAAAGGTTTTTTTCATGATTTATGTTCATGAATTTCATATTAGGACTTTATAGATCACTATGATTATAACATCCTTTTTGACAATGATAACTGTTATTTTAGTCATTTCTTGGCTCTCCTTTGCTAGTCTTGTGTCTTAAAACAGACGGAATAGTAATCTCATCTTGGAATTGTCATAAAAGTTACAATTAGTGCATAAATGTCTTCACAAGAGAAACTTCAAATGTTAAATTCAAATAAATTCATGTCTCTTTCATACACTATGATAGTATTCCTGCTTTGTTCAACACGTCTCGTGTACACTTTGAAGTTGTTTTGTGATACAGCTATTTCTATTTCTGTTCGATTTTCTTTCCTTGCTTTTGAAAATGGTGACAATATAAGTCCTGACAGAATAAAAATAAAAGACGCAAAAAGGTATACAATTTCTCCATTTCCGGACACTCTCTGTAAAAATGCTGAAAATAAGAAAGAAATCATCATGAACTCTTATATAACTAAATTATAATTTAACCTATTTTCCCTCAAATCTACATTGTCTAAGCAGAAAGTTGATGAACCAGGGTTATGTCAAAGAACGTCTCGTTCTTTAGCTAAAAAATGTTCATCGGAAGATACCAAGATCTTGTTGATAAATATTCCTTATCAACTTCACAAATAATCACATGATGGTCTTGAAGTATAGATTCTAGGTACTGACGTTGTTTATCATCTTAATTACGTGTTATTGTGTTCTTGTATTTGTCTTCCCAAATTATTAACCTTTACTGTTTAGTCCATTTTTGGTAATATCCTTTTGACGTGGCTCGGTACTTCTGCATCCCGACAATGTGTTGTGCTGTGGACATTTGTTGTACTCTTGTCTTAATTTTTGCTTATGTGCTTTGTCTATATGCCATTTTGTTTTTCTTTGTTGACATATTTGTTTGTTTTTTATAGTGATTAAGATTATAACACAATGTTGACTGCTGTACCCCTATTTTTGATATTTTTTACCTATTATGTCTGTTTGTTTTGTTCACACATTGTTCTCAATATAATGGAATTTTATGCGACTGTCATACAAGTGAGATGTTTAGCTAGCTATAAAACCAGGTTAAATCCACCATTTTCTTCATCGGAAAATGCCTGTACCAAGTCAGGAATATGACAGTTGTTTTCCAATCGTTTGATGTGTTTGAGCTTTTGATTTTGCCATTTGATAAGGGACTTACCGATTTGAACTTTCTTTGGAGTTCGGTATTTTTGTTATTTTACTTTCAACATATTATAATCCATGCCAGTGTGAAGTAATCATATATTCCTTTTGAAACACAAAATTTTAAAAGATTGAGTATAATGGTAAATTTCCACATATTTCTAATATGGCTGTGTGAAACTTTTCTCCTGGATTGTACTTTATATTATATCACAGAAACCTCGAGACATACCATCTTTCTTATGACTGTATACTTTTACCAGTGTATGTTTTATAGTAATTAGGAAAATAAATCAAGATTGAAAATGTCTGCAATATATAATAAATTTTACAATGTCTTGTAACCTGGTGACTGTAAAGAACTATCTCAAATTCTTATAAAATATAAAATTTTACCATTTGCAAAACTATCATTCTAATGCAGTGTTTTGTCTGACCAGATTCAATGTGTAAGGACTTGTGACAATCAAAACATTTTTTATCATCATACATGATAAGAAAAATAGAGGTTGCAATAAAAAATAAAAGATGACATTGAGAATCCAGTATTTCAGTTACTTACCTGCAGTTGGGTTTCCTACAAGACCGCCAACACCTTGCATTGTTAAGGCCAAGCTTAGTCCTCTTCCATAATATTTTAGCTCAAGTAAATTTTTCAAACACAAGTTGAAACCAATTAATGACCCTCCTGTAAAGAGAACGTAGCTTTTTAGAGTGTCAAGTGGATTAGCATACTGCGATCAAGCAATACATGATTGATTGATGTTTGCCTAACACCCAGTGGCAAATGTTTCATGCATGTTCAGGCCGAGAACAAATTAACAATTAATACAATAGGTAGGTCATGTAATAGCAATCACCAGGCAAAAACAATATAGAGAAAATGAAAAGAAACAAAGATTGGAAATATATATATCGTTGCTAAATCCTTGCACATTGTATGCTTTTATGATCTATATCGACTCTTCTTTTCAATTCAAAACATGACGAAAATGGTTTATATCGACAGATAAGAATATTTTGCCCTTCTTTCAAAAAAGGTTAGCAAACATTCTTCAATACTCTATATTAGTAATGTTCTATTGAAAAACGGTTTCAAGGTTTGTCGCTATGATATAGTCAGGCTTTGTAGATATCACGAAAAGCTGATGTTGTTGTTAAATGAATTAACTCTTACACTGTAGATCATTGGTAGTATCTGAATTCATTTATAAATTGTGTGGACTGGATTTAGAGCTTGAATATGGTAAGGACGTTTGTCCATTACTGTAAGGTTATGAAGACCCGTGAATGTTTCATCGGTTTTTTTTTGTGTGTGCTTTTTTGACGTCGTCAGTCCATGCCGTTTTAACAAATCGTTTATTAATATTACGATGTATTACGGATTACAAATGTGTCGAGATTTGTAATTGGATAACAACACAGAGATGTCAGCATATATTCAGGAAACTGCCAGGATATATACGACGTTTTTTTACCCCAATTGGAACCTCAACAACGTCATCATAACGAACGTTACTATGTGACGTTATCTTAAGCTATACAGACTATAAACTATAAGCCTGGAATTTCACATTATATACCCTGTCTGAGACCTGAATAACATATAAATATTTAGTTTGACGATCATGTGTGTGTATATCGAACTGCTTGCTAATATATCAGATTACAACCAAAGCCATGTTCGGTATACAGACATTTTAGTTTTAGATGCATGATTTTTTTTAAATTAGTTGATATTGGCTTTGAACTAGCTGTCAGTAACTGCGAGTACTCTCAGATCTGTACCTAGTGTCTTTTTGTTGTGTGGATGTATTCGTACCCTACCACGTCCACTCTGTGGTTTTTTGTTAGATGTATTTCTGCTTTGTATCCATCTGATGAGTTAAGCCCCTTTTCAACTAATTTTTATAGTTTGTTCTTATGTTGTACTGTTACACCACTGTCACAGGTTAGTGGGAGGGTTGGCGCCTTCAAACTTGTTTAACCCCGCCACATTCTGTATGTGCCGGTCTCAAGTCAGGAGCCTGTAATTCAGTGGTTGTTGTTTATTGCTGTATATCATATTTGTTTTACGTTCATTATTTTGTACATAAATCTGGGCGTAAGTTTTCTTGTCTGAATTGTTTTACATTTGTCATTTCGAGGCCTTTTAATAGCTGACTTTGCGGAAGTGGGGATTTGCCCGTTGTTGAAGGCCGTACGGTGACCTATAGTTTGGTTTGTGGAGAGTTGTCTTATTGGTAATCATACCACATCGTCTTATTTTTATCTTAAAATATAGGAGCACCAATATTAATATGAAAATATGAACTTAGTACTTTTGACTTTTTTATGTACAAAATATGTGTAGTTTATTTGTTTACAATGATTTCGAGTAGATCAAATAAAACTTACCCTGAAA